TGGGTAGAAACCCAAACTAAGTGACACATCTGTTACCTATAAAGAATATAAGTTATATCGACCTGTTATTTTCTCGGAATCGTTTCCGATTGTTTTCAATATAATGAAAAACTAAAAGGCTAATTACTATAAAAACTGACGTTTCTAAACGTTCGTTTGATAATATAAGTAGCTTAACTGACGTTAGGTTACATAACACGTAAGATGTTATTAAATTAAACTTATGTAGACTTATAGGTTTTATGTTCAAACACATTTTATCGATAATGTCACCAAGTTTCATGTTTGATGTCGCGCTCTATACGTAATGTATCATTGTTCTTACTGCTCGGGGTAGATAAGAAAAACAATTTTCGTTAACATTAACTTTTATGATACTTGTATACTTATATCAATCACTGTAATGTACGCATTTGTTTCATTTAATACTTTGTTCAAATGTGTATGTTGAAACACCTAAACTAATGCACCCATTAAGAGATTTTTTGAAGTGTTTTCGAATTTAATAGTGATAGAAACTGGAAACCTCTTATGGTAGAAATGATATTTCCTACTTTATTTCTACCGTGATGTGATAGACACTGCAGGGAATTGCAGGTTTTTTTCGTTGCACCTACACCTTCCCGTATTATTCTTTTATCATCATTACTTATACCTTTTCCCTAACACAATGTTATTATAGACAAGTATGTACTTAATTTGCTGGGACTATATTTCATGGGATGCCAAACCACCTGTTGTCACAACTCGTAGTTGTTGAACTATCCATTCACGTAGATCCTCCAGGCACATTCTGTGTGTGACTGGGGCACTGAAAGACTCGTCAGAGCCACGATTGCATCTGCATTAATTCGTACCTGGATGACCCATGCGTTGGACAGTCCAGCAGCATGCAGCACATTAATATATGTATGCCTATAGTAACCTAATGTTGCTACTTCTACTACTACTATATCAAATTTTAATTAAATAGACATATGACCTTGTGAGGGTGGACGGAAGTCGTTGCAGTGCAAGGATCCGGTAGTACTGGAAATTCAAGGGGAGAGGCAGCAGTGTACGACCGACTAAAACGAGACATCAAACTTCATTAAAACGAGCCCAGTGGGTATATCAAACTTAGACTTTCTGCTCACCATGAGAATGAATAAATTCCATATGGCGTCTTAGTTTCCAGGAAATTAATGCAAATACGTGCAAATGTAGGGAAATCTATATAGAAGGCTTAGTCCTTCACACGTACGTTATTGCGGCAAAACGCTCTAAATTGAAGCAATATTCCTAAACCACAGTCATTTACACACAACGTCATTTCACTGAAGATCGCTGGTAGGGCTGGCAAATGAAATAAGCGGATACAAGACCATAAATAATAGTAATAATAATAAATTCTTTATTTCAGAATAAATGTAGTTTTAGTTACAATTCGGTGTTAGTTGTTATGTTAGTATTGGTTAGTAAACAAAACAGAAAAACACACAGTGGGGCATGGACAACTGTCCATATCGACGTTTTAGATATGCGCGTTCTTTGTAATCGACAGTTTAAAATCGCATACGAAATATCTCTAACACTGTAGACAAAGCTCCACTACCGGCCTGTCTCGTGTTCTCTAATAAATTCCTTTAACTAAATATAACTGAATAAAAAATAAAAAATATATAAATAATATTTCTTAATTATATAATTTAATAAATAATACTAATTGGGTTGTATAATTAAAGGAATTAAATGTATCGTATTAATTAGTTTAGGCGTATCCAGTATTTTCGTTAGGTAATAAGATTTTCTTATGCTAATAAATTGATGGAGTCGACATATACTATTATTGGCAACATATATGTATAAGGAGATTTCTATACATATATAGATTTAAAAGATTTTGCCAGCCCTATCTCGGCCGTCTAAATTACGCTTACCCGCATAATGTGCGTAATAAAACTCTTTGTTTTGTGCCACCCATTGTTTTTTTCACTCGCAATATCAACCTTTTTCATTACGCTTTAGAAAAAGCCTGGTGTTTTAGTGAAATTTATTTGTGTTCTAAATTTAAATAATGAACACTTTTGGCCTAGTGGCTTCAGCGTCCGACTCTAATCCCTAAGGTCGTAGGTTCGATCCCCGGCTGTGCACCAAAGGACTTTCTTTCTATGTGCGTATTTAACATTCTCTCGAACGGTGAAGGAAAACATCGTGATGGAACCGGCTTGCCAACCAAAAAAGTCGACGGCGTGCGTCAGGCACAGGCTGATCACCAACTTGCCTATTAGATTAACAAATGATCATGAAACAGATACAGAAATCTGAGACTCAAACGTAAAAAGGTTGTAGCCCCACTGATTTATTTTATTTTAACTTTAAATAATCCTTTGGAAGAAGCTGTCTGAATAAAATAAAGAACGGAACAAAAGTTGCCCGAACAAGTCTGTCAACTGATTCACTATTACCAAAAATAATAAGTTGCCACTCGAGATGTATGTGCACCTTAACTTTAACTAATATTAATAATTTTAATAGGTCACGTTTAAAACGGCCAAAAACAAGCATCGGGCAACAGTCACAAACATGGCGCAAGAAATTTCTCTCAACAGACTCACGCACGAATAAATGCTATTTATCCATGTAAGATATCCTAAGTTCAGGCTGGCACGCCACACACTAAAATGGTTATCCAATAGCTACGATGACCAACAAACCTATAAAAAACAGAAAAAAAAATATTACAAAAATATATTCTGTGCTATGTGAGATTTTAACTTATCTATAGCAGCCGATTAAGCGAAAGCGTTGTAATGTACAGTATGTTACTATGTAGGCATAATATATTTTGTTGTATTATTATTGCATTCGTGACTAACAATAATGAATGTGAAACTATTTAACTACCAATATTTTTAATACATACAATAACGCTTTATGGGTTTATATTTTTACATAAGTCAAAATGTGTATAAAGAAGGAAAGGCAGTGGTTCTCATGCGAGTTTCAAGCAACTACGCAGTTCGCAGAGTGAATTCACAATAGCGTGTATATTAATGTGATTAATATTATTATTTTTTTCTCGATATTATCGTATTTCCATAGTCTGTAAGGATAATGTATGTATTTCTGTAATAAATAAATAACATTGACACAAATATGTTTTTATTAATTTTCTGGGCATAGTCAGTACTTGCCCTTCCACCCGAATTCAGCTTGACTTTAACGTATAATAATAATAATAATAATAATCTTTATTTCTTCTATCACATATACATACAAGGTTATTATGATTAAACTAAGATGATAACATTAGGAAGTGTATGTATGGAACACTGTGTAAATTACATAGATTTTAAATCGTTGAGACATAGGTAACCAAATCTCACACTTCAATGGTTTAATTCCATTTTGTATTTATTCCTTTGATTATATCTCAGTTCGTATTTCGTGTCAATAACCGTCTGGTTTCTATCGAAGAGTTAAGATCATGATGCCACTGATATCGTCTGCACTGTAATATCTGTAAATTTTTAGATTTAAATGCATTGTACAGTGAAAAAAATTCAATCATTAAAATTTTTTTAGGATTCACTTTCTTTACAAAACAATGGAATATCTAATGAATATAGCCTTGTTGTATGAATAAAAAAATATATAAACGATTTTAAAACAAATGGTGAATTTCACCGTAATAATACTCAAAACAGATCAAATCTAAGTGTTAGATCAACCAGGCTCTAGATTAGATAAATCACTCATTATACAAAAATTGTATTCGTTTTTACAACAAACTCCCAAACGATATTAGCAAGTTATCACTGAATAAATTCAAAAGTCTCGTTAAATGTTAATTAATCAAAAAAGCTTTTTATAAATTTGACAATTATTCAAATGATCTTAATCCTTGGGATTGATTTGCTCCAATTAAAATACTTATGGCGGCTCTGCCTTACAAGCAATAATATATAATAGTCTAATTTCAAAATAAATTATATATACAGGTATACTTATAAAAACAGTGAAAATGTTAAGAGCTAGGGTTCGGATAGAAAACGCCGTAGATCTCTTCAAGGGCTTATTTTTAATAAATCAAAAAATAATTTAAATACACTAAATTGAAAACTTTACCACTAGACTACATTTACTCTGAAACAGCCTGACAAAATGTTTTAGCGAGAAATATAAACTTTATGCTAATTACAATTTTCTGAAATGTGATAGTGCCTCTCCTGATACGACCATAAATCACATTTCAGCTTGCTGAAAACGTCTTTAACTAGTGGAAAAATCAAGACGACAATATCTATAAAACATGAGCGGTGTTGGCTTAAGCGTGCGGTCCTCAACTCAGCGGTCTCTGTTCGAATCACGGCGTTGCACCAATGGAAGTTTATCTATATATGCATCATTAATCTTGCTCTTACGGTGAAGGAAAACATCTTGAGGAATCTGGCTTGTTAAAACCCAAAAAACTACGACATTGAGACTACATCAGACACAGTGAGGCCTGCTGATTGAAACGGATATAACACAGGATTATTTAAACTACATACACATTTAAAATATAACACTATAATTATTACACACACACACATCAATAACACTTAAACATACAAAGTTTAGATCGTTCTAATTGTAGTTTAGCATAATTGCACCGCTATGAGTACAATTTTAATCGACAATTATAGATTTAATTGAAAACTCTAATTATGGCTATTAGAGACTTTATTGCGTTAAAAAACTAATCATCTTGCAATATTGATAATGTCAATGGTACGATTTATCATAATATTCAGCTGTGTTTCTTCCACAAGACGTGCGTTGTGACCAAAATTCCAAATCAAATATAATTAAAAATAGAAAGAGAACACGTGAACCTGAATCATTTATAAAGTTAAAAATAACGATTTATAATATCTTTATATTAACTTTTTTAACTTCGTTTAAGATTGTACATTGTTTCTCAATAGCTAATCCGTGATAAGATACAAGTCATTGTAGAATAGTTAGTCGGTAAAATGTTTCATAATGTGCTGCGGTATAGAAATCAGATTTTAATAACTATATGTGGTAAGTAATTATTATTATTAAAGCTTTATTAATTAATCCATACCACGATTGGTTAGGTTACTTAATATAAGTAAACTGTGTTAGTATAAGTTCAAAACAATTAAGTTAGAATTTTTTCTTTTTTAGTGTCTAGTTTTTGTATGGTTTAGGGTGAAGTAAATACTACCAGCTTCTTCCTTTTGACCAAATTCAGCGAAGGGCTTGTCGAATTGTCAATCTCCAATGTCTTACTGATCGGCTTGATTCTCTCTCTACGCAGAGATATTGCGTCTCTTTGCGTATTCTATAAAGTGACCAGCCCATTTCCATTTAAGCCTTAGGGCGTTTAAAAGTGCATCTGTAAGTTTCGTTTTGTTACGAATTTCATCATTTTTTTTGTTTATTCTCCTCAACTTTAAGATAAATAATTAACTCAAATTTACATCCACAAATAATAATATGCACTGTCCCCAAAACAGCGTAGAACGAACGAGAAGAACTGCCTTGAACCTCTTCGCCACGCCAAGGGCATTATTACAGTTTACTTACTTGACAATTGAATTAAAATAACAAAACGTTAACCTCAAGTAACAGAAGAATTAAGAATATGCATGCATTAAACCATTAATCAAATATATATGTCGTTTACTTAAACTGCAATAATTAATCAAGTTAATTACTGTAGTAATTTGTAAATAATTAATTTAGTTGGGTACAATACTATAATAAATGTCTCCAAATGTTAATTTATATTTTTAATATTCTCAGTATTAATTACAAATAAACAGAAAAATTATTCTAGCTGTAGTTATGTTTTGGTCCGGTCCTTTTTCTGCAATCGCTTGCCAATCTTGATTTCAAGGTGGAAAATTTTGTGAGGGTCTTGAAAATTTATAATATCGTTTTGCTATCGTATTGAAGCGTTATTGTTATTCAACAAATATATATTTTTTTCTTACAATAAACTTCACAAAACGTCTTTAAGTCGTGGTAAAGAGAGTGCGACATTACATGAATTACAATCAGTGGCGGATTTACCAGCAGGCTGAGTAAGTCGGTGCCTAGGGCTGCAGATTTTTAGGGCGACAAATTTGGGAACCGGATTTTTTTTGCTATCTCACAGAAATCAAAAAGATCTATCTACATGCCGTTTTCTGATATTATACAGATAGAAGTCTGCAACAAATTCTGCCAATGACTTTCCCTTCTAACTTGTCATTGTACATTTGGTGTAGCAAACTTCAATATTCTAGAGTAAACAGCTAGTTCGCCGCCCCCAACCAGTACTCGACCTCTGCGCCCTCAGCTTTCACTTTGTACGAATGAAAAGAACGAAATTGCAGAAAATGTATTTCCTTCTTCCCCTATCAACCCATAGAGACATATAATTCCGACTACAGGTTGGAGCCTGCGAACTGGATGGTTTATGTATAATATTGTGCTCAAAAATCAGATCCAAAAACGATTTTTCGTGCAATTTCAATGAAATTTGTGGATTGTAAAATAATCTTTCTTCCTATCCGGTGCACTCTTGACAGAGCGGTCGTGATCGCTAGGAAGTAGTTGTAATAGTAGGGGCAGATGTGATGCGCTTCACGACGTTTTGCCATCGTTGCCTATTAGTGGTCATCCTGCTGCACTGATTGAGAGAGTCTCCTACGGCAGACTTGATTTGGTCAGTCCAACGCGTAGGTGACCTTCCGCGCGTGTGTTATATTTTTAATTTTTATTTATTTATAAAATGATTAGTCATGAGGTAGGCAAATTTAACCAGTTGTTACATGTAACTGTTATGCGTTTAGACATGGCGTGCTCGATGAATTTGAAACAATATAAAAAGCATATTATCTACAAGTAGCGGCACGAAACTCTAGCGCTGACCGTTATTGCGCAGAAGTAAAAAATAAGGTACCTGAGGGGGGCTAGCGGAATGAAGAGCGTCGATTGGCTCTCCAGTCGCATTTTGTCCCCCGCGCGACAGTACACATGCGCAGCAATCCCCTCCACGTATCGGCCAGCGCTAGACTTACGTGCCGCTGCCTATACCTGTCGTATTTCTCGAACATATTGTATTAAATTCAAAATTTGCTAACATTTGTTCTCAGTGCATCGTTTTTTTTAAAAAAAATAGTGTTTTCTTATTTAAACCTTTACTTTACCTCGGGGATTTGAATGAATGGGTAATTATATCACATGGTGTGTAAAATTTCACTCTTAGGTCAAAGACGTATTCGGACACCGAAGTCTGTAGTATCACATCAGCTATTTCTTGGTAATTGTGGGCTGGAGAGCAAATGTCTAAGAGCATTCTGTATTTCAACTTTGATTCACCTTGATGTGAACAAATCGTATTGTTCCCATGGTAACGTGAGTTCTTGATCCTAATTTATTACATTTGCTTATAGAACCTAAACGATTGTTTTTATTTTAATTATAATTATTTGCTTCAAGCTGGCATGAACGCCATTTGAAAACAGGCTGTAAATGTAAATAGTACGTAGTGTTACTTAATAAACGATATTTTTATTTTTATAAGAATTTCTGAATAATTCTATTCGTTTGTTTAAAAAATAGTTTTGATTAACTAGTAATCACAATACTTTATAAAAGTGGTACATTTCCTGATAGAACACAAAATCTCTTACAGATTATATCAAGATAACATTGGAACCAACGAACGTAGCTCGTAGATAAATTCAATTCCGCAAGATTAATTCTATTTGCTAATCTCGGTCATATTTTCAAGGATTTAAGATACTTACTAAGAATGTTAATAGACTGTAGATAAAGTGTTTATTTTCAAGATAATGATGCTTATTTTCTTTCTTAATACACCCAATTATCACGAGAATTATTGCAAACATAATGCTAAAACCTGTTTATGCCACGAACAATTTTGTGTCTGGTTTCCATGGTGAACTCTCAGTTTTTTATCTCTCTTACCTTATTACTCTACTTCTCTTAAGAAAAGAATCTAAGCTTTTATTTTATACGTAGAACAGGAATTTCACCCTTCTGTGCCTGAAACGTACGGTTTAGAGTCATGCTGGCGGCGTTTTTCTTCACAGTAAGTTTTAATGCAGATAAATAAGATCAAAGTCCAGTATCCATTGATTCACGACTCAAGATTGAGAATTGGGAACTTAAGCATTAGGCATTGACACGTTCTATAGAGAGTGATTTTTCGGGAATGTGGTGTGTGAACCCCCTTGACTAAATCAAATTTACTTATTTTAAGATAATATTGTTACTAATACAATAATGGACTTTGATTAATTTAAAAGAGTGGCGGAGAGATTATTGCCAGTTCTTCTTCACGTTCTACGGCCTACGCCCTCGATTTGAGAACTGGCAGTAAATGTAAAATTAGAAGCATTTCATATATATTTATTTTTTGACGTTCATAAGTGTACATTTTGTTGTACAGGAATAAATGATTTTGAATTTTTGAATAGTTATTCTGCTATTTATCGAGCGTCGTGATGCTCCCGACCCGGTTGTGCCAGATTACTGCTGCTTTCATCTCTGACGATTTCCAGATAGGTGAATAGCGTCGGAGACCGTAGTGTCCAGGTTTGTGATACCTGGTCGGTCCATGTTGGGCTGTGTCGCCTAGGTCTCTTTCCATTTTCCCGGCTACTAAATTTATCAAGGATGCCCTGACTCTCTTGAGATAAGAGATAATGCGTAGAGGCATGCAGTTCCTTTACGCAGGGAATACGCAGCAACGTCGCTAGCAGTACATTTGCCGATGCGGCGTCTATCTGCGATTTTTATGGTCCATGATTCATTACCATGATCAGTGTATAATTTTGTCTTATGAGTCCAATCGATCTTTCTAGTGCCATCGCCGACTTTTCCATTCCAATGCGCCGTCTAGCCTTCCGTGCCTCCTGTGTTGGAAATATTTGACCCTAAATATATAATGTCTATGAGTCTATTTATACCTACAAAGCATTATATATTACATGATTATCTATACTAAAACGTGACAGATTATTCACCCTTCAAGTTTTTCAGGGTATGTGGGTCATCTGCTCTGTGGTTATGGAATCAGTTGGACGGCGCCGATCATTCCGAAATTGGAGAACCCTGACGAATCTCCATTATCAAGACCACTATCCGACATAGAAATGTCTTTGCTGGCATCTGTATTATATATTGCTGGGTTACCGGGTAACTAATTCTAAGTATTTTAATAGTAGTTGTACTTACAAAGATTATGTATATACTATATATAATTGGCATATAATTAACATACCTATATAATTGGGATCTAAAAAGTTCCTTTGTCTTTTTGACAATTTCGGCGATGTAATTCTATCTGTATTACAGGTTAATAAATTTATTTATTATTTATTATCTATCTGGATAACTAAGGGTAATATTCAGAGTTGACTTTGCGCCACCTATGGGTGAGATTAAGAAATGAGACTTAGCACGAACTCTGTATGCCTTATTTCAAAATCCCTCACGTTATTGTTTGTATTCAAAATCGCTCGAAGGCAAACTTGAAATTACTACTCTACACTCTAAAATTGATGTTTATTGCAAAAGGTTTTTTTATACGAAAACCAATCGAAACCAGACTTCGGGAAATTTGTGAAGTACAATATTTCTGAACTTTGCTAGGCCACAACTGAGCTTACCCTGGACTTTGACCGTCTTACAGTAACCTATCGGAATCTCAGCCTCATGATGACTCAGATACGTCATGCACTGAATCATACACAAAGTACAGTTGATAAATTTTAAAAATTAAAATATAGTATCTACTAAATTCTAAAACGTGCACATCAAAAACACGGTTTTTCAAGTCTGCGAATAATAAAGAACATATTCAACAATTGTTTTTATAACACAATACACGGCTTTAAAACAATACATACACATATTTTGCATATTTTTAACCCTACAGCTGTGCTTTCGATGAGCTGGTTCTCCAACTTCAAAGGCCGAAAAGCAAGTTATGTTCTTTCGGCAATCTTTTACATCATCGGTTTCGCCATGTTGGGATCAGCTACGAACTTCACGATGATGTTCATTGCTAGAATCATCAACACTTTTGGATTTAGCATAGCGAACATGATAAACACCATTTATATTGGAGAAATCGCGTAAGTGTAATTCAGATATTGCTAGATTTGACAGGGTAAGAAGATTTACCATTTGGTTTTTGTATTGCCAATTGCATATTTTTTGTCCCTTGATAATTGTACTGTATAAAGTTTATATCTTTGCTTATTATTGTTAATTCTATAGATCAAGCAACATTCGAGGGATCTTCCTGACGGGGCTTGGCGTTATACAAACATTGGGATCCCTAATATTATTCAGTGTCGGACCTTTTGTTTCCTACAGTATGGTCTCATATATTGGTGTTGCTATATCTATAGTATATTTCCTGGCAGTTCTCTGCATACCTGAATCTCCTGTATATCTCGCTTTGAAAGGTATATTGTTTTTTATTTAATAAACAATGTAAGCCAAACTAAAATTATTTCATACGTAACTTTATAGTAAAATTGTAAACGCAAAGGGTTGTTCGTCGGTCATTTCACCTCTTTTCGCAATATATTTAGAAAATCATTAGTAAATTGCTCTGTTTAAGGTGTGGTTTTATTTTGTCAGTATTTCGTTTTATAAAATGAATAAATGCGCTCAGTATAAAATACCTGTTATCATGTAAAGCAATAAGCTTAGAGTTACAGATCTTTTAATCTCATCAGGGGGCTCAGTAGGGGCAATATTTGCTAGCCACGATTTCGGATGGTATTACAAGTTTATATAAGTTGGTTGTATCATGTGTGTATTATCTAATATTCCTTTATAAGTAAGGAAGATCGGCCTTTTCTACCAACGTAGTCAATTTGTCGTTGCAAATATATCTGAATCCAATAAGTTTTCTTAACGGACGTGTTGATTGTTCACATAGAAAGAAAAAGCAGATGTTAAATGGTTGCATCAGATTCTTGCAAATATTTAAATTTAGACTCATTGTAATGTCGGCGCAGTCAGCAAGACTTAATGGCCGGATGGATAGCCTCTATTTTCTGTCGTTAATTTCTCAAGATATTAACAACTGTTCCATGTGCCTCGTACGTAACGAGCGTATAAGCGTATTGAACTATTTAAGTGGTATGTTAGTGGTTGTTTTTTTTTCAACATCGATTTTCAAAATGGCGGATTCATCGGTCCCGCCAAGTTTAGCTACTATTATCATTGGATGTACTCAATTGGTGGGGAGTATTATTGCTCCATTCTGTGTGGAAATATCTGGAAGGCGAATTTTGTTATTGGTTTCAACAGGTGTATGCTGTGTTAGTATGGTAAGTGCGAGTTTTATTAATTTATTAAAGTAAACCAGTTTATATGATACATTTCCTACAGTATAAGTTATCACGGTGAATGAAAATTTACAAAATTTATCAAAAATATTACACTTTTGAAATAGATTAAAATTTTTAGTTTTTACCAAGTTAAAATACATACATACAAAGACAAGTTCCGAACTATTCATTAATACTTCGGTATGTGGTGTATATATATATATGTGTGTGGTGGACATAGGACTTTAATTTTAAAAGATGTCTCGAGGCTCGCGGAGTGGATCCTAAATCATAGTTACATGTTTCTGTTTTTCAAACAATTGATGACATACCTACGAAAGATTCTAATACATGCTTCTTTTGCAGATCGTATTTGGCTGTCATTTCTTTTTGATACACATAAACTCACCCCTTGTGGAGCACATTAAATGGCTCCCCTTAGCCTCATTAGTGGTATTCTTCATGAGTAACAATATGGGTAAGATTACTTAATCGCGTTATTTTACGAAAATCGTATGGTACTAATAATGTTACCATACCAATGAAAGGAGAAGAGATGCTGCACGTGTATGATACGTGTGTGTGATGTGAATGTGTACGTCGTTCAGTTTAACCCATTAATATTGGCCAAGTCTATGATATTGCGTGGTGTTGCCATTCTACTTATGTGAGACAAATTTGCACAGCATTGTGTGCGTGGCAGATGGTTGGCAGAATATTTGAAATTTACATTATACCACCAGAATATTTTTGCACAATATTCGTGCAAACAAACTTTTATTGACGTGACAACGTCTTATAATTCGATGGAGCCGGCTGCACGCACGAAAAAACATGACGCATGCGGCGTTACCTCGCTCTGTGGCGTTCCATTTAAGGCTTGAAGTGCAAGGGAGAGCGCGGAACGAGCGACAAAGAGGCACAATCGGCCTCCGCGTTCGGCAGCGTTCTTTCGTTAAAAAATTGACATAATTGTATTTATGCGTACAAATAAATGTGACTTGATCAATTCAATTGTGATTTCCATTTAGGTACCTCCTTCTCTAGATCCATACAAAATATCTATCAAACAAATACAATTAAAATTTTCTTTTAAAAAATGCAACCATTCCATCAGTATTTTCTTATGACTTTGTCACGTTCAACTATCGTCAGTAAACCGACTTTACAGACAACCGATTTTTTATTATTATGACTTGGCTTAATCTTGACTCTGAATCTTGTCATCAGTCTTTGTTTTCAACTTAATAAGCAGCATGATTATTTTTAGTAACAATAAATTTGCAATTGCACCTTTAGAATTTCTTATGATATGTCAATAAACCCGTATAAGTATTGTTTACGATATATTTCAGTGTTTAATAAACAGCGTCATCAAACTATTGAAACGGCTTACAACCGCTTTCGGCTGAAATAGAATTTTCGATAGAATGTATATCTTTGTGTATATCTTTTTTTTTTTGGACAATTCACACCAATTGACCTAGTCCCATGCTAAGCTGGTGAAGCTTGTGTTATGGGTACTAGGCAACGGATATACATACATATTATAGAAAGATAGATATATAAATACATATTTAAACACCCAAGACCTAAGCACAACACCAAATGCTCATCACATCGATGTTTGTCTCAGCCGGGGATCGAACCCGGACCATGGATTCGCAGTCAGGGGTACTAACCACTAGACCAATGAGCCGTCTATAATATATATTTTCATACTTATTTCTCATTATTCCACATACATACATACGTTTGTATTCTTTAAATTGGTCAAGTCTCCTTAGTCTGTAAAAGAAGTAAATAAATAAGAATTCAGCCAAGGGTCCTTTGCTTACCTTTTGTTTGTTTTCTGCAAAAATACCACGGGCCTTGATGCGTATTATTAATATCTAATAACAAATATATCCTATATTAAAGAAACCCGACGTATAAGATACTTAAGGTACTTCAATGAGTTATAGCTAGTTTAAACAATGAGGAGGAAAAAACACTGTCTGCTACATTTCCTGACAAATAATCATTATCTGAAATGTCCACATTTACAGGCTTTGGTGTCATACCCAGTACACTAACAGGTGAATTATTCAACTCCAATGTTCGAAGCAAAGGCACGGCTTCCGTCTTCGTGGTATCATGGATCTCTGGCTTCATCATCACAACCATTTTCAACACTCTGATATCATCGATTGGCGCTTATGCTGTCTTCTGGTTCTTCTCTTTTACGTGCGGGTTGGCTTTTCTCTTCACTTTGTTCTTTATACCAGAGACAAAGGGTAAGAGCTTGATAGAAATACAAGAAATGCTGAGTAAATGATTCATTATTTGTAGATTTTTTTTATTATTGTTGAAACCTTGATTGATTTTTGGTATCTTTAATAAATGTAATTGTATGGACAGAATGTAGTCCAGCCCAATAACCTGAATTCATCTCTTAAGATTGCAAAATTAAGACCTATTAATCGGTTTGTAAAAACAAATGATAAGTGTGTTTTGATTAACTTTAATAAAGTTATACAAAAGACATAAACTGATTTTATTTATGGACGACAATCCACTGTTCTGGTTACGTGAAAGCATACATGCAAGTAGTTGGGATCCGTCGTTTAGATTGACCAACTCAAAGTCCTCAGTCAACTGAAAGTGACCTCAATTCAATTGAGCATGTCTGGAATGTTCTAAAGAGACAAGATCAGTGCAACCTGCTCCACAATACAACAGAGAGCTAATAAGACTCATTGCAGAAGAGTGGAAACGTATCCCTCGCAACGTTATTCAAAAGATCGGATCGGTGGAAAGAATTGTTCAGAAATGAATAAAAATTTTCCAAAGTTCCAATACACAATTATAATTATTCTGTATAGTACGTCAGACAATTAATTTTCATTTAATAAATTGAAATAGATTTTATAATGTAAATTTTCTTAGGTGCCCGTTTTTTACAAAAGAGTTTAAAAATTAATTTGTAAATAATAATTTAATTGCTATTCCTTTGAAGCAATAAAAGTAATCTAATTTCTTATGTATTTTATTTAAAAAATATAGACAATTTTTTACAATGCTTACATTATATTAAAATATATTATTTTTCTAGCATCTCCTGTATTTCGACCAGGCTTTCCATACAGAATCAGACGATACACACTACAGTACCAGTACTGTTAGAATGATGTTGAAGAGAGTTGTAACGGTGAAACCAAACATTCAGGACACCTGTAACTAAAGCAGTGCGTTTTCCTCTAACGTTGCCCGCGAACATTTCCCTTATACTTGGGACAGTAGCAAGAACCTTAAATAATGTCGTGTTTACTTAAATAGATTCATATGCTCCCCGAGTTCTATATTCACAACGTCAGAAAGCGACATTGTGCGCGGTTACCTCATGTGCCCACGTCTAGGACTAACCTTCTGAAGAGGGCACATATTATTCGGTTTATTAATTTAGTTAACAAATTACATAGTTTGAAGAACCTTTTTCATTTCCTATAGTAGTTGGTTAATTTCTTGTATTTTTTATAATGTAATTTTGTTTTTCCTAATTAAGTTTTTTTGTTTCGTTTGTAAATTTTACTCACTTAGGCAAGGTTCGCACGGCATTGTCCTGCACGTTTTTTGTATACGTCTTAACGAATAAATAGTGGTACATGTATTGTACATAGACTCATTCACACGGCGTTTGTACTGCAAAATATCGTACACCGTTTATACGTTCAAACGAATACTCAACGGACTTGTCAAGAAAATCTAATGAACTTTAACGTTAATTCGGTTTAAAGGGGCACATAATATAGCTCTGTCTCGTTCTCGCTCACTGTGACAACTGTGTGAAGACTGCGGCTATTCGTATTTTACACGAATGAAAATCTACCATGTGAAACCCGGGTGAAAAGACGTTAAACAAACGAATACAAAGAAAACGTGCAGGACAATGCCGTGTGAACCTCGTCTTATTGTGTACTCTTGTCAATTTAGGGTCACCTGTTAGGGCAGGAGTGTTTTTATAAATAAATAAATAAAACGATAAAAACCTCCTTCAAAAGCTCTCAATAACAAAGGGCACAACTAATCCTCCACTTTGCTGAGTGCACACGATTATAATTGTCGCTACGTCCGGTCGTATTGTGGATTTGGCAATCTCGAATATCGATGTGGGGAAAAATTTTACAACCATCATACCTAAAGAAATATATGTTTATAAATCGCGGAAGTGTTCCTACGAAATCAATTAGTTCAATAATGCGATTTTTGCGACCATACAAATAAAAACAAAAGTTATTATTTTTAAACGTTTATTACTTCAAGAAAGAAAGTTAGGAATACAAGTCAAAGACTATGTATAACATAGTTATAATAATTTGATAAGATGACAATATAATATGATTAAGATTAGATTGCAATCTTAAGAGATTTCCTCATACCAATAATATTTATAAAAGAGAATACTCTTTTAATGTATTATGATGTTTTTCGCTAGTTTATACGCATTATTTTACAATTAAGTATGTGATCATGCCGAATTTATTAATATGATAAACAGTTACATCATCCAGTCCAACAAAGTCCACGAAAATACATTAAGAACAATTAAGAGTACCTAATTTACTAAATTAAAATAAAAACCAATTCGCTGTGCTTCAAATATTTTTAAAGGCTTGCAATTACTGCCGGAGATAGCAACGATTTTAAAATAACCAATTTTCAGTATTAAACATGATTAAACGAAACCATTGAAACCTATACTTATATGAATTGAAAGGGAATTCCTCCTCCATTAGATCTTAGCAAATAATATCAAAAAAATTGCAGCAATGTAATAATATTTTTGTGTGTACTTCAGCAGCGCTTCGTGGATACAACAACGAATAACAAACAAAATGGAACAGAACGAAAATATCAAACACATTATCGTTCGAGAATTCGTAAGGTGAACAAATCGAAATGCTATGTTTAAAGTGTTTAGAAACCTCGGAGAAAAATATTGCATAGTTCATTTGTTAATACATTTCCCTATTCCTGTTTCGAATGATAAAGTTTATCGTTAATCTCTTAGAAATAGGGCCCGGCTTTTTAACACAATAATTGGTATATCCTAAATGAGGAAATAAATAACTAATTTACATATATTTCTTTTAACAACCGCTATCGCAAAGTTCGAATAATGTGGTACATTAGTCATAAGTTGGACCTTTAAATGCATTTAAAAATTGTTAGAGTAAGATCCCAGAGCGATAAGACACAACTTATTTTCTAAAGCATAGAACCTTCGGTTCTAAGTAGTCTCTGGTGTGCTTTTTATACCTGTACGCTTATGGAGTTGGCTCGGTGACACCTGCGCAGGTACCAGGTGAGAAAGGTAACTAAAAATCAGAGTTACTTAAGTTAAATTTTAATGACTGATTTTTATATATATTTTGTAGAATATTACTCTGAAGTAATATCAAAAAAGTCAGACGCTTTCCATGGGCCAGAACTTTTGTCAGACGCTTTAAAGCTCTACAAAAAATAAATCAACTTAATTTATTTTTAAATGTCTGATTTTTATATATGTTATTCAAATAAATATTACAAAGCTATATTTAATCAGTCAGACAAATTGTAATGACCAAACATCCCCTAAACACAAAAATTACTCAACTATGAGTATGAGCGCGAGAGCAGTATACATGCGTTTAGGACAATGATGAAGATGATTAAGAGACAATCAAAGTATTTCATTAATTCATCATAATTAATTATTATATATATATATATATATATATATTATTATATATATACTCCACGAGCGTACAGGTATTAAAAAGCACACCAGAGACTACTTAGAACCAAAGGTTCTATGCTTTAGAAAATAAGTTGTGTCTTATCGCTCTGGGATCTTGGACTATGTGTATAAGAGCGATTCAAAATGGAACACGTGCGTTATGTCAAATACGGTCTTAAACATAAAAAAATACATTTGACCCTGACGTTAGATCCTCTGCTTATCGCGTGACAGATTTTATTTACTCGAGTACCTCAAATTTAAAATTTTCACAATTAGACTCAACGCTATCACAAGTATATAGACGTTTTATATCGTAGATAAATTATATACCTATTAGAATTCTGCAGACACGATTATTTACTCAATGTTAAAAGGAATTTAGCCCAAGCTCGGCTAAAAGAAAACAAACGTGTCCAATGTCCATACTAAGACGGTTTCAGGTAAAAAGTCGTTTTTCGAATTTTTTTACCAACGCGTCCTGTTTTTTTTTAGATATGCAACACGCAGAGGTCTAGACTCATCGTAACTGGCAAAGACCTCGAGGCCAATCTCCTACTCGCTGGACCGATCAAGTAAAGGCCCTTACAGGTTACTATCACCCAGGCGCAGAGGTTGGCCTAAGACAGGGGGAGAGTGGTGGAAGTAGTGACCTTTAGAATCTCAAAATTTATTTAGCCTAAACTTGGCTTTAATGAAAGTCTCTTTTGTTACACCATATTTAAAATACCATAACATAATACTATCTACTCAGCATTTCTTGTATTTCATTCAAACTCTTTCCCTTCGTTTCTGGCACACACTTTAAGGTAAACATAAACGCGACCAGACAGGAGCAGGAAAATATCCAGAAAGTGACATCACCGCCCAGGATCTTCACCATGGAACCAAAACTAGTGGCCACACCGAAACCAATAAGCCACGCGGTTGTCATGGAAACCGCTGAACCCGTGCTACGGGCATTACCTCGAAACATCTCACCGACCAAAGCGCTCGGCATAGTTCCAAAACCTGCGAAAAATATAATTTATTAATGTTCAATAATAATTGATCTTTACCAAAAATAATTACCTTCATAAGTTTATTTCATACGGTGAAAAACTGACTGAGATATCTTTTGACTTTTATTTTCAGTGAAAGCATATTTGCTACAATCTAGTAACAATAATTAAGAAGAATAGAATACAGAAATTTATTATCGAAAAAATATGCCACAAAATTAGAACTTTTCCAAGATCTTCGAGGTTAATAATGTTTATTATGGTGATTGTTTTTCACTATAGATTTAACAAATGGATAACAACTTGTGATTGTTTTATGTAACAGGAGGCAAACGGTCAGGAAGCTGACATTAAGCGATACCGCCGCCCATGGACACACACGCAAGTGCATTGCCAGCCTTTTAAGAAGGACCCTAAGTCGAGTTGGATCGGAAATACTTCAGTGGGCAGCCGGTTCCACATAGTGATGGTGCGCGGCAAAAATTGCTTTAAAAAACGCTCAGTTGTAGAACGACGGACGTCGAGGTGATACGGATGGTATTTTGTATTCTGCCTTGATGACTGATGTTAAAACTCAGCTGCAGGTATTAGTCCGAACAACTCCTCTGAACACTCTCCATAAATTAAAACTTACCTATTTCATATGAGAAGAAATACATAATAAGTGATAGCAAAGGCAGCCAACCAATCTCTGATATAATAGAACTCTGAAGTCTTGCCAAGTGAAAGTAGGTTCCAAGAATTGACTGAAAGTACATGAGACATAATAGGTTATTATAAATAATGAAATCAATTAATTGTTGCACAATACCAAGGTCAGGTTTATTAGAGAAATACTAACTTCTACCCGCATGTTTAACCTCGTATGTTTTGTGTATTTTTCCAAAACCATTTACAGAAAAAAAACAGTGTCAGTACAACCTTTTTTCCGGGCCTCAGATTTATGTGTCATTGCGATCAAGTATTTTTGTAATAGGTGATCAGCCTTCTATGCCTGACATACCCTCAACAATGTGGATATGCCCGTTTCCTCGTGATGTTTTCCTTTAACCTACGAGCAAATGTTAAATCCGGACATAGACAGAAAGTCCATTGTGCACAGACGGGGATCGAACCAACTAGCTCAGAGGATGAGGATGAAAGTCGCTGATACCACAAGCCCAACATTTATATTTTAGATAAAACTATAATGGCTTATGTAATAACTACGAGTAGGTATCTAGTCATCCCTTGGGTTAATCGCTTTCTGTGATTGTTGACACAAATTAATACAAATAAAGTAAATTGTTTATAGAAATTAATGGTTTCAATCTCTCGCAAACTGTAAATCCACTCAGTAAGAAATCGTGTATTAGAACAAAACTTAGACTTGCACAATGCACAAACAAGTTCGTTCACTTCGTCTTGCTGAATCATAATCATAAATAATGTTTATTTGTGTTTGTAATTTGATTATATGTATTTCTTTACCGATTTTTAATAAAAAATAATAAAAATGTATTTTTTCATTTTAAGTAGATATGCATTACAGTGTGTGAGATTTGGGAACCCTTTTAAGTAATAAATACCTGTGTCAGGGTTCCCAGCTCTTCCATAACAAACTTTAATATAATTCCTTAAGATATATTTATATACATAATCTAATTACATCTTTTATTTAATTTACTTTTCAACTATTATCAATTAACAACACGCCTGAGTGCATGAGTGAGTGTGTAGGTGCAAATGTGTAAGTGAGTGAGTGAGTCAGTGAGTGAATGAAAAAGTGAAATTTTTATATCAATAATTATTGTTAACATTTTTGTTGTGTATAGCTGTCACTCCAAGATTGTTCGAGCCCACTGAAAATCAGTGTTTCTGGTGAAAGCAATTTAAAGACGAGTTGGGCCAATTTTAGACAATATAATATGTCATTTTAAGTAGAATGGAATGTAAAAAATCGGTTGTCTGTAAAGTCGGTTTACTGACGAAAGTTAAACGTGACAACGTCATAAGAAAATACTGATGGAATGGTTGCATTTTTCAAAAGAAATTTTTAATTATAATCGTTTGATAGATATTTTGTATGGATATAGAGAAGGAGGTAAATGGAAATCTCAATTGAATTGATCGATTACAATATAATCGATATAATACGATATATACTTTATATACAATAAAGATGTCGAACGCTGCCGAACGCGGAGGCCGATTGTGCCTCTTTGTCGCTCGTTCCGCGCTCTCGCTTGCACTTCAAGTCTTAAATGGAAACCCTCAGAGCGAGGTAACGCCGCATGCGTTACGTTTTTTCGTACGTGCAGCCGGCTCCATCGAATTATAAGACGTTGTCACGTCAAAATATGATAGTGTTATTTTTAAAGTACTTACCAGGCTACAAGCACAAAATGCCGTTGATACAAGTAGTAATATTCTTCTACCAGCTCGTTCGACAACAAAAGGGGCGATCATACTAGCTACTAGCCTTGTGCTGCCTATTACTATTGTAGCTATGTCAGGCCTAAAAATATTTTTCATGCAATAAATTTAATAAAAACATTTAACTGCCGAAACCCGGGATTGACCTTTAGATCTTCAGTCTAACGCTCTCCCAACTGAGCTATTTCGGCGTCCCTACGAAGTCGAAATTATTTTTTATAATTGCGATTTTAAATAATTCTTAAATTATAACATTGCACTATGGATATTAAGAAAATTACAAGTAATAAGATTTACTTGTTTAACGAGCAATCCAGCATCGATTTCATAGCTTCAATTTCGCGTTCAACTCAAATCGAATTCAATTGTTGTATTGGTACAATGTACTTATTTATATATATATATATATGTGTGTGTATAGTTCATTGTTTGGTAATTGCAATATTTATTCACACCTTACAAACCTAGAACTAAGTACTATACAGGTGTGGTAGTTGTTACAGAACTTCCCAGAGGTTACGGAGCACTATACGCTTTCAAGGCTCGGTGCTTCTATACTGTAAAGGACGACCCAGGAGGGCCCCTGCCCAAGAGATATTATATTCTAACGATGAATGTGAAGTCTCCAATACGCATTGCGCTAGCGTGGGGACTACAAACCATTACCTCTCGCATAAAAGAGAAGGCCTTGGCCATAAGTGGGACACATACAACGTGTATTGAGTACGCTGAAAATCTCGCAGTTTAATAAAATAAAACTGAGTACAACGTGATGATTTTTACTGATAGGGCCCCATCAAAAGAATTTGCCACGGGCCCCAGAGGGTATAGTTCTTTTTTAATTTATGCTTCAATTTATTTGTGTGCACCGTTTTGGGATTCACATTAACATAGAATATAACCTAATAAGTAACTTAATTTGTTTTTAATCATACTATTAGATATTGGCATGCTTTGATTTGACTAATATTGCGGTTTTTCAACTCGTCCATCATAATATTATATAGGACCTACCAATTTCAATTTCAATAACTGATTTAAATATTAATTAAAAGGTTAGTTATGTTATAAGTTATGCTCTGGACTTGACTGCGGGAGTAAATTAAATTATATTATTGATTAAAACAAACCTTATAGACGATCCAGCCACCTGAAAGATAGTTGTTGCAAAAAATAAAACGGCCGCTACACCACTAGTCTGCTGCAATGTGCACAAAGTTAGTGTTATTCCCAGGCTTCGTCTGTTCGCCTTGACTGTAAATATCTTAATCCAGGCTTTCCAGCTTCTCGCTTCGTCTGGATTCGTGCCTCTCACTGATTCAAATATGCTTTCTAGATCTTCAACTCTGCCTAAGGATCTAAGTGTGTTTTTCGCTTCTATTTCCTTACCTGTAATCGTATTTTTATACTTCACTATATAACTGAATTACACTTGATTTTCCTACACCAACGGGGAAAGACAAAAAACAAATGGTGGCGGTATGACCTTTGGTCTTCCCTTAGATTTCTATTTGTTTCTGGTATGTCTATTTTCTTCTAATACACAAGTAGGTGGTAGGTAGGTAGATCAGCCTTCTTTGCCTCACAGACGTCGACATTGTGTGTCTAAGGCGGCATGCCTTCATTTTGTTGCCATATTTCATCGCGATGTTTTCCTTCACGTGATAAATCTACACATAGGTATAAAGGTTCATTGGTGGACAGCAGGGGTTCGAACTTACATTATGATAGTCTCACACTGAAGTCAACACTGCCCAATATCAGTCAATTAATTTTAATAATAATATTCTAACCTTTTATCGCATAATAAACAGGCGATTCCGGGATGAAATATATACCTATAACATGTACTATGTTAATAAGTAGGACGAAATAGCCCGTCATTTTATAGGAGACAAACGGACCGACACAGTAGGCAGCTAGAGTACCAGAAATTCCCACTATTGATGTAGAAGTTAGCAGAATACCACGAATGTTTGTGGATCTGAAAGAGTAAAAGATTTTGAGAAATTATTTTATAAAAATAGCTAAGTATATATATTTATATCTCCCTAGCTGGCAGGTATTTTTCTAGGAATTTTTTTTTAGTTCAATAAAAATAACTATCTACAATAATAAAAAAGGGGTTGATCGTATAGGGGTGATAATTAGGGGTTGTATGTATTTTTGTATGCTGTATCATAAAAAATAATAATTTGGGTGGACACCCCTTATCACTCACGGGTTTGCAAGATAGATAGTAGCCGATTCTCAGACTTACTGAATATGCATAAAATATTTCATGAGAATCAGTCGAGCCGTTTCAGAGGAGTATGGGAACGAACATTGTGACACGAGAATTTTATATATTAGAATCTTATAATAATAATATTTTTAGCATAGGTAAGTAGTAATGTAAATATTATCTATAAATTGTGTTATTTAAGGAATAGATTAAGCATTTTTTTTAAATGAAAAAAGGTTTGGTTTTATAGGTTTATTTAACTTTAATACAGTTTAAGATAAAGAAAAATATTTTTGCCATATGCTTGTGTGCGTAAAATGGCGTTATACCTCGAATGATAATTTAATCTCAAGTAAATTTAAAATTAATTATATGCTACGTAATCCAATCCCCGTGTGTCAAAGAATTAAGCGATTAAGTAAAATTCGCAAACTTTTCCGTATTATACGCGCAAGATTTTTCATATAAATATTTAGCATGTTATAAAAGACTGTACATATCAAGAGGTATCAATTTATTTTCACTATTTTCATCATCTGTGTCATGGTCAAAGGTTTTAAACCGACTTCAATATGAAGGAGTTAGATCGGTGTTCCTCTGCCATGCCAAAATTTCATATGCCCCTCTCTATGTAACATACATATTAAATAATAAAAATTTGATTGTTTACAAAAAAAACTTCAATGATAGGTTTTATGAGAAACCCAAAATGGGAAACACTGAGCTAGATGTATAAAAACTAAAACGATTCGCCTCAGATATAAAACAACTTATGTAATTTTACCTGTCAAACATTTTAGACCGAATATATTTATTTCTTCGTGTACATAAAAAATTGTAAATGTTACACTTTTGAAGTTTATAAAATCATCAAATAAATGTTCGTATGTCAGCCCTGCGATTCTGTAACTCACTTTTCGAACTCACACAGCGGTTTCGGTTCACACATAAAATGACTGCTTCAAGACTGATTTGAGAGCGACCGCCGATGCGAAAACCGCTGTGTGAGTTACAGAATCGCAGGGCTGACCTAGACCTACGAACATTACGGCTTCATATACTTTGTATGATATCTTTCATTATAAAGGATTTCCTTTTATTACATATGAGGTATTATTTCAAAACCCTTTCTTTCCATTACATCGGAGATTTCCGCCCAGGCTGATCGAAGCTAGTAGTTATCATTTATAATTCAGAACCAGCAAATATATGAAAATAACAACAAAAAAACGATTGGTAAAAGTTCTGTAGGACAGTACCTTAGTCTGTACAGCAGACTACTGTTTACAGCAGATAGGGAAAACAAAAGAGAAAAATAAATATAGTTTAAAAAAACTAAAAACCACGCTTTTAAAGCACATCAAACTAAAAAAAGAAAAATAATTCCTATTTAGGCTGAAAATGGTAATGGACAAAAAATACTGGTAGGTATTATTGTGAAAAAGCGTGGCGCGCTCTGTGACATATTTTTCGTCTATCGAGCAACCCAACCCAATATTTTCAGCCTAAATTAGGAATTATTTTTCTTTTTTTAGTTTGATGTGCTTTAAAAGCGTGGTTTTTAGTTTTTTTAAACTATATTTTTTTAGTTTGATGTGCTTTAAAAGCGTGGTTTTAGTTTTTTTAAACTATATTTATTTTCCACTTTTTAGTCCTAGCAGCAATACGTGTTGTCTCAATTTAATCGTATTGCTTTGTGGACTTAAAAAAAAATTCATTGTTTTTTCGAGATAAACCTATGAAATTATTATATTGTCGCTGATTCTTTATAATTGTACAAAGTTTGAATTAAATCTGTCCGTTTAATGTGGGTCAAAATCGAGTCCGCAGGAGTCGGTTACATACATACATACAGGTGAAGCTAATATAAAGCGTGTAAAAAGTGATCAGAAGATTAAGTAAGTAAGGTGTAAGGCTGTAAGGCTAATCATATATCAGAGGCGACAGATGCGTAAAGATGTATCTCTGCATCCTCAACCGTATTTACCACGGATAGTGTTCAGAAGAGTTATTCGGATTAATACCAGCATCATCGGACATCGAGGCAGAATAAGTATTTCCACCCGTATCACCTCGACGAGTTGTGTAACCGAGCGGTTTTAAGGCAATTTTTGCTGCGCACCACCAATATGCGAACCAGCTGCCCACTGAAGTATAACCGAACTAATTCGACTTAGACTCCTTCTAGTAATGAGCGTACCAATTCTTAAAAGGCCGGCACTTACAAGCCCTCTGGCATTTAGAGTGTCCATGAACGGCGGTATCACTTAACATCAGGTTAGCCTCTTGCCCGTTTGGCTCTTGATCTTGAAAAACATGATCGGTCTACAGAAGGAAAACTTCTTCTCTTGCTTAAGGATTTTTAAAGTTTGTTATTACCGTATTTACTTACGCTATTTCTCCTACGTATACCAAGTTACTAACAGTCACCATTCCCATACCGAGTCCGCTTATGATTCGTATAGCGAAAATCATTGCTATATTTTTCGTTGTAACGATAAGTATAATCGACGTCAAGTTCAAAATTCCACCAAATAATAGGCATGGTTTTCTTCCCACTATATTTGATAGGTAACTGGGTATGTAGGGACCTAAAAAACATAGCTTAGTTTATAATTTTATCGATCCTATTCTGACGATAATTATGCTCAAAGGTACAATTGAAAATCGTTTTCACTGTCTCTTCAAAATATATATATATATATATTAAGATACATTTCTTACTAGTTTTTTATCTTGAAAAACACACAATAATTGAAACTACTTGCAAATGTGATGTTGTATAGGGATGACCGCTTATGTTTTTATTACATTTTTTGAAGTGAAAACTTCTTTAGCGGCGTTGTACACTTTTTTTTGGAATGGGTAAAAATGTTAAACTCGCGTCAGGACACGTGATCTGATCGAAAATTCGTAAGACGGATGGAGAGTAGACAGCTGGCGCGGCGTATTTAATGCATATTATAAATTGTCATGTTTGTGTACGATAGCGCAATAAATAAATATTGTAATCTACCACATAAATGATAGTACTTTTATACTGATAATTAAAGCAATTCGTGCAAAATTATTCCCTAACTCAAAATATCAAAAATGCACAACGTTAATATTCAAGTTTTCACTTCTGCCGGCACTCCCGGAGTGCAACCCGTCGTTTTTTTATTATATACCTGTCATCCCTCACAAGAAACCAACGATATCCGAGCGATTTCTTTACAACTTTTAGATAGTTAAAAATATGTACACATAGTCCTAGATTAAGCTATTGCTAAATAAATTCTTATATACATATATATCAAACTATACTCACCAACAATAGATCCCAAATACAAGAGCGAACCTATCCAGGATACCTGTAAATCTGTAATGACCTCTTTCAATGGGCTTTGACTCAAATCTTGTAGTTTCGGTATAATCGGAGCGGACCAGCCCACGCTATATCCATCTATGAATTGACCTATGTTCACTGGAAACAAGTAAAATATTGTCACATTAAACATAACTTTCGAAGCTAAAATACCAAAAAGAGCACAACTAACGAAGCAAGAAGAACAGAACTAATTTAAGCGTACAACCTTACCAGGCTCTAGAAGATCACTTCTTATATGGAAATTGTATTCGTTTTTACAACAAACTCCCTAGCGAAATTAAAGTATTATCATTGAATATATTCAAAACTCTACTTAATCGTAAATTAATCAATAAAGCTTTTTATAAATTTGACGATTGTTTGAATGATCCTAATCTTCGGGATTAATTTCCTCCAGTTCAAACAATTTGTATGATTCAAAACTTGACGATTAAAAAGAGTGGTGGAGAGTTTCTTAGCAGTTCTTTTTGCCCGCTCTACGCCCCTGATTCGCTAACAGGTAGTAAATGTAAATTTAGAATCAATTTAATTATTTAATCTTTTCTGTTGACGTTCATAAGTGTACTTGATTACCTATATGAATAAATTTATTTTGAGTTTGGGCCGATGCGTCCGGCTGAGAGACAACGGTAGCACACAATCTATACGTGAACTGTGTTGCCAGCTTTTTAAAAAGTGAAGTGAAAAGTTTTTGTGAATTAGCGCATTTTTAATGTAATTAATCTGTATGATTTAAGTTACAAAAACATTTGAATTATCAAGTGAAAATATATGTTAATTTATCGAAAAAAAGTAATGTTCAATTTACTCCTTTGTATTATAGAAAATAATGATAATTTAGTGATAATAATTAGATTCAACTAATATACCTATTCTATTTTTCATCAATGTTATCTTACGACGTTATCACATAAATTATCGTCCGTAAACCGACTTTACAGACAACCAAATTTTTTCGTTCAATTATTTCTATTTATTAGTCATTGTGGATGTTTCAATTGTATTCTTTTCGTTTCTTTTTTGTGTTGTGTAACTGTTAAAAAATTGTAATTGCTGTATTTTTGTCTAAGTCTTGTATTTCTTGCCTGCTGTTGTACTTTTTTACAATTGTAATATACAATTAATTAATAAGTGTAATGTATTATTGTATTAGTATATTTTCTCATCTAAGTGAGTGTTGTAATTTTCTTAATGACATTAAATATCTTAAACCGTGAATGTAAAGTATGAAGATGTAATAGAATAAATATAGTATAAAACAACTAAAAAACACGCTTTTAAAGCACATCAAACTAAAAAGTGAAAAATAATTCCTAATTTAGGCTGAAAATGGTAATGAACAAAAAATACTGGTATTATTGTGAAAAAGCGTGGGTTGCTCGATAGACGAAAAATATGGCACAGTTAATTTTTTTTTTTTTTTTTTTTTTTCGGATTATTGCATTGTCATCGATCGTTGACAGATGCGCAAAGTTTGAATTAAATCTGTCCGTCAAAAGTGGGTCAAAATCGAGTCCGAAGGAGTCGGTTACATACATAAATACATACAGGTGAAGCTAATATAAAGCGTGTAAAAACAACCTTAAATTTGCCGTAATTAATCGCAAACTTTATGATATATAATTATTCAATATTGTACCAAAGCTACAGCATTTATTTTAACATTAACGATTCAAAGAAGTTTTAAATGTAACGACTCTTAACCCCACAGACGGCGCTTGGTATTAAACAGCTAATGAAAATTATCTTTCGTAGAATAGGTTAGTTACTATTTTTAAATAATTATTTTACATACATACCACAAGCGACAATAAGTAATTGTGTCCTCATAGCACTCATCTTATCACTGTAATGGGAACTTGTTTTATGGTTTTAATTAAATTACCTATTACTTTTTAATTGTTGATGCTTCACAAAATAAATGTTGTCAGTATATTTTACATTCGATATTTACATTACGTCGTTCCGTATGTATCGTTTTGTGTTTATACTAAGTAATTTTATTATAAAAATATGTACTAGTAATTATTAATACATTACTTAAACACGTGAATTATTTTGTAATTAGTTTAACCGTTTGCATTTTATCAATAGCTCAATCGATCTATGATATCGGGTATGTCAATAATAACATTGTTAGACATCTCAAAAGCATCAATTTTTAAAGTATACTCGTATAGTACAAACATACAAGATTTGACAAAGGTGCATCAATTAAACACTATATACAAAACTATCAGTTAATAATAAAATGTATTATATAAAATGGCGGTGTTATGGCTTCGATAGTTTTTTATTTTAAAAGTGTGTGCGTGTCTGTCACCTTTACGCGCGATTGAAGTAAAACTTCTTGGGCGTTGACGGCATATATCACTGAAATAATTAAATAGTAAGTGAAGTAATTGCTGATGAATAAATTTTATGATATTTGATAGCACATGCCAATATAAACTTGTTATTGAATATAATATTATAGAATGTCGCAATCGTCAGAAAATTTATTGTTAATTTACTTATTTTAAAAGCAATTGCAAATATTTTAAATTGCAAAGTTTTTTGAAAAACTCTTAATATAGTTATTGATTTATTACTTTTAAAATAAGTAAATTAATAATAAATGTTCTGACGATTGCAACATTCTATATTATTCAATAACAAGGTTATGTTGACATTTTTTGACAAAATCATAAAATTCTATTCATGAGCAATTACTACACTTTGACAATGAAGGTTCTCGACTTTAAATATTCCTAATTCATTATGATATTACCGATGATTCTAAATGGCGATTTAATGTTAATTTTTGTTTCAGGATTCTCAGCCGCTAGTCCATTTTTTAGAAGAAAAATTTGATCTATCTATGAATACTTCTCGACTTCATTCAACAACGCGTTTTGGTACAACGATAGATGCTATATTTTCAAGAAAAGTAGCAAATTTAAAAGGTAAAATTTATGTTTCACATTATAGTTACCACAAACCTATAATTTCATACGTAAGAAATTATGATGACATTAAATTACCTGTTTCGAATGAATAATCTTAATATAAAATTTTAATAATCTTTGTAAAGCACATGAATAATAAATATAATTAAATTAAAATCATCATTAGACGGCTCATTGGTCTAGTGGTTAGTACCCCTGACTGCGGATCAATGGGTCCCGGGTTCGATCCCCGGCTGAGACAAACATCGATGTGATTAGCATTTGGTGTTGTGCTTAGGTCTTGGGTGTTTAAATATCTATCTATAATATGTATGTATATCCGCTGCCTGGTAGCATAACGCAAGCTCACCAGCCAGGGCTAGGCCAATTGGCGTGATTCTCCAATAAAAGAATAAGTATCACAATATAAAAAAGTAATTATTCAGTGAGATATTATGCCGTTAACCAAAGAAACTTTTACTTCAATCGCGTGTAAAGGTTACACGCACACGCTTTTTTTTTATTAATAATTATTTATTGTTACTATTTAGGGTAAAAAAATTGTAAATACTATCATACATATTATAATAAAATACAGTTTTAGTGAAATTATTATAACAATAAATATCGTAAAGATATACCCAAAAACGCATACATTTCTAGATCACGACTACCTAAGCAACCTACTAACGTGACCTCATCCTACTGTTTGAATTAATAAGACAGCAAATCGAGTTACAACATTGTTAATTGTAAATCTTCAACCACCAATGCATAATGGTCGATGTCCAGGCTCCTCTATCAAAAACCACCGGTACGAAAACTGTGAAGCGATCATTCGTGGCGACCACGACTAAATCACAGTAAACCATACGCAATAAACTAGAAAATGGAGGGCGCCCTTTTTTATATTGTATTATGTGTAACTAAGAGCAGTGTTGGCCAAATGGCTTCAGCACGCGACTCTTATCCCTGACGTCGTAGGTTCGATCCCCGGCTGTGCACCAATGAACCTTCTTTCTATGTGCGCATTTAACAATCGCTCGAACGGTGAAGGAAACATCGTGAGGAAACCGGCTTGCTTTAGACCCAGAACGTTAGCGGCGTGTATCAGACACATGAGGCTTCCTACCTTCTTGCCTATTAGATTGACAAATAATCATGAAACAGATACAGAAATCTCCAACACCCAATCCCAAAAAGGTTGCGTCACTGATTTATTTATTTTATATTTTTATTATGTGTAACTGTTTATTATTATACTTGTAATAAGTCAGATATAAAGTCAACCTTAGCTGTATTAATAATTTGAAATAATATATGGAAATCTAAAATAAATTTGAATAGTTTGATGGCAGTGTAGCTTTAATACTGGCAGCATTTCCTCGCTGTATTCCAATTCATAATTGTTGAGAGAGAGCACCCGCTCTGGGGTCAGCGATATTGTCTACCGCAACCTCAATCTTTTTTAGTGCACTGTGCACTTGATTCCCATCTATCCTTGGTTTATCTTCGATATATTTCGGCTATAATTTATGGTTAATTATTCTTTACTTATCCAACCTTCCTTTTATTATTTACACTTGCTGAAAACTGCCTCTTTACTATGTCGATTATTTTTTTATATTATTGTAGTCTTAAGTTGCTAAAATGATAGAATGGAACCATATTAAATAACACATCGCGTTACACTCGCTCATATAAGCCAGGTACCTACTGTTTCTTTGAAGTTTCTAAATGTTTCTTATATTTTTATGTAAGTGCAAAAAATAATTATCCCTTATATATTTTTTTAAGTACAATTTTATCATCCAAGTGTAATAAAACTAAATATATTTTTACCGTCTAATTACACTGATTAGAATTCATCATTATTTAAATGTATTGAGTATTTGCTAATTTATATTTAGAACGCTCGCGATACCGTCGACATGCGTTTCTAATAAACAAAATTTAAACATTTAAAAATTAAGAAGAAAACCAGTGGAGCTTCAATCTTGTTCATTTTAATTATGCGTTTATAGGAAAATATATTCATGCTTGCTCAGCAGTTCCTCGGGCATGTTTGCCCAGGCTTATAACTACTAATGACTTCTGGACGATCCGTCGGAAGAGTACGGCATCATAGGCTGTTTATTTATCAATTTCGCGCACATTTCAAAGCCTAGACTTTTCTTATATTAGAATAACTACTAACTTATTAGATGAACTGATAAACTGTATAGTATTCAGGGTCTGGTCTGGGCCTATGCTTTTACGGTTCCCAGTACAACATGCTTGCATCCCATGGTAACGTAAGCGCAGGCCTACCCCACATCGTTCTGATGGGGTAGGGAGGCGTGGTCGTGGGATTAGTGCAGGTCGCTGTGATCCCCAAGACAGATTTGGTGGACCAGCCTTCCCGAGGTTGCCAACCCTGTTCTTGGTCTAATACCCTATGTATTAGACGCAACTAACACCAGGTGAAATATTGTGATGTCATGTCCTTCCGAGTTCATCATCAGACATGAAAGGATAGTGAATAGTTAATGACCTACCACTTGCTTCTGCCGAGCGCGGGGACTCGTACCGGGGAATGAAGGAGTCCTGGGGATTGAGTGGCGTAGTGAGCCAGTTGTAGTTGCGTTCTGCACACAACATACCTATCTTTGAATACCGTATTTTAACTCGATATCTGTTATTGAAATTCAGCTGCAGGTATTAATCCGAACAACTCCTCTGAACACTCACCGTGGTAAATGCGGGAGAAGATGCAGAGTGATCCCACTAACGTATAACGGAACAAATGTGCGGCTAAGAGCGGAAACTGAGTCCACACTACTACTACTACATGTAATGGTATTACCGTACCTGCTTCACAGCACAAGAAGTTTTTATATTTTTTACTGCCGCGTTATTCACTCTATCCATATAGAAGTATACTCCTAGAACTGACTGATAAATGAATGATGATGCATCAAGTAAAACAAAGCTTTAATTTACCCGACTTGGCTCTCTGGATTCCCTATGTTTTTAGTTGGAAGGCACAGAAACAAAAAAATCTAAAATACATAAAAAAATTACTAGACTGACAAATAACTCTGATGAAATTTTTTTTCAACTGCCCCAACAGTTGTTTTCTTTCAACAAACATTAATATGGCATATGTTTATGTACTTCTAAGCATGTGCGCAATATAAAATCATTGCGATTTATTTACGAAAACACGTCATCATTTCGACTGCCTTTTTTATTCCACAATTCCCAAGCACATTGCTCACATCTAAGTACAGGAGTTATTGTACCTAATCTCGTTATATTATACAACTCATATACTTGAAATTATCCCTCTGACAATAGTATGTAGAATAAGGAAAAATGAATCAGACATCTTTCATAAATCTAAAGTCTAAACCCGGTATAGCGATTACGCTTACCACGTAAATAGCGGTTTAAAACATTGACTAGTATCAACTTGCTATTCTTAAAGCAACTTATATTTTTGTCCAATCATTAAAATGTTTACAATAAAAAATAAAATTACTGTGTCAACAATTTATGCCTTTATCGCCTTCCTGTCAAATTTTTGTGCAGACCGCTCCAGTAATTGGTTGTGGTTTGAGTTTTGAAACGGCCAACACTGCCAGAAGGCGGGGGGGGGGGGGGGGAAGGGGGGGGGGGGGGAAAAAAAAAAAAATATAAAAAAAAAAAAAAAAAAACCCCCCTTTTAAAAATTTTTTAGATAATTTTTTTTTAAATGTAATGTAATGTAATGCTCGCAAGTGCGTTGCCGGCATTTCAAGAATTGGTACGCTCTTTTCTTGAAGGACACTAAGTCGAATTAGTTCGGAAATACTTCAGTGGGCAGCTGGTTCCACATATTTGTGGTGCGAGGCAAAAACTGCCTTAAGAAACATTTGAAGCGCAAATATTAACAATTATCATTATCAGAGCCCTTTAGTCAATCGTAATTTTTTAATGTAGAGGTCGGTAGGTAACTAGGCAGACCACACGTTGTTCAATAGCATATATTTTCAAGTACCTCGTCTCTTACCACGCATTACTCTTAGCAACGTAATTTTTATTAGAAACTAGCGGACCCCACAGACGTTGTCCTGCATGATATAACAAGTGATTAGGATATTAAACGAAGTATGAAAACACCGACTGCAAGGCCATCTGCCGGGCTGATTTGGCAATCTAAACTATCCAAGGCTCCACCCAAACGCATACAAAAAAATCATTCAAATCTGTGAAGCCGTTTAAGAGGAGTTCCGTGACATACACACGTACAGTAGAACTATTTATATATATGTAAGCTATCCTATCTTGTTAGTTAGATCAAACTGCACAATGTGTGCAAATTTGATTGAAATCGATTAAGTACTTTAGGAGTCCATAGCGGACAAACAACGTGACGCATACTTTGTATATTTTAAGATTTACTAAGAAACTACTAATTTTTCATATTTGTATGGTTTGCTTTTTTAAAACATAAATATTTTTTTTTACACAATCATTTTAAAAACATTTTTTATTTACAGATTCGAAAAGCGCATCCCTAATATTTGTAAAGGAAAAAAATTAAGAACTCACTTCAACACTTCACTTCAAACTAAATATGTTTTGTAAATATTGTAACATTAATATAATATAACGTAAAATTAAAACTGATTTTTAGGTTTCTTCGTGCAATTTTTTAAATTTTTCTCTCCATAACTTAGTTAAGAGTTCAAGAAATATATATTTTTTTAAATTACTCGAATGAGTTCATCCGTCTTCGAGTTTTGCACTTAGCAACATATTTTGCGATTCAATTGTATTTATATAGATAATAGAAATTGGCTGTGCCAAAAATCAATCTGGAACTGTTCGGAAAAACACCTTTTGTATGGCAATTAAAGTTTACAATAAATTACCAAAAGAATTAAAAGATCTTCCGTCTAGAGTCTTTAAAAAGCGACTTAGTGTATTACTTTTGGAAAAAATGTACTATTCAATAAATGATTATTTGCGTGAGACACTGTAATTGATATAAATTTAATAAAGTATGATATTTACGATACAGAAAATATAAGAATTGACTTTGACTAATAATGTAAAATTCCTTAAGACAAATTTGCGCGCCATTGTGTGTGGCAGAATATGCAAACGATATACGATTGTACCACCTTAACATTTTGTACCATATTCTTGCAATAAATAAATTGTTATTATTATTATAGATTTAGGATATACATACCTACATAAGCAATCAATCGCAGTAAAACTAACGAGAAAATGTATCACACAATTATTATTCATATATACTATTATTATTATTATTGCATCTTGTTCTTGGTACAACCCCATTTATACTTCTGGAAGTTTGAGTTTTGGAAGTACTTAGACAAAATCATTTAAGTTACTATAACAGTTTTAACATCACTATTTAACTTAGCATCTCCTGAATTTCATTAAGAGTTTTTCCTTTCGTTTCTGGAAGGCAGAAGTAAGTGAAAAGAAAGGCAAGCACACAGGAACCTCCGAAGAGCCAGAACGTAACGTCGCCCCCGAGGGAGTCCACCATGGTGGTGAAGCTAGTGGTGAGAATAAATCCCACCAGCCAGGTCATGGTGATAGCGAGAGCCGAGCCATTCGATCGTACGTTGGTTCGAAACATTTCTCCCACAATTGCATTTGGTATAGTTCCGAAACCTGGATTATTTTAAAAGTTTAATTATTTATGACAGCGGCCAAAGGAATAAATATGCCTATTTACCTTAACTTAAAAAAATAAATAAATTAGTGGCGCTACAACCTCTAGGGCCTCAGATTTCTGAAACTGTTTCATGGTCATTTTTAAATCTAATAGGCAAGTAGGTGATCAGCCTCCAGTGCCTGACACACGCCGTCGACTTCTTGGGTCTAAGACATGTCGGTTTCCATACAATGTTTTTCCTTTACTAGTCGAGTGAATGTGAAATTCGCAAATTGAAAGAAAGTCAATTGGTGCACAGCCGGGGATCGAACCTCCGACCTCAGGGATGAGACTCGCACGCTAATCTAACAACTGTTTTTATTCTTCCCATTAACCTTTATTTGGCGCTTAGTTCATAATTACTTTATTTTAAAAAAAGAGTTGTTTTCATAAAAAAAAATATCAGAGGTTCTCAGTTTTTTTTTACTTATTTCGTTGCCATTTATTTACTTACGTCCATGCATGGCCAAACTCAGACTAAAAACAACATAAAACCACAATAAAATACGATTAAGTTATTTACAAAATTGACAGTAAATGCTATCGTCTTATCCCCTCTAAGTATACACAAATCACAGTATATCGAACCCCCATACGCTTACCAAATAGGTCGCTCTCCGGTGAAGAGTCGAGAAACCTATTAAGCAGCGAGAGTAACCGAGGAATGGGAGCTTGTGGACGCTGGACAGTGCGAGCCGACCGCACAGCAAAAATGTTATGTTTCCGGCAGTGCGGCGGTAATAATTATCCAGAACGTACAGTCTCATGATCATAAAAATGCATATAGTAAAAACAGGTTAGATAAGTCATTAGACAAAGGCTATTAGTAGCTGAGATACCAGAAGTGCATACATAGTTAACGAAAAAACATGTAACAATAAATATACTAACTAACACTAAACTAAACTAAAATTATAATATTAATAAAAATGTAAAACTAATCTAAGGGTTATTGAGTCATAATTTTTATTTTGTTCAGAGAATTAGAGATATATAGGTACGTTTGCAGTTTCAAAGACGATTGGAGCCGACTATGATTATTATATTTTATTATAATTCTATGCAACTATGAATATCAACCAGGAGAAGACACAGCGGCCTTGGCGTCAGATTTCTCTATACGTTTTCATAATATTGTTTCCTTATAACTAGGAAATCAGCCGAACACTCGAAAGAAACTTCATTGCACAGCCAGGGTTCGAACGCACATATATAAACTGTATATAATAGTAATAACGTACCTGCTTCATAGCAGAAGAAGTAGACTATTAGAGCTACTAAGGGTAGCCAACCGACATTCTGTACTGCAGCGTTATTCACTCTATCCAAATAGAAGTATACTCCTAGAACTGACTGAAAATGAAATAAAACAAAGCTTTAATTTCCGCCCCATGGCGCATAGCCTTGAATCTCTTTGGATTCCGAATGTTTCAAGTTGGAAGGCACATGCTTAGTATTAGAGCGCGGCCACACGATGCGTTAACGGTGCGGTGCGGCGCCGATACAAATTACAGGTAGCGGCACGAAACTCTAGCGCTGACCGTTATTGCGCAGAAGTCAAAAATAAGGTACCTGAGGGGGGCTAGCGGAATGAAGAGCGGGCGCGCGTAGCGTCGATTGGCTCTCCAGTCGCATTCCGTCCCCCGCGCGACAGTACACATGCGCAGCAATCCCCTCCTAGTATCAGCCAGCGCTAGACTTACGTGCCGCTGCCTATACTATACCATGTCACACGATGCGTGGCGCCGCCGCGCGGCGTCGCACTGCAAGCGCGCCGGAGTTGTGACCTGCGAGACGAGGCGGGGAGGCGTAAAATATATTGCCACACCGCAACGCCCGTGTGGCACCGGTGTAGCTCTAACTGCGGTGTGGCGCCGCACCGCACTGTTAACGCAACGTATGGCCGCGCTCTTAGCTAACTTGACATATTTTAGACGTCATCAGTTGTGTCCGTCAATGAATGGATCATGACAGATCCATTACCGTTTTTAAAATTTGAATTCTGCCATTTATTAAGTTCTTTATTGCGTCCATAATTAGAATCGCTATTTAGAATTAGAGAGAGGGAAAAAAGCAACATATACATTGATGGGATATAATTGTCGATTTGTTTTCCGACCCAAGTCGTATGTCATTTGTTATTTAAACCAAATAAACTAAAACTTACCAGACTAAGAGCACATGCGGCCATTGAAATCAACAACAAGATTTTCCGGCCCGATCGATCTATAAATGAAGGCGCAATTAAACTGGACAACAATCTTGTAACACCAACAATTATTGTCGCTATATGGGGCTCCACAGATGACCCGGCTTGAGCAAAAATTGTTGTTGCGAAAAATAGTACAACAGCCACACCGCTCAATTGTTGAAATGCTCCCAGAGTAAATGTTATGAATAAGGACATCCTATTTGATTTTATTGTGAAGATTTCCATCCAATCCTGGATTTTTGTCGTCTCTTCTTGCTTTTTGAGAGCGTCCAAACTTTTCTTGACATCCTCGGAACGTCCCAAAAGACAGAGCGTCTTTGTAGCAGTTAATTCGTTTTCTGTAAGTTTGAGGAAACTTTAAATAACATACGCGACTCCATTATTTCGCAGGCCCAATCGTGATCTACGTACGTACTAAAACCTACGTGAAAAGTACACCAAAGGTCAAGTTCCTTTAAGAAAAGAGCGTACTAATTCCTAAAAGGCGACGCATTTGCGAGCCTTTTGGCAATGTGAGTGTTTATGGGGGTGTCGCTACATAAAAAAAGAGGAGGTCTCTGTCCGTTTACCTTTTTTTAAAAAAAAAAAAGTTATGTAAATAATATAATTAATTTTGGTAGGAAGTGAAGAACAAAAGTTCGGGTTTGTTTAAAGTTCGAACTTCAGCTGTGCACTTATGCGCATGTGCGTATTTAACACTGGCTCGTACGGTGAAGAAAAGTATCTTGAGTAAACAGTCAGGCACAGGAGTGGATCACTTACCTCCCTATTACAAAAATATCACAAAACATAAACAGAAATGTAAGACCCAAATCTTACAAGGTTGAAACGCTAATGTTTTTTTTTAAATCAAGACATAAGTTTTTACTATTACATTACCTGACCATTACCAGAACATCATTAACATCATTACCAGAACATCAGATGACACATGAATAAAACAACATTTACCTTTCATTGCATGATATATTGGGGATTCAGGTACGAAAAATAGCCCAAAAACATGCAGTGTGGATATTGCCAAAGCTATGTACCCTGTAGTTACATATGAAACATATGGCGCTACCGCGTACACGAGGAGAGTCCCCGATATCCCAATTATAGATGTCGAAGTTAAAAGAATCCCTCGAATATGGGTTGATCTGAAAAACAATACAATTCTACGTTAAGAATGTCTTACGTACTTCATTCAAATGACATTATTGTCATCAAAGTATAGATGATAGCTTTACCATGAGTTTTCCAAAGTGTTAAACGCTAAAGTAAAAATACCTTAGGGCTTCGTTGCGTAGAGATGTGGGGTCACACTGCATCTTCTACGCATTTACCATGGAGAGGTTAGAGGAGGTTCGGATTAATACCGCAGGCTCATCATCGCTCGGGCAGAATACGAAATTCCACCCGTATCCCCGACGTCCGCCTTCCTGCAACTGATAGTTTTTGCCGCGCACCACCACTTTCTGGAAAGCTGCCCACTGAAGTATTTCCGAACCAATTCAACTTAGGGTCCTTCAATAAAAGCGTACCAATTCTTAAAAGGCCGGCAACGCATCGTGAGCCCTCTGGCATTGAGAGTGCCATGGGGGGGTATCACTTAACATAAGGTGAGCCTCCTGCCCGTTTGCCCCGTTCTATTAAAAAAAAACGAGACTTAGCTCCTGTTATTCTTCTGCTCGTGTTATGCCTCTAGTATGTCATGGTTGTAACGTACGGGTGTAACGGTAAAATATTTTGTATATCATATGGGCTCATCAAAATTATATATCTTTTTCTGTCAAAATTGCCACGGCACGGGGCAGATATTTTTGTAACAGGAGAGTAGATAATCAACTGATTGTAAGAATTATTTCCTTTAAGTCTTATTAAATATAAAGCTTTACTACGAATGCACGCTTCATAACTATCAAATTTTAAAGTAAGTGAAAAGAAAAGTAAAAATTGAGTCTGTTCTTCACTATATAAGCGCCAAAAAAAAAAAATACTTACGCAATTTCTCCAATATAAACAATATTTCCCACAGTAGTGATCCCCATACCAAGACCACTCATGACTCTGATCGCATACACCATGCCAATATTCTTTGTAGTCACCACCAAGATATAAGACATGATATTCAAGAAACCGCCTATTATCAGGCATGGTTTTCTTCCAATGAGATTTGCTAGAACCCCAGTTACGTATGGACCTAAAATTTAATAATTAATAATAATAATAAAACTTAATTTATGGCAAAAAGGGTTGTGACAAGATTCATTTATCGCTAGTCCCCACACTAAGGAAGCCCTGTGTTGTGGGTAACTAGAAGACAAATATTCCGTGGTGCATGGTACATGTTTAAAACAGTTTAAAAATGTAAAATAAAAATAATAATAATTTTAGAGTTTAAAATTAAGAATGAGTGAACAAGTAAGTGTGTGAATGGGTGTGTAATGGGTGTGTATGCGCATGTATTTGAGAGTGTAGCTGAAAGTTGATATGATCGTGCAGTGTGCCTGTGTTAGTTTTTGAGACATCAGAGTAATTCCAAGATACGTAGTAAGGCCACTGTAGATTCGAAATCCAATTTGGCTAGGGTCATTTCTATGTGTTTTGCGAGCTTGTATCTAGATAGTTTGACTATCTCAGAGTTCATTGATTTGGAAATTTTATTATAAAGGAAGGGACCTCTAAATGCGAGGGAGCGTTGGCCAAACACAGTTCTACATTTTGGCGTTGGGAATACAAAACGTCTGTTCCGATGATAAGACCGTTAGTTGATGGAATTTATGATATCTTATCTTTATCAGCAGCCTTCAATCACTACGATATGTGTCGAATTAAGTGTCACGTACTAGGCTGACCAAGTGTGTGTTGTTGAATGGGATACCAATTATACCCAACTTATTTTGTCTAACTCCTGGAGTGACTTTGCAGTGCGTGTAATTAATTGTTATTTAATATTAATATGATTTACCAGGGGCGGATCTATGTAGGGGCATTTTGGGCTGCAGCCCAGGGCCCCATGGATACAAAGGGCCCCCCTTCCCTACTGAAAACAATAGGCGATATTTTTAATTAAATTTAAATTAAAAAATCGAACGGAATGGGGTATTCCCCGTCGCTTGTTTTCGGTCGGTGTATTTTTTTTCGCGTCTATTAACAGGGGACTTACCCGTAATAGCCCAGAGCCCCACAAAATCACGATCCGCCCATGTGATTTACGATAGACAAAGACACGTACGATAAAGAACAGGAAGAGTTTTTGCGTAGGTACTGTGCTCATAATAGCTATTAGCTGTGTCTCGCGTTAATTCAGTCGTAGCTTAATGTTAATACAGCCTTGGGTACTTCGATATTTGGCGATCAACACATGGAATATTCGAAACCATTGTAATGCGAACCAGTATTTATTAGGTTAACCAGCGTAATATTAGGTAGATCAATAGAAATTGGGTAAAAATAAGTGCACTTCATAGCAAATTACCTACCTACCAAAGCACCAATATACAAAAGTGACCCCACCCAAGAAGCCTCAAAATCCGTGATTGGTTCTGGCAATGGATTATCCAAGACATCCTTCATTTTAGGTATAATTGGTGCTGACCAGCCAACGCTGTAGCCAACTATAATCTGGCCTATGTTCACTGAAATTTATTTATTTACAAAGACTTGCCAATTGGTACACTCATACATTAATTGAAACAAAAGAAAAATAAAATAAAATACACGATTTAATTTGACAAACGCTTGTATTCAAACATAAACACGTAGGAAAAAAATATATTCGTTCATAAAACTAAAGAAAAATAGATTTCAAAATGTGACAATACGGTGCCTATACATTTCTCATTATTACTTATCGGTACAAATAGTAATCAGTATTGGCCTAGTGGCTTAATCGAGCTACCTCATCTTTGAGGTTATATATTCAAACCCTGGCTGTGCACCAATAAACATTTCCTTCTATGTGCACATTTAAGACTCGCTCGATCTATAATGTCGACAGTATATGTCAGGCACAGAAGGCTGATCACCTGCTTGCCTACTAGAGAAAAGAATGATCACGAAACAGATAAAGACGTAAAAAGCCAACCAAGGATTGTAGAGCCAGTGTTTAATAGAGATAAATGGACTAATAAATATGTAAAAGCGCAATTAAATTAACTACTTTAGTTTTCGTGTCCCAAAAAACAGAAAGAGACGGCTGCTCATCAGAACCAGTAACATCCAAGAGAACCACTAATCAAGCCACAGTCGCATAGTTCATTTACAAGAATGCTACAGGGGCTTGAGACAAAATCACTTTACGACACAATGAAGAAGGCGAACGAAGACGAAGCTCACGCTTTGTCACGTGACCATTTCCATATAAATTAGTTTTGCGTTAGTGGGTCCCCCCGCATATCGGTGACTTCGTCTCAAGCCCCAGGTGCTATTCTTTTAATTATTGCTTATATGAGTTTGAGGGTGTACCGATAAGCTCTTTTACTAAATAGATATACTAAATAAAATGTTACTTACAACATGAAACAATCAATATCTGATATTTCAGATTTTCCATTTTAAATTTTTTCCCAAGTTCTATATACTCGTAATTTCTGTCTTCCATTGAGACGAACGGCAAAACGCACAGTCCTCAATTATTAATTCGACTTATCTATATACATACAAAATAAGATGTAAGTGTTTGATAATTGATTGATGAAAATCTTGGTATAATTATCAAATACATCTTTTTTAGGGTCCCGTAGCTAACTTATTTCCAAGCTATATTGAACTAACCATTACGTGTATGTCCCCCCTTTACTTCTAAAGTGAGTGAAGATTAAAAAAAATATTTGCAGTTGATCTTCCAACAAAATTGATGTCAACGAAGATTTAGTCAGCATTTTTCAAAAATATATAACCTCAGTTGTACAAATACTATGAAAATAAATAGTTTTTTCTAGCGAATAGTGGTAAGAACAACTCGCACAAAGCCACTTTTTTAATTATTGTACAGACTTTATTTGTTTAAGAAGTTAAGTAATACCTAGTATATATGTTTTTCTTCATTCGTTTTAAGCAATAATGTTGATGTGTGTTATTATTTAAGTTAAATCTTTTTAAGGCATTCTTTAGTAAAATTGTATTGTGTGCTAAGGATGTGTACACAGAGCAATAGACAATTTATAATCTACACTAGATAATATTGTAAAGTTTTTTATTAATAAAATTATATTAAATAGGTTCGACCAATGCCGAAAATAATGAAAATACTATTTGTTGATAAAGATCCGTAGATAAGTTTTTGTCTACGATCCGAAAAAGATAAGATTTTGCGATAATCAAATGTCACATTGTCTAATGTCAAAATGCTACATTTACAGCTCGCGTACTAATGTCTTGAAAACAAATGTATCTTTGAAAATAAGAATGGTATTTTTCCTTCATTTCAAAGCCACAGAAATCGTACGAAAGAATTTTGATTTGGACGTAATTGTAAACATCCAAGATGTACGGTTCCTGGCTCATCAGGGTACTTAAAATAATAGAGAAAAATATTTATTCTATATTTACCACTCGCGTACAACAATAGAATATACTATGCGAAATAATTAAATGCTTATTGCTATGAAACAAATGTTAAATGAATGTAAAGTAAATGTTTAAGAGAGTCCAGACTCGGGACTCCCACCAAAATCGGGACTTCCCGATTTTTAAATCAAAATGAAATGTCCCGCGCGGGACTGGCTTAGTCCCGCTTTTCGGGAATAACTCGATGGCACTGACAAGTGTGTACTACCACCAACGCACAATAATGGCACCAACATTTTCAACAGTATCCTAAAAAAAAATACCAGGATTGTCAATCTCGTATCTTTCTTTTTTCTTTTAACGCCTTCTTTTTCCAGATAAATTTAAAATGGTCAGATGCCAGAAATAAATGCTTCGTAAATTTAATGAAATCAGAGTTACTCATCCAGTTTAATCTACAGCTATCCTGTGAAGAGTTCTTTGTCTTTTTTAAAGAGAAAATTAAACTTTTAAAGAAGTTATATCTTCATAGAAATATTATGAATAAGTAATTCTTATAAATAATTACCCTCTTAATGTAAGGTGCAGTTTGAAACACTCACTCTTCAGAGTATTGTTTGAAACGCTTTATTTTTCTAATAAATAAAACTTTTATGATTTTGATTTTTTTTGTTTTTTAATCAGAAGATGAATAAGAACTATTTAACGATAGGTTTAATCTGATTTAAATATATTTTCTGTGACTATTTTCGCTATCTTTTGTCACACATACGTGATTTGAACTCAATTAAAAATATCAATACTTAAAAACTTCTGATTATTTAAATTTTTTTACTATGTCCCGCTTTCGACAAATTAATTCCGCTTTTTCACTTAAAAAAGTGCCAAAATCCCGACTTGGCAAAAAAGAAATCTGGCAATGCTGGTGCGTCGGTCTGGAAATACTCTCGGAGTGTAATTCCGACGATTTAGATAATCGCCACGCTTAGAAAACTAACAAAGTTCAGCAAAATGTACACTGTACACTGTACAGCCTTGGCTCGCCACAATAACTATTTTTATTGATTACTATAGAAAGTATTTAGCTGTGTAAACAGCGATTTAGTTGACGATCGCAGGTGACATAACTTAATAACGGTAATCCGAGGCAAATATACCATTTGTACGACAATACTGAGACATTACACCCTCGAACACGTAATCTCAGTCGCTTAGCTTCACCAAGGTAGTGATTTATGGCGCCTTTACACGATGTCCACTCCTTATTTTGACTATGTGTTTTCGTGTTGTTCCCACGAGAATGTAAGTGCGTGCTCCTATTTCACCATGCCTCCTGCTGATAGAGGACAACTCTTTGTTTATAATTTATGTTATTATTATTAATTACTTAAAATGTCATGTGGAACATGGTTTAATGGTTGCAGCTCCTTACAAACGTTGTGTAAAAAAAAATTGCGATTAAAAAAAGTGGCGGAGAGTTTATTGCCAGTTCTTCTCCGTTCTACGCCCTTGATTTGAGAACTGGCACTAAATGTAAAATTAGAAGCATTAATATTATGTATTTCTTTACTGACAAGTCATAAGTGTACAATGTGTTACCCATATGATTAAATGATTTTTGAATTTGAATTTAAGTATTAAATCCTAAAATGTTTACTATCATCATGTGTCTATGTAGTCAGGTTATTATAGCTATCAGCGTGCGTTGGTAACTTAAATATCTCTGCTGGTTCCTGTCATTCGTTTTATTTAATTTTTTTATTTATTGATTTATACGTAGTACGATACAAAACTTTCGAATTCTTTGCGAATATAACGGAATATACAGTACTTATCCGGATATATTCGCTAGTGGGCTGATCAATTTTAAGGAAAGCATTGTTAAGTGCCTATCTCATACCTAATCCGCTGTTAATCTAGTAATTTTCTTGCTTAAATAATAAAATAAGCAAAGGATTTCTAGTAATTTTATTATATTTTATATATTGTTTTATTGTGTTTTATTCTTTTTTTTATAACATTTATGTTTACCATAATTGTCATATCACTGTAGATATAGCATTATGTATGATCTGGTGAACTTCAATAAATAAATAAAAACTGTTAATGACTAGTTTTAAACTAAACAAATATTATAAGTATAACAATACTTTTTTATACTATTTATTAAACTGACGAGTTTTATACATAATATACCACAAACACGTTACAGTCTTAATAAGTTAATATTAAAAAATAAATTTAATATAATATACTCTGCTTTACAAATCAAGAATATTAATCAGTTTTACAAAACGTTTGTGTACATGTTTCTGTAAGTTAGATAGAGATAATGACGTACTTAAATAATTACAAAATTTTAGGATGTTAATTCTAAGTCCACTTAAGATACAATGTAAGCCAACCACTTAGAATCACGTATTAAAGTAAAATGTAGGTATTATTTTAACGAGCAAAACTGTGAAAGTTAGAGAAATGTACATAATACCCAGGTTTAGGACTCTGTCACCACAGTCCAAACTTCGGACGGAGTTAAATTGCCAATCAGACACACAATGCCGACATATCTCTTGGTTAGGGACGTATACGTATTCTCGTTACTACATCATTTAGTAGTATAACCGTCAAATCTACTGTTAATATCCTCAAACTATTAAAACCTTGAAAGAAATCGTTAGTGGACGGCAATTTCGTTGTTTTAAACTTTAATCAACATATGCATGCAAATAATGTGTATACTGTAATTTAAAAAACTACAAAAATAAAGCATACATCCATATACCTCTTTTGAAATAAATATATTAATACATTTGAAAATAAATTAATTTGAGGCTAACATTGAGAATATTATATTAGTGCATGAATAGGTACGTTTGTAAAATACACAGCAATATATCCAATTTCACGCAAGAATAAACTTTGATAGTAGTTTCCAAGTTATGTTCAAATACAGAATTTTTAGTGTCTCGCAGACGCCTCGGGGACTACCTGACTTTGGAAATTTATTTTTTCGCAATATAAAACGTACCTATATTAAATTCTTGATAAGCAGTTTTGTAATTTAAATAATTAAATATTTGGCTTAATTCGTTTATTTCTCTAAATACAAAAATATTGTTCTATTAACAAAATATATTTATAAAAAGTGTTCGTCAATCGCAATGCAATTCAAAACGTAACCTCATGGTGGCGTTCTCATAATTATTTTTCCAGTTGATAAGTTATAAACTTAACTATCAAAACGAGATCATGTTTTATCGTTTATGTCCAGGGTTTCCAGGACAGTAGCAGGACTTAGGATCTTTTCCAGGACCTCCACCGCTATTATTACCTTGAACAACATTCTTCATTTGCTGCATAAGATCGTTTATTTGATTCGTCAACTGACCGACTGTATTACACATTTGTTCCAACGCCGGCATTGGATCTGACGATTGACCTAAATCTCCAGGAGGTAACGAGCATCCTGAAGGGCAGGATGGAGGGCTCTCCGGTCTGGGTGGTATCTGATGTGGTAAAACCGCCCCAGCTCTCAATGGAACACTAGTTTCTTTGCATGACGGACCGCATGAATTACCAGGCTTTTCTCTTCCTGGTTGGTTAGATCCCTTGCTATTTTCCTTACATTCTTTACCGCATTGGCCTAAAGGACAACTCGATCCAGCCCCGGTATTTCTCATATTGGCTCCTTTTTGACCTTGTTGTTTATTAATCGGACAGCCGGTGTTGTCGCATTTGGGTGTAATATTAGCGGGGCACTGTAAGTTTGTGCAGCTGTATGGCTCATCCGAGCGGTATTCTTTTGGGAGCGAGCTGTTGCAATCTGGACAAGGACAGTTTACGAGAATGATACCAGCTTTGATGTCCTTAATCTTACCGGGTGTGTAGTTGAGGCAGGCGTAGTGAACCCAACACTGACAAAATCCCTGGCATTGTAAACCATTCTTTCGGGTTACTGGTCCCAGACATATTTTGCATGGGTTTTTTATTTTCTTACAGGGTTTTGACATGGCGAAGATAAATAGATTAGCTCGAGAGATAATCCTTATACATGTTTGTTTTTTTATTTAATTTATTGATATTGTACATTATGCATGATGAATTTAAAGTCAGTTTGAGGGTATGAAATAATATGTCATTTCAGCCCAAGTAGTAAAAATCATAGAGATATTTTTATCATAGAATGACAGAACATGAACAGAGTATAATATACAGTCCACTCCCGTTTTCAATTACATATTAGGTACAGTGAATTAACAAGATTAAAAATAAAAGCAAACCCTTCTTTAATCGGCCGGAAACGCACCCACTAACACGGACATGGGCTGCGGTAGCTGCCTTTCATGGCTGTTCCGTAGACTCGTTTGTCCCATCATATAAAAAATATAAAGGTAGCTAATGTTCCTGTATATTCTCACCTGTTCCCATTATTTGCGGTAGGTTATTTGTAAAGCGTAACGAGAATAATAAAATTTCATTATAGTTAATTTCATATTTTCGAAAAGGCTTTCGCGAAAATATTCTTTCGTTCTACTATCTACGTTATCGAGCTATAGACGTTATCCATATTATTAGAATCTGGGGAAGAAAGCTGTCGTGGGATTTAAGGTCGCAGAGCTAAAAAGTCATTATAATTTAAGTCTTCTTTTTTATATATATTTTAAATCTATTATTTCAGATTGCATTCTTTGCAAACTCAAAATAAGTATAGGATTAAAATACCTGTGGCGAACAACAATATACCACTCCTCTTTTCCACCGCGTCGGTGATTTTACCGCTATGTGTGACGACACGGGCGCGGTGGGTGGAGCCTGCAGCCAGTGGCAGCGCGACCAGCGGGCAGTGCGATCAGGGGGCCTACCATGAACTCTTATTGCGAGCCAATTGACAACCTACAACTGAGATGCATCGCTAATTCGTACCATGACATCGAAAAAACGAGACAGTTTATGTTCCCACGTGACCTTAGCGGTTATCAGATTTCGTTCGTTCAATTTGTATGAAAATCCGTACCATGACCGCTCGGCTGAACCGAAATTTGACAGTTGCGCCTTCCAACTATGACAGAATAAGCGATTCTAAAAAAGTTACTTTTTTGTATCGAAATGTCCAAAAAATAGTTAAGAACCTATAAAATTCAATATTTGTATTAAAACTTGTTAATAAAGTTAAAATAATAAGATTTATCTACTATGGCTAATATAGGAAAAAAAAATATTTTTATATTTCCGATATTTTGGGGTATTTTGAGTTTAGAGTGTGATTATAAATAAATTATTAAAATATCGACGGAGATGAAAAACAAGACGGCAAAGCCCTTCTACCGACTTCGTAGATATTGAGTTTATAATTTATTTATTGATTAACGACTTTGATTCATTGAAGATTTCAGTGTACCTACAAATAATTGCACACGGTTCAATAATATTCAATTAATTATTTAGGCATGTCTAACAAAAACATAATTCCCCAATATTTTACAATAAATAAAAATGCCTTATCACTAGTAGATATTTATTATAATTAAATATGTTCTCATTATGTTCATGAATTGTATTATTCTCCTCTGCTTTTTGTTGTTTAAAAAAAACATAGGTATTTTTCAAATTTATAATGTGTAAATAATAAGTCATTTAAAAATAATATAATAACAGTATTTATTTAGTAGATGACTCCATCAAGATAGAAAAAGGTGTCTTCAGGCAATGTTCAATTGGATATTCATATATTTCATTCTCTCAATTCAGCGAGTTTGTCATGTTTAAGCTGTAAAGAAGATATAAGATAATAAAATTTTCGAGTTTTATCAGGAATTAACTTCGATAAAGGTATTTATTTTTAATCAAATTGTGAACAATACTTACCCCATCATATTATTTTATAAGTAAACAATTTGTAAAACTATATTTATAAAACTGAAATTTTGTAAACACCAAAATATTGAAAGCTCCTATCAAAATTTGACGGAAACGTTTAAAAATAATAAGTGTCAACTATCATAGCACCAGAAAACTTTGTTGAAAATATATCAAAAGAATAGTTTTATATATTAAATAAATATATATATTATTTATTAAGACATAATAGCTTATTATGATTTATGAATTATTGAAAACAATTTTATATTTTATTTATTTTTATAGAAAGATCTATCAAAGAAAGTTTGACAGTAAAATTTCAAAACTTACGTAGAAACCTCAAATAAAATTATCGTTCTTTCATTCGGTCTTGCGAATACGTTTCAGATTATAGGCGGTCATGGTACGAAAAAATGCTATTGACTTTAGGTACCTAAACTCAACTGCATCTCAACTGGATTGTTTTAAGAAAGTTCATGGTAGGCCCCCAGAACTATCAAAGGCGAAACCCGTGCGCAATTTACGAATTATCCCTTTTTGACTTATAATTAATCTATTCTTGTCTTAACGCTTTCTTTCCTCTTATTGTGCTACAACTCATATCATTTATTAACTTTGTTCCTTCTGTATACGTTGTAATAATTATATATACTTTAGACGTGAAGAAGTTTTCTTTGTGTTCCCAACGCGGGCACTGCCTAGCCTAGAAACTTATTATATGGTGCTCGCCTCTCGCGCACCTATATACCAATTTCTCCAATTCCAGTTTCATTGCTTTTCGAGCGTTTTTATATTAAAACAAATAATGAAACAATTATTTAAGTAGTAAGGTTTTCTGTAATTATTATTAAAGTTTATTGCTTTCAATCATTTTAAACATCAGCTCTCTGAGCTGGGTTGAAAGTCTTCCAACAGTTTTGCACATTTCATCCAGGCTCACAATCAGCTCTTTTTGGTTTGACGCAGTAGGTAACTTTGAATCGCTTGATGATGCCCGTCGAGGGACACATTTGATATCTGAAAAGTAATAATCGGTGCCAATGTTGTAAGATCTTCCACATTCATTTGCTAATTGTTATTACGTAGAGAAGTATTCTAAAAGAATCGGTTAACTCGCCTGTTGACGAATTTTCAGTAGGTTATATTTATAGTAATAGTGATTTTGAAAATAGCTTAAAAACAGATCAAAACTTTTTGAAAATATGTACCCTGTTTAATATGCTTGTATTTGCTTCGATACATAGCGTATAATTTGAAAAATAATGTAATTGTTTCGAGATTGCTTTCACGGAAGGCCTTTAAAAAATAATCAATAAAACGTAGAAATTGTCTTGCCCAATGCTAATGAACCTATAAATACCCAAGCAATACTTACTAATGCCACTGTCAGAAGATGACGATTCCAATGCGGACGTAGAATGTGTTCTTTTGTTTGTACAACAAGGTCCGCAACGCGAGGGTTCTGGCGATATTTTTGGAGATGTTTGTTTCGAACGAAATGTTTTATTTGGCGGGCAAGCCATAAATAATTGGGGGGAGGTGGAACCTGTCGTTGTCCGTGGCGATAAAGTTATATCAGAGGATCTCAGTGACACATCATCAGATTTCATCCCACAAGATGTGTGAGACACGGGCATGGCATCCCTGGTATATGGAAGTGCATATTGTGGTGGGTAGGGTATGGGCTTTGCAGACGGTCCAGAAGCAGATGTGCATGTTTTCTTAGCTGCACAACACTTCTGTGCGTCAGGTGCATCACAATCGGGACACGGGCAGGTAATTTTAACATGGCCATCTTTCACATCCTTTATTTTACCTGGACTAAAATCTAAGCACTTATAATGCGCCCATTTCTGACAAGCACCCTTGCACTGCATTCCTTTCTTCTTATTGACCGTTTCGAAACATATTTTGCATGGGTTTTTCACCCTTCCACTTTTCATGTTTCTATAGAACAATTAAAAAACTTTAACGTAGGCATTCTGTGATATCATGGCTTTGTTATGTAAGAATTTCAGGTATTTGGTTCATGTGATTTTTCTTAAAATCATTTTACCATTTTTATGACAATTATACCGTACATGCTCTTGCCAAAAAGTGAAAAAACATTAAGTCAAAAAAAAAAATCTAGCTATGATAAAAATAAAAGTAGGCAAACTATTTCTTTCTTCATCTACGATTTATGGTCTAAAAACAGGAAATAACCGTAGATAGAGTATAAAACTAGATGAGCTTCTAAAATAACAATAATAACTAAAGAGAGAAGGCATTAACGTGAAATACTTAAGTGCGAGCGAAACAGAGTATCAGTTTTTCTGTCTCTATTTGCGTATCGGGTTTTATTTGTATGCCACCGAGCCCTTGGTGGCAAACGAGTTTTCACTGCGTACTGATAAATCTGTGAAACCCAAGTCAAACCGATATTTTAAGAAGTGTACTTAAAGTAAGATATGGTGAATTGTTGCATAATTGGCTGTAAAAGCTATAGTGAAAGTTAATAAAACACTATTTTGACCGGATTGAAGTTATGTATTATTATAAATTCAATCCGGTCAAAATAGTGTTTTATTAAATGAATAAAAGTTATGTTAATCAAAGACAATACTATATAGTGAAAGTTAATAATCAAACATAACCTTTCATCGGTAAGTAGCTTATTTTGTCACGACTCAGTAACTTTGTTCAAGACTTATTCATTCGAATGTGTATTTTGGTCAATAATAAGCAATCTTCAATGAATTAAAACTGTAAATACGACAATTCCAAACATATTTTTCAGTGCTAACCGACAAAATTGCGAATCATGTTACCTACGTCAGGTAGTTGCCACACTTCGTGTCTTTTGTAAATAGTTGGATTATAACTCGTTGGGGCTACCAGCACTTAAATAAATTTTCCACTTTTTTCAGTTTTCCGAATGAACCGTATTTAAATAATAAATGGACTGAGTGTACGGGTAGAGTTAACTGGCATCCAACTCAAAACGCCCGGATATGCTCAAGACACTTTGAAATGAGTTGTTTTCAAATAATAATAATAATAATAATAATAATCATTTATTTGCAAGAATATGGTATAAAAATCTTATGGTTGTACAATCTTAACTCCGCATATTCTGCCACATATAATAGCGTGCAAATTTATCTTACATAATTAACAATTAGAATTTTACTATATTACAATCAAGCCTTATGTGATTTTATAATCACATTATTTATTTTTTATATCCGGACAATCAGCCATATATAAATAGGCATGCAAATGTCATAAATTTTTGCTATGTCATATAATAAAAACATTAACATAATGTCATGATAATACGTCAAGCTATTTATAATCAATTGTTGTCAAACTTATAGGCCAAATATTCGCCTACGCTATAAAAGCACCTTGACTTTAGAAACCCAATCACCTTCCCTTTGAAGACATTACATGACAGCGATCTATAACTTCTGGGAAGGTGATTAAATATTCTTATAGCCATGGCGTTACAATTTTTAGAATATAGCGCGGTGCAACATGCAGGCACCCGCAGCCGTGTTGGATCCCTCGGTATATATAAGCACGTTTCTTTGTATGTATTAAATAGTTTTGGATACTTCTTGACAGTCATAACTGCTTCCAAGATATACAAACTTGGTACTGTCAGAATACCGAGTTCGTGGAAAATTGGCCTACAGCTCATAAGAGGTCCAACGCCCATGATAGCCCTAATACATTTTTTCTGAGTAATAAAAACTTTACTCACATCTACCGAATTTCCCCATAAAAGGATACCATAGCGCAAAACTGAGGCAACATAGCCGTGGTAAGCAATAATTGCTGCGTGTTTTGAAGCTACTTTGCGAGTTCGACTCAAAGCAAAAACAAATTTATTAAGGTGCGTGCATATCGTTAAAATATGTTGTTTCCAGTTAAGATTTTGGTCTAGTGTTATGCCTAGAAACTTGGTTGAAACAACTTCTTCAATTGACTTGTTTTTATAATTGATTTTGAGGTTATTAGGTCTGCAATTATTATAGTTTCGAAATTGTATAAAATTGTTTTTTTTTACATTTATACTTAAATTATTAATTTCCAACCATTCCGTGACATTCTTTATTGTTTCATTCAATAATGATTCGTGGTTACGCGTAGTATCATTCGACACAACCACTGAGATATCATCCGCGTAAAGAATGCATTTATTAGTAACCAAATTTGGTAAATCATTAATGTACAGAAGAAACAGCAATGGGCCCAGTATGCTCCCTTGAGGAACGCCTTTATTGCAATCTATAGCCACAGACTTGTACCCCCTTTCAATATGTTTAGGAGATGAAGTATGTGTGATTTCAACATATTGTTTACGACCGGTTAGGTAACTTTCCAGCCAATTTAAAGGCAATCCTCGGATTCCATAAAGTCTACACTTTTGAAGAAGAATGTTGTAGTCTACGCAATCAAAAGCTTGGCTCATGTCAAAATTGGTCAAAGAAAAAAATACGATTTTTTTACAACCACATGCGATACCTACACTTTTTATACACGTAATTAGTTAACTCTTGCAATATTAGTGAAAATAAAACACAACTGCTGTTCTGTTTTTACAATAACACTAACATTTTTTTTCCAAAGAATGAAATATGAATAGCGCCAATTTATTATATTATTTTGTGGGGTATTTCTTATGGAAAAATTACCCCACAAAACAGGGAAAATTTTTCTCATGGCAATATTAGTGGTATATTGATATACATTATGAAGTTATGTCGATCATTCGCTATCTCACACGCTGTACGCTGATCCCTGGTGTATACCATAGTCCTTGTCTTTAGTATATCTGTACAAAATAAAAATCACGTCACCATTACCATAATAATATATCTGTGGTCAGTCGTCACAATCATAATCAATGTCACTTTGATATTGATAACTGGCAAATGGCAATTGGCTTAATAAATTGCTTAATCCCAAAATAAGATTTTTGTAGCCTGTTTGAGACTTGAGTATTATAATCATTTTCACGATTTATTTAGGTTAGGTGAATTAAGTGACACAGTGAAATATTTATCCAGAGAAACGAAGAATAAATCACAATGCCGTTCATGATAGGAAGAGCACCCATTCGACGCACTCTAAATTACTTGAACGCTGGAAAACTTGTTCTTAAAGATAAAATTAAGGTCTTCTCTGTAGCTTACAATATTATCGGCCAAAACAATGCAGGAGCTAAAGATTTCGTTTTCTGGTATTTACCACAGATCCAGTATAAAAATCCAGATGTCCAAGTAGCTACATTAAAGAACCTAACACCTACACCATTTATTAAATGTTACTTAGAGGATGGTAAACAGATTTTGGTAGACATTGACAATAAATCAAAAGAAGAGATCCTTGAACATCTTTTACATACTATTGGGAAATCAAAAGATGTTCTGGAAGCTGAAGCTATAGCTGCTGAGAAGAAAGATAACCCTGCCAATTTTGGTGCTGGATGTGAAAGAGCTTGCATGTGTGAAATTTATGGACAAGTCCCTTGTTCTGGTGTTGTAACCTTACCCAAAGTGATGAGAGGAAAATATAAAAATGCAGATTAGTTAGTTTTAGTGCAGTTTTTAGTTAATAGTTAGTGTACAAATAAAGTAAGTTTTGTTAGTTGTTAACTAGTTTCTACCCTTGTAAAATTCAGAAATCTTCAGTTACGGAAAATACATAAGTTTCCCTCAATTGTACTAGTTAATTAAACTGTATATTTTAAAAGGTATGGTCCTTTATAGCTGAAGCCATAAGGGCTGCAGCAATGTATTGAAAATTTTCAAAAGCTACAAATGTTCTTGCACGATCATGAAAAAAAAGGTTGTCATCCACCTCTTTGCCCCTTGGACAAGTATGAAGAAATATCCACGAGGGACAAGCTAGTTTTTCTATATCCTGAAATTAAAAGAAATGTTGATATGTCATGCTTAGTTTTATGATTAAGTATAGCATATGTGTGACACAAAACTGTATCAAACCTGCCTGCTCTAAACAAATCATATTAAAGCTTTTCAACATTAAGGATAATGTTTTGTTTTCTCAAAATTGACATATTGAGATAAGTACATAATTTCATGTGTTAGAGATAGAAAACTATACAATATACTAATAATTTTTCTAGTCCCACAATTGTATAACTGGAAATAAGGACTCTAACAATTAGTAAGTATGCGAACAATACAGTTTTAAAGCAGTTTAAAAGTGTAAATTATTATTTGATTTAAATAAATAGATAAAACAGATGTTAATATTACCTGGTAACACAGCTTAAATTCACTCAACTTTTTGAAATTTTCTGGACCCGCTATGACAACATCAGCCTTAGAAAGAGCTTTGTTCTTGTCTGTGCATGCTTCAAGGCTAGTGTGGGACTGTGCACATAGTGTCTCACCTGTCTTGTATAGGAGAGGGCTTACTGGTTGCTTCTGTAAGTTAAAAATAATTAGATCATATTATCATTTTCTTATAAGAACTCTTTTGTTTTAAATAGTGTTAAATATGAACCTAATACCTATGAAATATTGAAATATTTCATATATACTCAAATTTTTGTAGTTGTTGTTTTTATGTAGTTCCATGCATTACTTCTGAGAAATCTTTTTGTGCTGTAGATATAAAAATTATAGGACTCCTTATCAATGTAATACATATTTTCGTTACTCTAGATTCTTAACAGTATTAACAGTAATTTTAAGCTGGTATATATACAGAGATACAAGGTACTTACAGAACAGCAACATTTAAATTTGATATTCGCTCCAAGAATTGGACAAAGCAACAAATATGAGTTAAGAACTGGATGGGGGGAGCCAAAATATGCTATGTTTAATTTTCTAATTGTCCCAAATTCTTCCTAGAAACAACCATACTTTTTCAACAATAGTAAAACTTATGTAGTTCTACTACAATTAACAAATCATAGTTCATCCACCTTATTATTGTATACCTTAAACAGATGGGCAGAGGCAATTGAATCCAAGCGGGAGGCGCTGGTGGTAAGTTTCATAGACATAGCTAAAGCCTTCGATCGGTTGTGCCACAGAGCACTGCTCTCGAAGCTTTCAGCCTATGGCCTCCCCGAGAAATTTCTCGCTGATTGGAGCATCAAGGTGATTATCGGCGGAGCATGTTCCGAACATTCGAAATATTCACAGGTTTAAGGTTGAAACATGGGCCACAAGGCTGTGTCCTATCCCCAAACCTGTTTATTCTACATATCAATGACATTTTGCAACTTAGTAACATTCATTGCTATACGGACGACAGCACTAGGGATACACTCTTTAAACTGGCTGGGCAGTTGTCGATGAGCACCGGAACAAACTTGTGTCTGAAGTCGAATCTGCTAAGTGGAGTCTCGGACTGGGGTAGACTAAATCTAGTCCCCAAGAAGTTTGCGCGTTTTCCGTTAAAAATAGGTACACACTTTGCGGCTACTCCTCTCTCAGAAGACACTCTCCTTAAAGCCTCAGCTAGCATCGGAATACTAGGCGTTGACATGACGTTCAGTTTCGCGGTCATTTGGAAGAAAAGGCTGAGCTAGCCTCTAAGAAGCTTGGTGTGCTCAGCAAGGCAAGTCGGTACTTCACACCGGGGCATTGCTTGCAACTGTATAAAGCGCAAATTTGGCCCCATATGGAGTACTGTTCTCACCTCTGGGCGGGAGCTCCCCGCTTGACCTTATTCAACGAAGAGCGATTTGAATCGTCGACGACCAGTAACTGTCTGAGCGTCTACATCCCTAGGCGTTGCGTAGAGATGTGGGGTCTCTCTGCATCTTCTACCGCATTTACCATGGAGAATGTTTAGAGGAGTTGTTTGGACTAATACCTGCAGCTGTGTTTCATCATCGGACGTCAAAGCAGAATACAAAATACCATCCGTATCACCTCGACGTCCGTTATTCCAAAACTGAGCGTTTCTTAAGGTAGTTTTTGCCGTGCACCACGAAAATGTGGAACAAACTACCCACTGAAGTATTTCCGAATCATTTCGACTTAGGGTCCATAAAGAAAAGAGCGTACCAATTCCTAAAAGACCGGCAACGCACTTGCGAGCCTTCTGGCAATGTGAGTGTCCATGGTCACTTAACATCAGATGAGCCTCCAGTTTGGCTCCTGTTACATAAAAAAAATACATAGAACATAGAATCACCTGCTTGTTTATGCTAAAAGCAATGTTCAAAGAAACAGATACAGTCTTTAGACAAATCGATACAAAGATGGCGGCGCCACTAGATTATTTAATATTTGTGTTTTTGACATCTATAATTTATAACAATTGTAGTACTGAAAAAGCTTACAATAATCGTCATGATAGTAGCCATTGCTTGTATAGTAGAATGTGTTCTAGATGTCATACACATCACGGGCACCAAAGATTGCTGCGCAAACCTTTGAAGGCATGTATGTGTGGATGTTGCTACGAAAATCGCATCCGCCATATATGAAAAAACTCTGCAAGTTTATAATTAGTGATTAAAATCTAACTGATGTCAAACCAATTTTCGTTACTAAGGTTTATATTTTTGTTTTAATAGCTTGGGACCTATGTAGAACCTGTAGGAGATAATACTTAGACAACATTTAAAGTGATAAAAAGATAGAGCTCATAATTATTATAATTAAACTATTTATTTATTAGGTAGGCAGTTAATACCTTGGTTATCTAGAGATAGCCGGATTTAGGTTACATTGTCGTGGGTAAAATATACCATATAAATATATACTGCCCATAACAGAAAAAGTAAATAAATGTCTTCTAGTCGAGCACTTTTTTCGAGGTGACATAAAAACGAGTGAAGCATGACATACAGACTCGAGCGGTAACGCAAGTTCGGCTTTGTACATCGAGAGCAAACAACGTATACGGCGAGAGAACGTTGAGGTATTTGCTACCGCGGCTAATAAATAGCCTACCCAGTAAGATATTTAACTAACCTAACGCTAACCAGTATAAACAGTAAATTAAAAAACTACTTTTATATGCATTTGTCGCGCTCCTAAACAAGACTGCTACGGTTAGGTACATTAATACAAACCACAGCGGTTTTCTATACAACAAATAACATATTGTGATTATATTATATTATTTTGTAAAATAAATAAAAATATATCGCAGAAATCTGTTTGCCCCAGTGAGACATGGGTAGGTATTTGCTAGTCAGTGTTCTACGGTAATTGCATGATATCAAACTGTATTACTATGATTACCGGCCATTATAATCATGGTTCCAAATCAGTTGGTCAACAATATTAACAGCATCAGCGCCAAGTAAAGTTGCTGCTTTCGAGACAGCCATGTTTAACACTGGTGCATTGACTTCTTGTAGTATCATTATCTTTGAATTTTCCAACAAATCCTATAAGAGATTAAGAAGGCGCTAAATGTGGCTCCCGTACCTATGTCAAACATACGGTAGTCGTTGTTCGCGCTTAAGTCTCAATTCTGAATTTTACCATAAAATAATTTTGAAATTTTTGTTCATAAAACATGCTTGATTCATGAAGGTATAAACAACAGTTTGTATGGTAACGGGTAAGGTCTACAAGCATTTTTACTGATTTTGTGTAAGATTCGTAACCTCCAAACAAGGCCAACACAATGCAACAATAAGTTAAACAAAAAATTACGTCCGTGAATATTTGTATCATAAATCTTAGTTTTGCGTGTAACCACTAGGACCTGTAAATTAGATCATACTAATAATGCAGGCGTTAGTATGTATGGTAAAATACTTTATAAAGTACTGCTACTGCGTACATTTTAATAAATATGTTTACTTTATAGTTCTAAATTCTCAACATTATATGTTACTGCACGTAGTTAACTGTATAAATATCTTTTTGATAAAAACTATCTACCCTTAGAGCATTTAAAAGACGTTTCACGTTTCTTACGTATACTGTACACAGCCGACATTCACTTAATCTTGTCGCATTTCTGGTGTCTATGGTTTATCTAGTAAAAAAAAACAAAAAAATACCAATCGCTTTCCATGTGTGTCGATTAAATTGCACTTTAATCTTAGTGCGCTGTTTATTATTTCCATAACCATATCACCAGTCCAGTTCTTGAAGCATACGAGATGTTTAGGGGATGATCCACTGAATGAAAAAGGTAAGTATTTAGTTAATAATTAATATAATATTTACAACAAACATCAGCAAAAGGTAACACGTGCGTTTCTGTGGGTAAAGGACGAAGTAGTTATGCAAAACCGGCATTAAGGCTGAGTTTTTTTTAAAATATTGTTCTTGGCAAATAAGATAGAAGGAGTTGTTAGAAGCGCTGAGATTGGTCATCGATATTTTTCTAAAATAAATGAATGTTTGTGAATGAAGCGTGAATGTTTTAGGGGAAAAAGCCCTACCGCTAAAACATTTGTCAAAACGTGCAAACGTCTCTTTTGTAAAGAAATCCAGTGGATACTTAGGTATGAGTTTCTATTTTGAGGCTATGATGACAGTCGCGTAACTATACCATCTGGGGCCCGTGGCAAATTCTTTTGATGGGGCCCTGTCAGTAAAAATTGTCAGGTCAGTTTAATTTGATTAAACTTCGAGATTTTTAGCGTACTCAATTACACGTTGTATATGTCCCACTAATGACTATAGGCATCTTTATAAGCCGAGAGGGAATGTTCTGTTATGTTCCCCACGCTAGCCCAATGCGTGTTGGAGACTTCACATTCATCCATAGAACATAATATCTCTTGGGCAGGGGTCGGGGGCCTGTGGCATTTTGCCAGCCATGCCACCATATTGTTACGCCACTAGCTATGCAATAATAAATTACAAAGACCTTAGGTGTAAGGTATGAGGTAGGTACGCTAAGTGCTTATTCATGGCTTTAAATATCAAATTTCTTCACTTTTTTCCGCTGAAATGTGTTACGAGTCTAGAAGAACAATACTTTTGCATTAATAACACATAAGAAACAGGTAATATTTACATGCAACAACTTTGAATACTCCTCATATTATGTGTAATAAGATGTTTGCATAATTTTATAATCAAAAAATTCATTTTCTTTACATTAAATATTGAATAAATTAAGGTTAATTTATTACAAATTCCAAGAATTGATTTCCGGGTATCACTTTACGTCACTTCATAAATGTCAATATCACAATTAACATTTTTTAACCGCCACAGACTTCTTTCGATTGCGACTCTCGAGTCGATTCTTCATTTCTGGGTGCCTACCATGAGCTTTCTGAAAACAATCCAGTTGAGATGCTGATGAGTTTAGGTTCCTAAGTTCAACATACCACTTTTACGTACCTCCTGAACTGAAACGTATTGGAATCGCAAAACCGAACGAAAGAACGATAATTTAGTTTGTGGTTTGAATGTAAGTTTTGAAATTTTCTTTACAGCTTAAACATGACTTGGCAAACTCGCTAAATTAAGAGACATGTTGGCCAGGAAGAGCTCCAATGAAATATATGTTTATGCTTTATACCCAATTGACCATTGCTTGAAGGCATCTTCTTATATCTTGATGGCGTCATCCAAAATAAATAAAAACTGTTATTAGAATATTTTCAAATGGCTTATTATAAATTTGAAAAATACCTATGTTTATTAAGAAACAAAGGAGAATAATACAATTTATTAACATAATAATAACTTTTAATTTTAATAAATACAATATATAAGAATTCTATAACCTGGTGATATATATTTTAATACAGTTATTATTGAAGAAGTAGCAAGAAAGAGACTGGTAAAATACACGAAATCAACGCGGGTGAAAGCTGGTTTAAAATAATATATGATATTTAAGAAAATATTTTTTTTTTTGTTATACTATTAATTACAACATACCTAATTAATTAATTGAATATTATTGAACCTAGTTTGTGCAATTGTGTTTAAGTACACTGAAATCTAACTTTCTACTAACTTGACATTTTTGAAATCGGTAGAAGGGGATTGTCGCCCTTATTCTTATCTCCGTCGATTTTTTAAAAATAATTTCTTATCACTATCTAAACATTTCCAAAACTCAAAATTAACCGAAAATAAAAATTATAAAGTTTTACTATATTGGACTAATATATGTTCTGAATCATACTTTATTAACTAGTTTTAAATAAATTTTGAATTTTATATGTTCTAAATTATTTGGACACTTTTTTAAAATCGCTTATTCTGTCATAGTTTGAAGGCGCAACAGTCAAATTTTGGTTCAGTCGGGAGGTCATGGTACGAACTTTCATACAAATTGAATGAACGAAATCTGATTACCACATGGCCACGTTGGAACATAAACAGTCTCGTTTAGTCGATGTCATGGTATGAATAAGCGAGCTAATGATATGCCCTCTGCATTAATAAATCTGAACTCTGGGCACGCTAGAAGAAGGTATATCGAAGCGTTAGCATGGATGTAGAAATTTGCAAACAGCTCAGAAGGTCTTTTCCCGAGAAGGGGTTCCGAACAGTCGTTGGTACTTAAGTAAGGATAACGAGTAAAAATAAAAAAAATTTATAAACAAATTTAAACATTTGTATATTGATAACATTTGTAAAGATAAGAAATCAATGTTCTTTATTATTATTATTCAATCGGAACTCAATAATTTCTGTCCTCCGATTATGATTTAATGGCGAATTGATTATGATTTATGTCATTAAGACAAGGTTTATTCACTGGGAACTTACTTTCCATCAACTTTTAAATTGGCAAGGCACAACCTTCATTGGAAGAGAGAGCACTCATAAGGTGTGACTTAGCGCTTAGTGACTCCCGTGTCAAAACCTTGCAGCATCGTATTTAGTGCAATTTTTTTAAATAGTATCATAGTATTTTCATTGACATAACTCGATGAAATTACTCTTAAAATGTCAATAAATAACATAATACTAAAATATCTAACGCACTAAACAGTCCTGATGTAAAAGAAATACATTTATTTTATTACTTTCTTCCTAGCACTCCCTGAATCTCCAAGAATGACTTTTGCTTCGTTTCGGGCACACAAAACAATACAAATGTCATGTATATCAGACAAATGATCGCAAACGACCAGAAGACGGTGGCGGACCCCAGGATTTCTGTTAATAGCGGAAAATATTTGACGTTCAAAAAGCCAACAATCATTGTAATTGTCATGCAGACAGAAATTCCGATGGATCTTGTTAAGTTTTCGAAAAGTTCGGCTATCAAAACTACGCATAAGCTACCAATACCTGCAAAGAACGAGAATCAGAAATTAGGGAGTGATTGGATTCTCATAAAAGCAGCAGACTTTGAATGATAAAAATAAATGTGACCGTGTGTGCGAGTGATAATAATAATAATTATTAGTATGCTTTAATATTATTATTATTATTATTAATTAACATAATAATTAGAGAAGTTAAGACAAGTCTTTATGCGTGGGCATTTTTATGTCTGATCATTCATTTCAAATGCATGTTCATAATATTCCAACCCAAAACTATAACGTATTATTAATTGAGCAGTAAGAACTTTGTTTAAGTGATAGTGGCCAGACATGAGACTCTTAATCGTGTGATGGAACCCCGCACCGTTAGAGTATTATATGCATGTATGTGCGAACCTACTATACCTATAAAGAAAAATGATCAAGAAAACATAGTTATCTGATGACAATACCAAGAGCGAGGCAGGTTGCAGTTAATAACTTGTTTTGCTTAAGTCCTTAAAGTCTTAAGTATTACATACCAGCGTTGTAAGAAAGAACCACTATAACTAATGATACAAGAGGTAGGTAGTTCATGAAACCATTGATTTTGACTCCAGAATCTTTCATGTAGAAGAACAAGCCTAGACCGAGCTGAAATAAATAATTAAAATGTTATGTTTAAAAAATATTTGCACTACACAATGCAGACAGATGGAATTCTCGATAAATTTAATTTAAAAATGAATGTTATGAATATAACTTTAATTAGACTATTTATAACTTTAAGCTAGTCGGTTTCCATGATCGGACGTGATTTAATAACCAACAAATGTTGCTCAGGTATTTTCGGATTTACCGGTTCATTCAATTAACGTAACGAACATATAAAAGACAGCTTAAAAACTATAACAAAAACATGGCCTGACCTTTAACCCTATTCTATACTACGTAAAAGCAATTCGAAACCTGAAAGGAAGGAATCCCTTGATTGTGATTGGTCAATAGCTTCAATGGACCAATAACGATTAGTTTTTATTATTCAGTTCCATTAAAACGTACAAAGTTCTTACCATTCCAATCGCCAATCCACCGAGTGTTATCGCCAATATAGGCTTTCTCCCAGCTCTGTCACTCAAAATGGCCGTCACGAAGCACGCTATTACCTGCATCACTCCAAAGATTACAGAAACCAGTTCAGAAGAAACACTGGTATTAGTTACCTCTAGGATAGTCTGTAAATATAGCGTAATGGAACTATATCCAACTAATTGTATTCCGATACTAAGAAAAACTGCAATGCCCATAGATTTTAAGAATGCAATATCCTTTATAGTCTTACTGGTTATTTTAGTACCAGAAACGCAAGACATCTCTTTTATTTCTTCTTGGGCTAAGAGTTCGGAGTCTCGCAGGTATGTTAGGGTTTTTAAGGCTTCGTTCATGCGACCTAGAAAATTCATTTTGCATTTATATAGTATAGATAGTTAGTAGGCAAAATTTACCTTTATGATCGTTTTTAGTTCTCATCGATGATAAAGTATGTATTTCTCAGCATAGTTGCCTCCATTGTCTAGCTTATATCGACTTGAAAATCACTATCTTATATAGTAGATAGTAACAGAGGCAATGTTTTAGTCATTTATTCCCACTCTAGAGTCTAGATTGATTGGAAAACAGTATTCAGAACGGAAGGCACAAGGTGAATACAAATAAACGCATACAAGCAAACGAAAAGCCAGAAAATATTTACACTGACCTTTCTTAACCATACAATATGGACTATCTGGTACGAAAAACATAGGAACGACCATTACAGCAACCGTGGTGACATAAACTATGTTTACCATTAAGTACGACGCATATGGACCCAAGGATAAGATTATGAGCATGCCAACTGCATTTAGCAGTTGTGCTATTGTGCCCAACGCACCACGGATTTGCTTCTGAAAAAAAACGACTTTAATTTAAAACTTAATTTCGATACAAAAATTTTCTGCAAGGCAATAGACTGCACGCCCGGTTCCTACGTGTTTTAATAAAGAGACAGTACCAAATATAGAGCGAACGTATCTGCATTACTGATCCTTCTATGTCTTCTAATCCGAATCAATCGTAAATCGAATAGAGGACCTTTTTTATAAAACAAACGGGCAGAAATCTCATCTGATGTATTTGATACTGCCGCCCAGGGACACTCAATTTCCGAGGGCTAAGACCTTACCAATGACGATGTGTAATGTGTACTCAAAATCAGATAAATACAACTTATCGGCAGTGACAAACACATAAAAATACAACTAACACTAGCAATCTCCGCGCTGTAAGCTGGCATAATTGACAATATACCAATTTCACAGGTCCCCGTAACGCCTCTAACAAGATACAACATCCACACTTCTGTAGCAAATATGAACAGTAGATTGACGGTAGCTCGAAATATATTTAGGTATAACATGACTGTCTTCCTGCCATAGAGATTTACTAAACAATAGACTACTGGAAAGACTGAAACAATAAAAATGTATAGGCATCTAAATGACGTGAAGTAGGATGTAAAACAATAAACAAAGGAGATCAGACAGCCTTTGATTTAAATAAAGTAATACCAAAACCAATAGCTTAATGGCTTGGTGGTGCTGGGTTCGTTCAATACAATTATTGTTCACGTTAAAAAAAATCTATAAGAAAAAAAAATGATTGAAACAAACGCAGAAATGGTCCTATTTGATTTTAATGGCTATTTTTGCTGGTGTTGTCCTAGTAGCTTCAGCGTGCGACTCTCATCTGCGAGGGCGTAGGTTCGAAATCCGACTGCACTTTCTGTCTAAATATTCGCTTGTACACCGAAGGAAGACATTGTGAGGAAACCGGCATGCCTTATAACACGTGTGTCAAGCACGGAAGCCTGATCACCTACTTGCCTATTAAAAATGGCAAATGATCCCGAAACAGACACTGAAATCAGAGGCCCAACCCTGTTACGCCACTTTGTATAGGTATATAATCTTTTCTAGTCATATTTTCAGTGTTCTATTTGTCAATTTCTCCAAACTTCTCCAATCTCCATATTATATAGCATTGTACTAACACGCTATCGAGCTTAAGAAACCAATAGACACTATCCACGAAGCTTGATCTTCATTAACTCGTTCAGAGAGCTGTGTGTCTTCATGCATCAATTTTACAAGCATCGGTGATGTCCAAGATTGACTCATTCCCATGCCAATAGAAGTTAAATTAACTGAATAAAAAATTGCTTATTGTAATTGATAATTTAAATTAACAGAATACATTTTATTTAACACATACTGTTCACAATATTCTTAACGAACATAGTAATAACAATAATTAAAAACTATAAATAAATAAAGAAACTAATTAAAAAAGTTTGGTTGCTGTGGCAGTGGCAACATTTCCTCCCGGTATGGAGATAAATAAAACAAACATTTATTAATTAATTACTTCATAATATGCAATATCTATATCATATTACAGACGTTTAACAGGTAATTGATATAGTATTCATTACGATCGAAAGGGTAGCTGGATAAAATTGGATGACGGTAGCACAAAATAAAATAGGGTGGAAAATTTGGAGGAGGCTGCTCCCGGACAGGGGCCGCATCTTAGAATAGTAGAAATTGTATTTACCTATATCTATTTTTGTTAAATATATGTCAATAAAATGTTGATGAATAAAGGCGTATTATTATTATTATTCATTACATTAAGTAGGTACATATATAGTATTTAGTTCGCGTAACCAGAGTTGTTAAGAAATACAAGACCCATAAAGACTGATTGTAGATGTTGACGATAGGATATCAATATGACTCAAAAATTTAACAATAAATACCTGATATAACAATTATGTATTGTCGAATATTCGCTGAGACGCCCATTTCCACATTACTTTTAATTAAATTAATAGTAAAATAAACTATCCTTATGCTAACATATTAGCCATTTATTTAACTAAAAAGCCAACACTGACTGCGTTAAAATTAATTATAATTTAACACTAGCTGTTTTCCACGATGTTGTGTACAAGTATGGAAGTCTCTCAGCAAATTGTTTGTGTACTTTTATTTAATATAGAAAGAATATTTTTGGGATAAGTAACATTTTTAATTTAATAAATAGCTTTAGACGACTTAAAAAAAGCCGACGGAGGAGACCGACATCCAAATTTATAATAAATTATTTATCGCTTAAAACAATTAATTCTCTTAGTAATACAAGACCAATCAAGAAACGAAGATAATATATCGTTATTTAATACGTTATAGTGCAAAATTAAATGACCATAGCAATTTTTCATAGATTGACATATGTTTTACATATTCGTAATCTCGTTATAAGTGATGTTATAGTCTCACCAAATATTGGTTTTATTATATCAATAACTCTTTCTTTGCTTTAGTCGGCATAATACTGTCAGGTGGTATTCAGAAACGAGATTTAGTTTAATCAAAATCTTATTTTGGTAGATACGGCTTCTCCAACTGGCTTCATCTGTCTCTCTTATATTCTCTCTCTCATCTTGATCATTTTTTTGCTTATCTTCCCCACCAACTACTTTAAGCTAGTCACTCCGCCGCGCAAGAGGTAGCCTCTCTTTCTTTTCCCCGGTTTATTGTTCATGCCAGCGCTGTGGCCCGCCCGTTCCACCTAATTTATAACTGGCGTATTCTTTTTTGTTTCTCTACTTTTTATCTTGTCATTTTTAATACAAGTACGTAAGTAGTACGTACAGTAAGTAGTACGTACAGTAAGTACCCTGCGTTCTATTCCTCCGGTCGTATCTAAATATACCTATATTGCTGTATCTCAAAAATAAAAGATATATAATTTAGGGGGTAAGTTTCTAATTATAGACAGACATAAATCAAACTTTTATTAGTACATTAGAATTCGTGAAAATAAAAACGTAATTATGGCGTCATAAAAATTTATCGACACGAATTCAGTAGCGATTTTCACTTTGTTCTTGCGCGTAGTCACAGATTTTATCAAGAAAATATTTAAAAAAATAGAATAGTTAACAAAATAATTTCTATTTAATACATTATTCTCGCTTATTAATTACCATATTTTCTAACCCAATGTTGTATTAACTGTATGGTAACAGTCAGCATAGTCTGCGTTCAAACAACGCCTTAAATATGGTAATAATACAAATATCACATAAATTAAACAAGTATTTATATTCCATTCCATACATTAAAACGTACCTTGAACTAATTAATGGTTTTGATATTATATAAGTCGACACTTAGTCTTAATATGACCAATGTGTCAAAAAGGCAACTTGACATACATGAATCATATTTAACGATAAGGCTAACATTCAGAAACGAAACTTACGGCTGTCAAAACTCAAAATCTTATACTTTTTGACGTACGGATGTCACGTTTAGCGATGTCTGTCCTCTGTATCTTACCCTAAGAACCTATAGTATAAGAAACAAATAAAAAAGAATTTTGAAAATAAAAATCCAATGCATATCAATATGTCTTCACTAGGGCACTCAAAACGTTTAGTTGTGTAAATAATTTCGCGTTTACAATAAATAGTTTTTATTAGATTTAATTTAATGTTTATCTGAGGCAGAAGGATCAAGACTAACGCAAGGTTAGGTTATAACATTAAATCAATTGGCATTCTGATAAACAATTAACTACAAGCTCCATCCTTATCAGAATGCCAAATCATAAAATGACTGCTTTACGACTGATTTGAGCGCGACCGCCGCTGTGAAAACCGCTGTGTGAGTTGTGAGTTACAGAATCGCAAGGCAGATTTGAATATTGCTGTCTTATTCATTTCTCGTGTCCTCTTAAAATGGCTTTAAGGTAATCCCACCACCTTGAACCTCTGATCCTACCCGTGAGTCTCTGTCTGTTACCTTAGGTCTCTTGGTGCAGACATCCCGTACTTATTTATATATTTAAATATAGGATTATTTAGGTTGGGGATTCGTAGGGTTGTTAGGTTCTTACATCTCACCATCTCATATATTTAGTTATCTAGTGCAGTTTGCTAATATATACGTTACATATATTATACAGATACTCATGACATTTATTACACATAAATTTAAACACACATTTCAACGTCCAGTGCCTGGCAAGCTGTTCACTAGCCTAATATATTCATTATAGTTACAACAATATTTGAATTAATTTAGCTTACACCCTTTTCAGTTTTCCCCAACGAATCCTGAATTTCACTAAATGTCTTATCCTTAGTTTCGGGTAAAAATACCGCAATTAAAATGGCAACAATGACACACATTCCGCTAAAAAACCAATATGTCGACGCCGGACCTAGAGCTGATGTCATATCGAGAAAGTACTTAGCTGTTGCGAAAATTGTTAATTGGCAAACCACTAGCCCTAATGTTGTACCAAAGGCTCTTGATGGTCCTTCGAATAATTCTGCACCAATTGGCCAGATCAAGGAGCCAAATCCTAAAATAAATGTTTGATGTTAAGTTTGTATCCGATACCTTCGTAATTGTCAATAGGATTTCACAGTTACTACAAACGAAAAACACGGTTCCAACGATGCATTTACTTTACGGAACGTTGCAAAAATATTCAGTACAAATATTAGGTCCTTACATATGAAATTGGCGTTTTGTATGGGAGGAACAAAAAGTCGAATATTTTTAAATTTAACAAAATTCTAACAAAAAAAAATCGTATAATATATTTAATTAATCAAAGTATAAACCATTGTTTTCTATGCACTTTTGCCATCTCATAGGTAGTTCATTGATCCCTTTACTAAGAAAACCAGTCGGACGGGAATCAATAAAATCTGTGAAGGCGATTTGGACTGCCCCATCAGAGTTAAATATTTTCCCTTGCAAGAAGTTGTCCAAATTTCGAAAAAAATGTTAATCTGTTGGAGCAAGGTCCGGAGAGTACGGAGGATGTCTAAGACATTCCAATTGAAGCTCTTCTAATTTGGTAGCCGTCTGTTGTGCAGTGTGTGGTCTAGCGTTGTCGTGAAGTAGCAGTGGCGTGGAGCGAGTGACCAGCCTAGGTTGTTTAGCCGCTAGCTTTGCCATCATGGTTTGCAATTGCTGACAATAGACATCAGCCGTAATAGTCTGGCCAGATTTGAGAAAACTGCAATGAGCAATACCGGCACTAGTCCACAAAACGCTTACAAGTAACTTTTTTGGGGTTAATTTTCGCTTGGGGCAGGATTTGGCTGGCTGGCCAGGATCCAACCATTGCGCTGAGCGCTTCCGATTATCGTAAAGAATCCATTTTTCATCACAGGTAATGATTCGGTTTAAAATACCTTCATTATTGTGCCGGTTCAGTAATGTAACGCAGCAGTCGACGCGCGTTTGCCGGTTTACTTCAGTCAATTCGTGAGGTACCCATCTTTCAAAGCTAACTCGGACGTGGTTTGCGATGGATCCGCTTCCACAATAGCCTTCAATACTTCATTATCAATTTGGGTCTCAGGCCGTCCACGGGGCTTGTTCTGCGGGTCGAAATTTCCAGAGTGAAAACGTTGGAACCAAAATCGAACTTTTACAAAATTTTACAAAATTTTGTAAAATGAGTGACGCAAACAGAAAAAAACAGAAGCAAAAAACAAATGAATGACGGTCATCAAAGCACAAATACATGAGTAAATAGCTTTACAAATTTGAATTTGGAATTCCCTACCAAAGAGGAGAACATCGTGATTAAAGTGGCCAGTACGAAATACGTCAATTTCATATGTAAGGACCTAATATATGTAGATAACAGTGTAACTGAGCAGTGTTGGCCTAGAGGCTTCAGCATGCGACTCTCATCCGTGGTGGTCTAAGGTCGTGGGTTCGATCACCGGCTGTGCACCAATGTACTATCTATGTGCGCATTTAACATTCGCTCGAACGGCGAAGGAAAACATCGTGAGGAAACCGGCTTGCCTTAGACCAAAAAGTCGACGGCGTGTGTCAGGCACAGGAGGCTGACCACCTACTTGTATATTAGACAAATGATCATGAAACAGATACAGAAATCTGCGGCCCAGACCGTAAAATGGTTGTAGCGCCACTTTATTTTTTAGATAGCAATGACTCTGACTATGAATCTATGCATATTGATTTCTTGGATTCTGATTTTGATTATTCCGAATAAAGTTGTGTTTTATAATAAAAAAATGGTGCGTGTACTTATGTACGCGCGTAAGAAGTTATACTTCTTTGGCTTTCTTTATTTTTTAAAAATATTAAATAATTAATAATAAATATTTAGCGTTAATAATTTAACAATATTTAATATTTAGTATATTATTCAATTATTAATTAATATTAATAATAATTATTATTTATTATTTTATTATATTATTAATTCAATTTAATAACTAGTTATGTTTCATAACCTTTTAACTAAGTAACAATAGGTCTTTGTGAAAAAGCATTGCTAAATTTCTTTGAAAAAATAATTAAAACTCCTTTATTTGTTTAAAGGTAACAAATGTCATTATGGTCATTCAAAATTCTTGGCATAGCTGCTAACGTCACGCATATTCTATTTCTTTTTAATTGTAGATAGTCTTATTCCCATCTCACTCGCGCACGCTCGGCGCCCATACTGATAATTTTGTGTCACGGTGCGCGCGCATCGTAAAATTTCACTCTCATAAATTTTTCATAACGCGCCTAAAGAAGTATAACTTCAATAATAAATATAGTTTTAGTTATCAATGCAATGCTAGTCATTTTAAGTATCTATGCTAAAAGACTAAATACGTATAGTATTTAATTTCATAGAAATACAGTTACTATCAATGTAATAAATAATAAAATAAAATCAAGTAAGTTTAATCCACAAAATTTATCATATTTTAGGGATACCATACAAATTTTTTTTGAATTTGCCGCGCTTTTCCGTTATCATCTCTCATTAGCCAGACTCTAACAGTGTCGCCGCTTTGAATCCCACAAATGTCTATGATATAAATGGATCAATATAATATGAATATACAACCAATACTTCCGTCAATACAAAACGGAGGTTTCTTTGCGACTTAAAATGTATTTAATTAGTTATACAAAATAGCTAATGTACTCACCAGCTGAATAGCAGTAGACTACAAATATTAAAGAAATTATTGGTAGATAATTCATAAATCCAGTAACATTAAATTCCGGGGCACATAGTTGAAAGAATACTCCCAAGCCGATCTGGAACATACGAATGTGTATAAAACAAGTTCAAATATACAGTAGAATGCATTTACAATATATTTAATTAGTTAGAAGTGTGGCAATCTGTAGGGCTTGCTTTCGAATCACGTTGCACAAATAGATTTTCTGCGCAATTAACACTTGTTTACGGGGAAGGCAATCATCGTGAGGAATCCGACATATCTCAAACCCAAAACACAACGACATGAGTCGGGCACAGAAGGCTCTATCTACTTATGAAAATACTTAAAATTTAAAATAGTAAAATGACCTCCTCATTCATAAACTAATTCTGTCGAATTGCACTATTTTGATTAGTCTTCTGTCTCTTTCCGACAACATAAATACTCCATTTAAAAACTTTGAAATAAACTGGTTTAGTATTTATGATTCAAGGGACTTAATTTTTTTACTTTTTTCGACTTTTCTAATCATCCTGTCACGGCTACCTACGGTCAATGAAACTAAGCAAATAATCCATTTTTATGTTTTCCCGTCAAAATATCATTAGAAATCCAATATTGCCAAATTCAGTTCGAAGACTCACAATCTAATTATACATAAAGATTAAATCAATCTAATTACACTCTTTTAACTAAAGTCTTTTGTTTCTTTCTATCAAATTCTGTTTATGCTGTGATGAAAAAAAAAATATTTTTAATACAAATTTATTTTATAATTAAAACAGTGCAATAAGATTTAATTTAAATTAATTAGGGAGTAAAACTAGATCCATTGTTCATTTTACTAGGCCTGGATTATTTTTAACTCCTTGTATATGTTGTGTTTTCACGGCAAAAAAATGGATGGAAAAAGGTGGAGGAGTCTCCCAGACATGGGCCGCATCTTAGCTTACTTAAATTGTATATATATTTATCTTTGAATAGTATAGGTATGTAAATAAGATAAGATAAGATATTATGTTTTGAACAAAAAAATACTTACCATTCCAATAAACATGCCACTCAATGAAAGTATCAAGATGTGTTTTCTCGCGAGTACTGCCGTCAACAGAGTGACTGATAAACTACCCATTGTCTGAATTACACCAATAACCACTGACGCAACTTCTGGAGCAACATTTGTCTTTGTTGAAATTAATATTGTTTGCAAATAAAACGAAACAGCATTGAAACCAACTATCTGCGAACCCCCATACAAAAGAAAACACAGCAGGAGGGATTTCAAGAATATTTTGTTTTTTAATAACTCGACTTTACTGATTTTTATTGATTTCTCAGCAGATTTTGCGTAGTCGTCCAATTCTAGTTTCGCTTGTGTTTCCGAACCACGTATTCTTGTTAGTGTTTTTAATGCTTCATCTGCTTTTCCTGGAATTAAAGTTGTATAAGTGTCTATACAGTATATAGTTATTTGTGCTTGGTAAATTGTCAAATATTGCGGAACTTCATGAGCGATTTTAGCTATATTACAATCTCGTACGTTTTTAACGGGAGTTACAATAAGGTCTCGGCTCTGAGCGTGATCTAATAGCATAATTAACTTACCCTTAGAATATTGAAAGAATGGACTCTCAGGTAAAAAGAACACTGGTATAGTAGTAATAGCTACCATAGCTAGTAATATATAACTGAATGTATAGTAGGATACAAACGGACCCACAGCCAGAGTAATTACAACCCCCAGGGAAGAAAATAACTGAAGGAATGTTCCAAGAGAACCACGTTGTGTTATCTGAAACACATTATTATTTTATATACTTACTAGCAGACCGGCCAAGCGTTGCTGTGGCTAAGGTTTTTGTTATATTACATTGTAGCAAACTATTCAAGGGAAACGGTAGGAGAACACCAGTCATGGGGACCACTATGCCTTTTTTGGTGGTTATGCCATTAAATTGTAGCTTATGTGAAACGTTGACACTTTCAACACAGCGCCATCTGTTAGAATTGTGACTATCAAATAATAAACAAATAATTTGCAATAAAATAATATTGCGGGTATAAATTGAGATTTAAGCTATCCTATCTTTTAAGTTGGATCAAACTACACACGGTGTGCAAATTTGATTGATATCGGTTCGGTAGTTTAGGAGTCCATAGCGGACAAACAACGTGACACGTAATTTATATATATTAAGATATACTGGTGGTTATAAGCTTACGGCGCTCATTCTTGCAGCGCGTTCAAATCTGAGCTTTTGTGAAAATTTCTGTGTATATACGAAAAAATCGTGAGGATACTGGCACTTAAACGTATTTGTCGATGTCTAGAGGCTGATGATCTAAACTACCACAAAATTATCAATAAAACGTACTCTGTAATGTCTATTTCATATCATTGGGCAGTTGAAAAAGAGCACAATTATTATTGTATACCTTTTAAAGTATGTATTGTAACATTATTAAAGGTCTGGGCATTTCTAAAACAATGCCTATTAATTGGAATGGATATTGAAAGATACTTTTCTTATTCCTATACGACGTTTCATAATCGTATAACTCTATTATCTTGTGGTGGGTAAAAATAAATTCTCCTTTCTATATTTATAGACCACAAGCCCATGAACAAAAAATACCTGTGAAATGACCCAACGTGAATTACGCTTAGAAGGCTGTTACTATATTTGAAAATAGCTCTGAGCACTATGCCGTCATTTCTGAGCGGTACATGTGAGTACGTGAGTGAATGGACTTTCTCAGGTACAATTGGGGAATTTCGACTAATTATTAATGACGACGGAATGAAATGACGGATGAAATGACGGCATAGTGCTCAGAGCTATTTTCAGATATAGTAACAGCCTTCTAAGCGTAATTCACGTTGGGTCATTTCACAGGTATTTTTTGTTCATGGGCTTGTGGTCTATTAATCATCGTCTCGTCCTGATGAATGTTTCGAGCCTTGTATATAAATTTAAAAAAAATCGAACTTTGTAGGTCTGGTCCTCAGATTTCTGTATCTGTTTCGTGACCTTTTGTCAATCTAATAGGCAAATAGTCTCCTGTGCCTGACATACGCCTTTTGGTTTGGTTTCCTCACAAAGTTTTCCTTCACCGTTCGAATGTCAAATGCGCATTGCACACATAGAAAGAAAAGTCCATTGTTGCACAGCCAGGGATCGAACATACGACCTCAGGAATGGGTCTGCTAGACCAACACTGCTCTAAAAAAAGTCATTATAATAAGTGTAAATATGACTTACACTAGCAATTTCAGCTGCGTAAACCGGAACGACACAAAACAAGAAACAGTCGTTTAACATCATGACCGCTCGTGCAAATATTACCATCCATACTTCTGTCACGAATATAAGGAAGAACGCCATAGATAGCTTCGGTACCGCACACACAAGTACACTGTATTTCCTGCCTATTTTGTCTAATAGGAAACTGCCTATAACGTTTGCTGAAATACAAAAAATAACGTTTATTTTATAATGACAGAGAGGCTGATGTCTATTATATAGGACTATAGACACCCTGTGGTAACAGGGCTTCCATCACGGTTAGAAAACTATGATAGGCCGAGAGTTTTACACGCATTTATTGCCGGATGTACATTCAGCCGTAGTGAGCAGGGAAGTGGCCAGGACGAGTGTGTAAACGCGATACTTCATATGAAGTAAGAAAGCTTCCCTGCCCACTTCCCTGCTCACTACGGCTGAATGTACATCCGGCATATCATTCTCAAGGCTTATTTACAAAGCTAAACGTTCAGTTTAAAACAATTATTATTCTATTTAGGTAGATTACTAACGTTTTATTATGAGGATTAGAAGATTATAAGGAAAGTTGTTAGTAATTGTATTCTAACAACATTGTCTGAATTACTTATAATTTATTATTAATTAAATGCATTAAAAAATATGGACAATTAAATAAGTATAGGTACACTTATAGGAACACTTTTTAATCAAAACACCTTCAAGAATTTCTTATTGCTGTTTCGTATATGTCTTATTAAAATATAATTATTGCTTTATTATCTGTCATTCAAAGTGTACGTGAAAACATAAGTAAACTGAATTTAAATATGCGACCCGAAGTGTATGTAAGTGACCTGTGGTACAAAAGCTAGTACTGCAAGCAGATTCAACTTAAATATAATTACAAAAAAATAAAAAAATATATTTTACAACAAACAATTAATATTAAATGAAATAGTAATTGCTGCATAGTATAAACTAAATGTCAAAAGCTATATTTTTTAACATATTTTGAACATTTTGCTACGCTCTTCGAGTTTGAGATTCATTTTCATTTATATAGATAGAAGTATACTTACAAAAGGCACTAATAAGATATCCCATGGATACGATCCAAGATCCTTCATTGTCTGTGATAGGACGACTGAGTGGAGTCTGTGAGGGATCAGCTAATTTGACAAGCATTGGTGACGACCAACTTATACTCATGCCAGTCGTTAGCACACTCAGGTTTACTAGAAAATACATATTAGTAAGTATAATTTTGTAAGAACCTTTTTTCAATACAAAAATGTGTTTGTCAAATTCGAAGGCGTATCGAAGAAGGGCAAGAAATATTCCACTCTAAGCCTTTACAGCTGAATGTTGAGTTGAGCTGAGTTCTTGGCAGGTACATTTCTTCTTATTATTATGTATATAAACAAACTGGCAGCTTAATAAGCTGATGCGCGTGTATTTTGAGATTAATTGGTGAAACTATCCAATCTATTTTTAAAGGAGTTCATATATGGTGCCCTAATTACACTTTCCGGAAGCCTATTCCAGGGTTGCTGCTGTTTCGCTGTTTTACCTTAGAAGAAATCTACGAATGAGCACTAAAATCGACAAATAGAATAAAATTTAATTTCTGCAAAGAAGGAATATCTCGTATAAACAAGATTAACGAATTTAAAGTTTATAAAGTTTTTAGTTCGTCGCGGAATATTCAGCAGAACTGCGCGTATGCATTTTGGTCTCGCTATATTGCGAGAGAGATTGCTTCTTCTTTTTTTTTGTGCCTCTCCATTACTGAAGGTTGGCCGTCAGTCTCTTGAAGCCTGCCTTGTCCTCTGCCAGATGCGGCAACTCTTCCGCAGTCGCAATACCCGTCGACTCCATAACGTTACGAAGCCATGATATTTTTGTCCCATTATAATTGATTGAAGAAGTGGTAGCGGTCATGGCGCAACGCGTGGCCCAGGTATTTACTAAGTTACTTTATACTAAATAATAGCTTATTATAAAAGTGATTATTACCTATAGCTTAAAATCCGAAAATGTTGATTAATCCAGATTCAATAAAGCGAGTATTAGAATTTGGTACATTAAGGATACGTGACTAGAAATATAGTAAATATTTTAGTCATAAAAAGCCAGAGATATCTTAACAATGTGAGTTCATATCATGAAAAATTACTAATTTTGTAATTGCAATGTAAATCAATGAACAAAATACAAAACCCACTAAATGTAACCTATTATGTAAATAGTGGGTAATTTGTACCAGTATGGCGGTTCTTCAGGGGTCTTATTACCCATCGAAAAATGATGGTCATATCTGGTACCAGCGGCCCAGGCGCGTGGGCGTTAGTCGTACTCATCGGATGAATTAGTGTGTCAAATGATTAGTTCCACAAAAATTCTAGTACATATTTTCCGATAGTCCATAAAAAATAAGAGGCGGCAGTGTCTTGCCATACTTTTCCGGTGTGACTTACAGCCCGCCATACCGCCGCCAAATGCGTTAATTAAAAAATAATACCGCCGAAAATCAGCACCTAAAAAAATCAGTAGGTACCTACCGCCGGTACCAGCGCTATGACCATATTTTTTTTTTCGTCATTGCGTAATAAGACCCATGAAGAACCACCTTACTGGTACAAAATATGACCCACTATTTTGTGACACTATCTCCCGGCCTATAATACCACAGGCCCAGTATACATTGTATGCTGGCTTCCATCCCAGATAAACAATAACAACGATAATTGTTTAGTCTCTTATTTGTTTATAAGAAAATTATCAATGCAACACATGTAAATTCTATCAAGTGATTGTGGTACTTCAGACAGTTAAATTAAAGTAGTTACTGATAAAACGTCGAACAAAATAGTGCTCGTGGCTTAGAGATTTCGTAACGGAACCGTGGCGTCTGGGGAATCGAGATCGACAGAGCACTGATCTTACAAATATTAATTGTTTCTGCTAAATAATCTTGAAACAAAATGATCAAAGTCAAAAACAATAATTTTTAGGAAGGAGTTGTTTCAGAAATATTTATTTTATTTTGCCTTGTGTATTTTAAGTGCGTTTTAAACGGTCGCGATCACTTTTATCAAGGTCAAAAAAAGACAACTTTAACACCAAAAATGCTCTACCGCTTCAGCGTACTGCGTACATATGGGAAATCCTAATAAGAAAACCTATCATTAAGTATTATTATTTTGTCCTAATTCATCTACAATTTGGAGTGAGTAAATTAAAAAAGTAGTAGTTTAAAAGTAATTTATTAAACATTATTATTTTCTTTACATAAAGAAAAGAGCGTACCAACTCTTGAAAGACCAGCAATGTGAGTGACCATGGGTACCACTTAACATCAAGTGAGCCTCCTGCCCGTTTGAAAAAAAACTAAACATTTTTAAGTTTTAAAAAATTACAAGAAGATAGGTAAATACCTGTTATGACTGTTGAATACTGCCGAATAATTTCTGGTGATAATTGTAACTTCATTGTACAAACTTAACATATAAACTCGTTTACTGCAGAATAGTCTTTACGACTTGTCTTGCGAATATATACTAAAGGAAACAGTAAAATGGCATTACAATCTTATATATTACAACGTATTATATAGATACTTCAATTTGTTATATTCCAGAATAGATTAAAGATTTAATTATTCTGTAATTTCCACATTCATATTAAATAGGTAATATAATTAAGTTGTGTTCTGTCATTAAAGTTGGATATTTTATGGAATCGATTTTGTTTCTACTAAGAGCCTGATAAAAGAAAAACAAGGTTTAGGTACATCTCCACCTAAACAAGGACTATTTTGTTTATTTATAAGTTTTAAATCAGTATGATTGTTTAAAAAATACGTGAAAAGATGAATACAAATTTTACACACAAATTACATAATAGGTAAACACATTACATAATAGGACAAAATGTCGGCAAACAGCAAAAATAAACGCAGATTTAAACTACACCTTAATCAAAACTTAAACCTCATTAAGAGCATTATAAACAAGATTACTGTAAGTGTCATAAAATATATTATCTAGATATTTTCATTAATGTTAGTAATTAAATTGCAAGAGCGAGACAGCCTATTCACAGGAGCGTAAAGTAGAGTATAAGGTAGGCGTACTTAAAAGGGACTTATTTCTAACAACTCTAGGATTACAAAGAAAGGAAATTTACTGACCTTCAGTATTAAAGTTAAGTACTTGGTACAAATAGGTACACAAGGTCAATAAAGTCACGTCTTCTTACTCGAAATAGTCTAAATGAGCCTCGTATGTTTGCTATAGTCAACGCAACGATTTTGTGGCATAATCTAAAATACTAGGGGCATGTGATTTCTATAGGGTTACTTTGCCTTACCTACCTTAATGTAATAATATTTAAACCTAACATATTAACTTTGCTGCGGAATCAATCCGTGTGTTAATGTGAAATTTAATTTTTGATCAAGAACTACCCCAACACGTCTTGTAGTAATGGTAAGTTTTGAATGTGGTGGCTCTCGAAACATAATAATATCACCAACCTATATATAGATATAAGTAAGGTAAGTGGGGGCAAGATGAAAAATGGGGTAAGACAATAAATTGTATATAATACCGGTTTTAACGTATTTTTTTGAGTGCTGGTATTTTTATTAAAACCGCCAGTTTCTAACGTTCCAAACCACATTCGACCAGAGAGCGTGCAGTCGCAGTGTGTAAATTTGAATAATTTCTGCGTCGTGATTTTTTCGTACAATCTTCAAGTGATTTAATCTTACCCCGAGTACTGTAACTTTAATTACAAGATAGATACGACTGTTTCATTGCAATATTTAATTATAGTTTTTTTTATCTTAGTTACGAAATCACATCAAAATACTGCTATTTTTAGTCATTTAGGAAATATCTCAACTTTCCATCTTTACTCAAAAAAAAATACGGGGTAAGATAAATATACAAATTTTCAATCTTACTCCGTTCCCAAGTGTTATACAAAAATTCAGTTATTCTCAAAATTTAACTGGTAACATGAAATAAATTGGCAACGTACCTTGTTGATATTTCCAAGGGACTATGTATACATTAGCGAATATGCATTGATGAGTAAAAATTAATCAATCATCATCAAAAAACCGTTCAATCTTCCCCCCACTCACCTTACATGAATAATGTCTAGTTTAAGATTGTATTTTAAATTTAAATTATCTATCGGTGCAAAATTGTAACCTCTAACTTATAGTAATCTATGGTTCTTAACGTTATGTGTAGTGTGTACACTGTTGTACTACCGTTATCATATTTTGACAAGAGAGACTCGAATTAAAAAAAAAACAATTTGTTTCGTAAACAAATAACAATTTGTACAATATTTTTTATAGTTTCTCTAAATTTAACCTGAACAGCCTAAACTTTATCGAAAATTAAATTATGGATGACGATGACTACTGGAATAATAGTGAAACCAAAGCAAAAGCATTTAGTTTTGATGACGATGTTGTAAGTACAATTTCCCAATAAATATGTCGACAACCTATTTTAACTATGAAATAGTTTGAATGCTACAGGGATTAATATTGTTTTTAAATAAACAAGAGTTCATATAATGATAATAAGGAAATATATATACATATTATTTTACTGTTAAAATTACACAAATTATATTTCAGTTGTCAACTCAAGAAATTCTTGCTATTGGTCAAAAGCCATATTCCGGACAATCAAATGATGTACCATTCAGTTCTACAATTGTTAATAATACCAAGCGCAATCTCATCCCACTGAACACCCTTATTTCTCCTAAAGTTCTTGACTTAAGTAAGTAGCAATTTTGTTTTTAATACTTAATATATTTGGACATGTCACACGCAGAGATCTTGTAAATCTAGAAAAAGTCATTGAGACTGGCAGACTAGACCTCGAGGCTGATCCCCAACATAAATAGAAAGAAAAAAGCCGTCCCTAACAATATTACCAATTAAACTTGTAGCTCATAAATGATGCAGGTAATATTATACATGATGATGCAAGCAAGGCTGTCAATCAACTGTTTAAAATTTATTAATATTGAATAAATAATATTTATTTCTGATGGTTGGTTAGATTAGTTTTTACTTCTGAACTTGTGAATAAAAATGCATTTTGTAACATGTTATACAAATCAATAACTGAAACTTTAAATCCATTGCATATTAATATAACTTAACAAAAACTACTTTATTATTTCAGTTGTCTTAGCCCAATCAGGAAAAGATCCTAAAGATAAAATTCCGGAAAATATTGACACCACAGTGGCAACATTGAAAAGATTAATTTTAGGTCGCAGTTGTTTTTTACATGTCCATAGAAGCTTAAAGAGTAAGACTGAATTACTTGATGGGGCAGTAGCTTTGGGTGATGGAAATGCTATTTTAAGTGTAAGTAATAAATTTGTAACCGCTTAGTAGTTGGTTATATTTATTATCTACGTCATTCATGCAGTGGTAATTCACTGCAGACCATGTGGCCTCCTGTGTCATTCCCATGATTAAAATACAAAAAATATGCTGATTGGATCTTTATAAGCTCGAAATAATGGATAAGTTTGGAAGTTGTTTATGTTTCAAAAAAAGTGTGACATCAAATACTATTAAAACTATGTCTAAATTTTTTTTTTCCAGGTTGTACTTTTTCTAATTCAGACATTAAACAAAAAGGTTGTTCATGAATTATTATCGTCAAGACCACTGGCACTGAATCACTACATTAGCTATTTGCGGAGTGAATGCAAAATAACGGAACTCACTGATCTACTCACGTAAGTGAAAAAAAAAGTAGATTATTAAAATAATTATGTAGGAAATGTATGCTTTAACTACGTTAAGATATTTGATTCAAATACTAAAAACAATAAAGAAAATATAGTGTGGGCTCGTCCGGGATTTGAACCCGGGACCTCTCGCACCCAAAGCGAGAATCATACCCCTAGACCAACGAGCCACATGAATTAATGTCTAATTTTTTGATCTAATAACTAATGAACAAGACTTCTATAATAATATGAAGATTATATAATATAATTATTATTATTATATTAACATTTTTTTATTTATATTTTAAAAAATCATGTATTTTTTATTGATTTCAGAATGCTAGGCAGAAGTCCTGAAGCTGCGGTCAGTAATTTAAAATATACTACAATAGTTTTAGATACGCTTATATAGATAATACATTATATACATTCGTATTGTCAATATTCTTGAGGAGGAGGTTGGAGGTCTTGTGTTTGATTTCAGTCGTAACTAAAGACTGCACACAGCACAGACGACCGATGTTTTATATTGTACATATTACACTTGCTTATAAAGACAAATATCAAGGAAATATGTACTAGGCTGCCCTATGGGGCATATTGAACATATTGTCTTGGGGGCAAACATTTTTATTGAAAATATATCATTTTTTTAGGTGTACCAATTCCAACATATAGTAAAGACACAAGGAAACAGCGTAGATGGCTTATTACGCAAACTAAATAATGTCTTATCAAATCATTTTAATCAACCTGGTATCGATACTCATAGTACTAAAATGTTAACGGATTACATTAAGTTATTGGGTAAGATTTTTTTACCTATCTCTTATACTCCCACAATAGCATAATAACAATGACAATATTTACAAAATAACCCCTTTCTAAGTCAGACAATATTATTTAAATATTTACGGGAAAGAGCCAACACGATTTTCGGGGTCTCGCTTCTTCAATACGTTTTACAAATTTAACTATTTGTTCACAGAAAACTTTCAGGTGTTATACACCTAAAAAGAAAGAAGAAAAATAATTCACTGAATGTAGACCTCTTTGTTGTTTTAAAAGAAAGATGGATGGAAATGATTCTTTATTAGCTAAAATAACTATGGCTACACAGACAAAAAAAAAGGGTGCGTGTACTTATGTACGCGCGTAAGAAGTTATACTTCTTTGGCATTATTAAAAATAGTTTTTGATTGCAAGCAAATAATTAATTACAATTAAACAATCAAAGACTGGAAAAGGAGTCATTATAGTCAATAAAGTTCAGTTTACATTTGAAAAATTAAATAAATAAATATTTATTATTATTCTCTTACATTAAGTGTAACATAAATTCTATTATTATTCGAATGTTGTTTTTAAATTATGTCCAATGCCGTAGCTTCTTTCGTGGGCAACTTCATTCTACACATCACAATAAAATTGAGATATACTGTTCTGTGGATCTGTTTATGAATGTTTTGTCTCCATTATATTAGCATAAGCTATATATTATTTCAGAATGGCAGAAATACGTAAACAAAACTGAACTTAATAATAAATCGGTGTTAGAATGTCTAACGCATTGCTGCCAGTTGCACTGGCATGAAGGGGCTGGGAACATGATGTCACCTTTGACATTGTGTCAAAGACAACAGGTTGGTTTATGTTAGACAAGGTATAGACTGAGCGTTCGCGTATACCGCAAAGCGATAATACGTCGTGTTTAGATGTGAATTCTTTGACAGACAATAAAACACAACACTTATTGGATTAAGTTCAAGCTAATCAAGGCTTCTAAATATTCTTTTCCAGATTACACCACTTCAATATGACTGGGTTGTGTTAAATGTTCACGCGAATTCCAATAAATGGGACATAGTGGAATCATTATTTACGAAAAAGGTAAGTACCGTAATGACCGGATGTGATGTCACTATGCGATTGTAAATATCATACCTATATAATCTGTTTACTGACATTGTAAACTGTCTAAAGATTGCGTAATGTGATATGCCATTATGAAGTGTGTCTTCGATAGATTATAAACAAAAGAGTATATAACATTGTTGCGGATCACAGTTTTACAAAAACTTGCAAAGTATTTTTACTTTAATATCCATGGAGCTACTGCTGGAAGCAGGCTCATAGTATCCATGGCAACACTGATTATCCTTAAGCAATTAGCAGTACTTTTTAAATAATTGATGACTCCTATAGTCTAGTTCTATCAAATACACATAATAAAAATAATGTTTTTTTTTTATTTCTTTAGTAGCTGACCCGGCAAACGTTGTTTTGCCATGTATATTATTTCTAGGAAACATTTTTTTAGTTCAATAAAAGTAACTATCTACTATACTAAAAAGTAGGGGTTGATCGTAGAAGGGTGAAAGTTTAGGGTTGTATGTATTTTTTAATGGCACATTATAAAAAAAATTAAAATTAAAATTTCGTCCAAAAAATAAATAAAATGCTAGGGATGGACAACCCTTATTACTTAGGGGTATGAAAAGTAGATAGTAGCCGAATCTTAGACCTGCTGAATATGCATATAAAATTTGATAAAAATCGGTCAAGCCGTTTTGGAGGAGTATGGTAACTAACATTGTGACACGAGAATTTTATACATAAGATTAAAGTTCACCTCATATATAATGCTATATCTACGTATATGTTACATGCTATCTTTTCTAAAATAAATTCCAATTTTAGATGTTACTAGTAATGTTTATCGCTAAGAATTAACCAACTTGAAACTTGAACTATTACTGACAAAATTTATTATAATTAATTAATAATAATTTAATTAATTATAATTAATTAATTATAATTTACTAATATTTTTCGCAGGACTGGCTCGGCCGTACAACTGTATCTTCACATATTCCAATAGAAACCTTACTGTCACAGTTGAATGAACTTCAAGCGAGCAAACGAATGATGGCGACTTGTCTTAACAAAATACAGAACGGCGATGAAAAATTACGACTGGCTTATAAATATAAGGTGTCATGAGAGTAAATGTTTTCTTTCTAGTAATATTTGAATATCGAACATCAAAATGATTTTATGATAAGGTGCTCTACACAGACTTACAAATTTAAAACAAAACTTTCTGAAAAAAGTGCTCAATCACACAATGTTCGTTCTTGCCGCACCAAGAAGTTTTTATTATTATTTTTCGTAGCAGGTGCTCAATTTCTATAATCTATGGCAATTTATTACTTATCTGTGGACGCTTTTTTTGTTATACGCATTTGGATAACGATACGTTAGTCGTCATATAAGTTTAATTCCAATTTATGAATTAAGTATATGAGATATTCACTCGTGTGATTATATTAATTTTACAGCTTATTAAAGATAAGGGATGTTTTGATCAATTTAATAAATGAAGCTTACCAATGTTGGCCTATAGTGGATTTAGCACGTTGTGTTCGAATCTCGTGCACATGGACTTTTCTATGTGCGCAATTAAAACATCGTGAGGAATCTCCTTAGCCAAATGTTACGCACAGAAGGTGCTATTTAAAAAAATATCACTAAACAGATGCAGAAATCTTAGGGAAAGCCCCTTGCAGCCGTTTTTTTCATTGCTAGCCCGGCTATAGTATGGTGGCTTCAGCATGCGACTCTCATCCCTGAGGTCGTAGGTTCGATCCCCGGCTGTGCACCAAATGGGCTTTGTCTATTCGCATTTAACATTCGCTCGAACGGTGAAGAAAAACATCGTGAGGAAACCGGCATGTCTTAGACTCAAAAAGTCGACGGCGTGTGTCAGGCACAGGATCTGATCACCGACTTGCCTTTTAGAAATCTGAGGCCCAGACCTAAAAAGGTTGTAGTGCCAATGATTTATTTTTATTTTTGTTATAATTTCTCAAATATGCGTTTTGTGGTTTTTACTTTCATCTATAAAACTTCGCTTTTAATTAATGCCCCTTTAATAATGTAGCAAAATTATACAATCATATTTTTTTAGATACATTCAGTAGTGATAGAATCTCTATTAAAGCAAAAAGACCGCACGGCTCTTACTAACTATAAGATGACACTCAGCCCCCAGTCAGAAGAATATATACTTGCTGAAAACACTTTGAGGGAACCTGTGAGTATTTCTATGTATCTATCATCTATATATATAAAAGGAAAATGGTCTTCGTTTGAGGCTCCTTCACGCCTAAACCATCGTATCGACATGAAACTACCACCATTCGTGCGATTTTAGATGGTTTATGCTATTTATTTATTAAATTCCAACGTTCCTTCATTTTTTATTCTTTTTACTTTTAGAAAATTTATCCATACGGACTTCACCAAACTCAACATCTTTAAAAACTCGATTTTTCGAAATATTTCAATTTTCTTAGCGGGAAGTTAAAAGAATAATAAAAATATGAAAAAAAATAAAATAATGAAACATAAAATTTATTTTAATTCGTCCAGCGAAGCGGGCGCGAAACGGCTAGTTATTATATATAAACAAATTAAATTTAAAAATGTAATAATAATATTTTGGAGTTATTATAATTTAACTATCGATGTTGTATATCTTATATTATATAAAATTCTCGAGTCACAATGTTAGTTACCATACTCCTCTGAAACGGCTTGACCGATTTTTATCAAATTGTATATACATATAAAATAACAATAAAACATAGGTCTGAGAATCGGCTACTATCTATTTTTAAACCCCCTAAGTGATGAGGGTGCCCACCCCAAAAAAATTTTTTATTTAGATTTTGTTTTTGTTTTAAGCATTTTTATAATACAGCATACAAAAATAGATACAACCCTAAATTTTCACCCCTACGATACCCCTATTTTTTATTATTGTAGAGTTATTTTTATTGAACTAAAAAAGTGTTTCCTAGAAATAATATATATGGCAAAACAAATGTTTTTCGGGTCAGCTAGTATATAGTTATATAAAATTGTATACATGTTATATAAACCTTCCTAATAAATCACTATATATACATATATAGTGCGGTTTCATGCGGTTGTAACCGCATGAAAATCCGTGCAGAGGTTTTTGTGTTTATCGAGAACAGTTTGCTTCAAAGGGAAACTAGGTCAACGGACGGACAGTTTTATAACCCCACAATGATGACTTAATTTACTTAACAATTATCGTTTAGCCGGAAATTAAATTTAGTAACTTCGAGCTATAACTCATATTCGTTGATCACTAAGTGGATAGTAGCTAGTAGACATTTATTCATAAAATTGAGTTTTATTATTAGAAATGAAAAAAAAATCTATTGAATACGTGTTACCTCCTACTTGATAAAAACGTGCACTCTTTTTAAAGGTAAAAAAAGGTACGGTTCCGTCTCTTTCTGTTAAATAGTATTTAAGGTGTCATGAAAAAAGACAGCTGAGTTTAGCTAAGGGAGGGAAGAGGGGGGAGGGGGAAGAGGAAAAAAGGAAGAGGGGGGGGGGGGGGGGGGGGGGGGGGGGGGGGGGGGGGGGGGGGGGGGGGGGGGGGGGGGGGGGGGGGGGGGGGGGGGGGGGGGGGGGGGGGGGGGGGGAAAAAAAAGGGGGGGGGGGGGGGGGGGGGGGGGGGGGGGGAATTGGTGCAAATATATAGATTTTTTTTGAAGAAGCGGTTGGATATTGTAATAATCGCTCAAATTCTAATTTAAATATGTTTCTATTTATATATATATAAATCAAATTATGTTAGTTGACTCTGAATAACTGTTACCATTTTTGTTTCAGTCCATCAAATGGAAGAATTAAACACATTTTAATTTATTGTAAAATTTTATTACATATTAAATAAATGGTATTCACATTTTTTTTATTTTTTATTAATTTCCCTTCAGGTTATTCACACAAACGTTATACAAGAATAATTTGTGTATATTTATTGTATATTAGATAAATATATAAAATTATTTCGTTTTTCTTCAGTACACTTTGAGGTAATTTTTGTAATATATAAAATCACCCAAGTGTTTTGTTGCATTATTATCAAAATATTACTGTCATTAGATTTTTTAAGGCTCATGTTTATAACAAAGAGTTTGCTTCAAATTAATACAAAAATATTATATACTAACAGACTACTTCTACTCTTTTACTTCTCAATCAATCATCGTCAGCTCCACAATTACATTGGTCCTCGTCGATTTCCACGCCGCAACAACGTAACAACTGTACGATACAAGTAATACATAGAAGGCACTGAAGGACTTTACAACACGCCCTACAACAGCCACCGCAGCAACACATTTTCAACTAATCCAAAAACGTAATATCGTTATGGTTCTGGAAACTTCGCGAAGGTGCACTCGAAATTATTTATTGGGAGAAATGCAGAAAATCTCAAATTTCACACTGTTTCAGAAACTCCGTGGAAATCCGTGTAATTGTTATCTTTGAATGTTTGATTACATATATTCCTTTCGCACAATATTGCTTCCAAATTCTTGAGTCTTCAAATAGTTCCAAATTCAAAGAGTAAGAGTAAACTATTTGCTGGTTCGTTATTGCCACGATATTTTTATTTATACTGTAGCTATACCACTTCTACTGATTCATATCTTATCGTATTTTTATCGATATGTATTTAGTGATAGTGAATGGTCGTACCTATATGAATATGATTCAAATGTGCTGTTATAGTTATTTCCAAATTCTAATTTCTTAAGTATTTAGATAACCATTAGGATATCGTTAAGATAACGTTAAACGATTACCTAGTACTGTGTTGGTGTATTAGTGAAATCTATTTGTTGTCGTACGCTCACAACTTGTATCTTTTTCTTGTTTGTAGGCGTCAGGGCTTCTTAAGACAGGAGACTTGATTTGGACTTGTAGGTTATTTTTGCAGTCCATGGCATTCGCAACATTCTGCTCCTACACCACATCTTGAATGCCTCTTTCTTTTTTCTAGTCCGCTGCACGAATTGACCTAAACACTAATCCAGTAAAAAATATGAAAATTAATTGCCCGAGAGGACAAAGTAGTCAGCAGATACATATTTGCCTGTTCCAATGATAATATTTCTTTATATAAGTCATTTATTTTTGTATCTTTGATATTATATCTACTTTCCTGTCGATGTTTGCCGTAGGAAAAATTGTTATTAAAAATTTTACTAATTCTTGATTTGAAAGTAATGTTAAAGACTATTCATTAGATAGTTACTAACTATTCATTTTAAATTAATACATGAAGACGGTTAAAAAATCATATACGATAAAATCAAGTAAGAAAACTAATCGTACTTAGATAATAATCAGTATCAATGCCAAATAGCTAAGAGAATCTCATTATTATCGTGTTACAGACTATCTGTACAAGATTACAATAGTCTTTAAGTTTTAGTTCCATACATTTTGTATAATGTTTTACTACATTAATGATGGTTTTGCTATGCGAGGTACATTCTTCCGTTTAGTTGCGCTGTCGCGTTTTCTCTCTTTGTTTCTCTTTTACGTTAACTAGGGTAGACCGAGGCAAATCGGATCACAGGGCGAATCGGATCAAAATAAGAAATCTGTTGATAATTTAAATATCACATTCACATAGAACGCACTCAATCGGTGTTTTGTGTATCTCCATTTACTGAGCACCTCCCGACATAAGCAGTATTTCGATCGTGCTTGTGGAAGTGGCAAGCCGCTCGCAGCCACTCGGTTTTTTGTGTGTGTCGCAATTTGGCGCTCATCTAAGGTACGTACTTACGATTTCTTTGTGTCATATGACGGATTTGTCTTAAAATTCAACTACATTGGTTTATATTATTAAGCAAGGTGTTTATATTAAAGAACCAATTCGCTTTTAAGTATAATCTTAGACGTTAACGTCTAAAATATTTATTTCAAAAGTCTTAATTATGGGGCTAATCGGATCATATCCTCATGGGCGAATTGGATCATACTTTTAAACTGATTAATTACCTACATGTTTGAGGTTATTGATTCATATTTATTTTCTATTGTACATAGATGGTTCGCACGTACAAGAGAAAGACTGATGCCGAGAATGGTCTCAAAAAAAATTAAGAGGCTGTAAATAAAGTCCAGAACAAAGAGTTGACCTTACGTAAAGCTGCTAAGATTTTTTCAGTACCGTTCACGAGCTTACATAAAAAAAGGACCATATATGTGTGAAAATTGATCTCATTATTAACTTTTTACTGATTCCCAAGTTATTTAACACTATACCTTAAAATTTTGTTATAATATGTTGGGGGGATGATCCGATTCACCCCGAAAGTTGGGGCGATTCGGATATTTTTCCTTTTTTAGTTTTTAATAGGTAATTAGGAATATATGTACGATTTAAGTTTTCAAATGTTTATTGCATAGTAATTGTTACTTCTTACGATTTTATCAATAAAAATAACATTATATAACACTTTAGTATGATTGCTCAACCTAAAGAAAAGGGATCCGATTCGCCTCGGTCTACTATATTCGATTTTACGTTTGACCAACGGCGAGCTCAAAAATCTATAGTATATTCCACATAAGACGTCAAAGAGGGCTCGCGTGGTTTGGATGTCAGATGATGTTTGACATTCGAAGATCCTTCAATAATGAAAGCCTTATTATGAAATAGTTGGCCACAGCGTAAAGGGAGATATTATCAGGCAACATATCGCTATCCCATCGCATACTCCCATTAATTGCAAATATTTTTTATCAAAAAAGATGCTGCAGATCGCAGTGGGATATATATATATATAGTATAACATATATACTATAGGTGTTTTGCAAGGTAAAACTTTTCTAATCACTAAAAATAATCTTTATTTCCACGAAAACTATCACAATTGCGTCAATGCTTTGCAGTTTGAATGTATTTTACGTAGATCACAAGTATATTTTTAACCACGAGATAAATAGGTAATGTATATCAATAGGCCTGGCTTCGAAATACACCTGTTTCTTTGGTGATATTTTTCATAGAAAAGTTCTATTTGTTTGACAATTTTTTTAATAATTTTGGGGCTAACTCTTGGGAATTGAAACCAAAATAACTGTGAGACAATCCTGACCCACTGACTAAACCAATTTGTGCAGAAATGGTGATAACTAGGAAGCTGGCGAGCGTTTAAGTATATTTGCTCGTATTTCATAATGATAAAAATTAAAGTTCGGACCAATACGACATAATTTTCTTAAAGAATTAAGGTCGTACGTTGCCGCGTTTTTAACAGGGGCCTGTAAAAAAATCTATATTAAATCATTTGCTCGTGTCTGCCTCTGGGGTACACTTTCTCATATCTCATTTAGATAACGAAGAAAATGTTACGGTAGTAAGGATACTGTTTCCGGTGCGTGAGTGGTTAAGAGGTTATTATTCTAAAACTTTAAAATTAAAAAATTAATTCCAGAATATTTGCCGCGGTGGCGTCAATATCTACGTAAGTACCGGACAAGGTACCACCTCAGAGTTAGGTACGCGTAACACTAGTATTAACGAAGTACGGTACACATTTATATAGTTTTTTTTAAATAACCAAAATGCGTTTATTTTAAAAGTGACTTAAATTAATCTATTACGATTGTGTCCACATGCTATCTACACAAAACCTGGAAAGTATTTCAGCGTTTAATATAATATGTAATACCTTACAAAAATCAATCAATTCACAACTTTAGTTTTTTAATATTCCTCATCATCTTCGCAGCTTTCACAGCAATGCAGTCCACAGAGAGAGAACAGGGCAGCGCACAATGCGAGACAACATGCACATCTTAAACATCTACAACAATTTGAACAACAGCAACACATATTTTTGCCATTTACTATAAATTATTAATTTCACGATTGGGTTGATTAGAATTTGTATTTAAATTCACACTGGTATAAACAGCATTTTAAATATAAAATTGTGTTTAAAAGTGCTTTACTTTCGTATTCTGACACTATTGTATTGTTTGACAGTTCCTATGAAAGAATTTGACATTCCACTATGTTAGAGATTATAATAATAAAGGCTGCTTAGAGTTTTTGATCTGTTCTTAAAGTAGGGGGCCTACCATGAACTCTTTATTGCGAGCCTATTGGTAATGATACTGTGCGTTTTCCATCATCCTTAGGCAGAGCATTTTGCGACTCAGTGCAGTGAATTAGTTTTCAAATGCATCAGCAGAGTGCGCTAAGTCAGTGTTGACAAAAAAATGGTCTGAATAGAGTTAGCAACCTCATTAATGTATACAAATGTGGTAAACAATAATAGTTGGTTGAAAACTTTTTACGCTTAATTAAATAATCGAAATTATTTCATTAATTTTTTTTACTGAAAAAGAGAAAACCTTTAAAGAATATAAGGTTTTAACAAGCTAAATTAACAGTAAAATATTAAGTTTCATGTAAGAAGTTTACATCATTTACGTTTTGAGTAATATTTTTTAATGATTTCTAAAAAATTATATACTTTTTCAAAACCATTGCAATTTTTTCTAAAGTATAATCCTGTAAAGTAAATTTGTTTACAGATCCGAATTTTAAAAGAAAATTGTATTCATATTTTTAAATGTGGAATATAAAAAAGTTACTATTTATACCTTCATCCATACTAATATTTTTTTTTAGCAGTTTGAAATAACTTTAATTATTTTCAAAATCTACGACGAAACGAAAGCCTTACAAATTTTTCAACAATAAATAATATTTACTAACGAAAATTTCGATAAATGCCAACTTGAAGAAAAATACTGGTCAATTTTCTGTCACTGTGTTGGTATTGTTTGCGAGAGCATTCGTTTTGAGAGTGCTCAATTGTGCGAAGCGTTGCTGTAGTTGGAAGTTGGAACACTCAACGTTGAGCATTATGCCGCAAAATGCGCTCTAGTGCTGTAATTGGAAAACGCACACTAAACTTATTATTTTCATGCAGTTTTCATCAAAGTAAATAAATGTTTGGAAAAACGATGATTTCTAAAGGAAGCTAAAAAAAATAAAAAAGCAAATTGAGAACAAAAATATATTTGTTATCTTTTTCGTCCGGAAATCTTGAAGCCTGTGTCACGAAACAATTGGTCCATATCATCTTTATCGATCATCAGAGATGGCTAAAACAAGCAATCATAATTACGGATGCCTTTATATTTTTATTCATTTAAAATACCTGACTTTTTTCTATAAACTGTAATTAAATTTAATTCTAAGTATATATCCGATGTTTTTATTCGGATTTAACGCGATAATCTTAAGGAGTACTGTTTAAAATTGAAATAATATATTTGTGTCGGATAGTCTGGTTATCGGGGTTGCTTGAGATTAGGTTCTCAGAAATGCTTACAATTATCAAAATTCGTTCAAGGATGAAATAAAGTCATATAACGCTATTATTTACACATAAATCTTAATCAATTTAAGATAAGCTTTTACGGGAACTGTCGCATTATCTAGGTTTTGTATCTTATCTAAACGACGTGAATAACATTATTACTGTAGGAGTAAACATACGCCGAAATTTGACTGCTCTATTGAAGGAACTTAAATATATGTAAATCTAATATCGTTCTAATTGCGGAAAAGACGTAATAGCCTCATACCTGAAAAGTGCTAAACCTTAGGCTTCTTCGTAACACTTTTTGACAAAAATTATTTTGTCAAAAATTTTGGAAAATAAAAAAGTATCTGTTTTTTATAATAAAATGTTTTACAAAAATTCAAACTGAAGTACATACCAATGAGGATCTCTCATATTGGTTCTCCGGTTTATTGAATAAAGCTTTTGCACCCGGCCTGAAAGATATTATCATTTATATTTGTTTTCTTTTGTATTTTTATAAACTGTATGTTTTTCTCGATATTTTACAGTCATTAGACAATGTGTTTTGTGAAGATAATGGCTTGGGATTTTTTCTTCGTAGACGCCAGAGTATATCATTTGTACAAATAAATAAATATAATTTCATTCGCGTAATACTTAATTTCATTCAAATTGTCATGACCTATTCATTCAACGAATTAACGATACCATTCATACCTTCGTGGTCTAAATCTTGTCTGTTTCCATCTTTGCCTGATCACTTGCTCCTGAAAATACGACCTTGAAAATGCAAATAGATCTATGTTTATTATTCTACGACAATCTATGTTCAGTTCATAGCTCTATGCTCGTTGCTACTATATAAAAAAACTACAATATAAATGAGACAATTTAACGCGTTATAATCACATAAAAATTACAATTAAACCACGTGGAGTATCTTTTTGATACAAGAATATTCTAATATGGAGAATGAACAACATTCTTTCTTTTGTTTTTTTATTCGTTAAAGAAAGATGGATTATTTTTTCACGTTAAAATTAAAAGTAAAATATATGAATATTTGGATACAAAAACAACCGTTGATCAGTTTCACCTTATGAACTGGATCTTGACGTATTTGCGGTGGTTCCATAAAACCTTTATCAACAAACACATCTTCTTTCGTCTGACTTCTGTACAAATGTTGTAACTTATCAGCAAATTTTTTTTCATCGGATTCTCTGTAAGTAATTGTTTTAATCAATCGTCTGCGTCTTAATTTATATATTTTTAAATAAGTCTTAATACTCGATAAATTTATTGATCCGACGGGATAAGAACTTAAAACTACTGTATTGCGGTACATTATACACTTAGGTATCAAACATACAGGAAACATACATACGGAAAATTTTATACACGGAACGAGACTTCCAAATTCGGAGCGAATTAAAATATTAAACATATTTAATTTAGCATTTCGTTAATTACCCATTATCCAGTCCATGAACTTCTAATCGTGGTCTGGTTGGCCATGCCTTAAGTTGGGTCATACTCCGCGGTTTTTCTAATTCCTGATCTAAAATATCTAATGCCCTAGTCGTCTTTCGCGTTGCTGAAAAATATATCAAAACCAAACTAAAATTCATTCACCTATGTTTATGTGTATTCCTGGATTTTTTATCTATTTATTTATTTCGTACTCTTACAGCTAACATATATTATACTAGCAGACCGGCCAAGCGTTGCTGTGGCTAAGGTTTTTGTTATATCACATAGTGGTAAAGAATTCAAGGGAAACGGTAGGAGAACAGCAGTCATTGGACCACCATGATTTTTTGGTGGTTATGCCATTAAATTGTCTGTTAGAATTGTGAGTATCAAATAATAAACAAATATTTTGCAATAAAATAATATTGCGGGTATAAATTGAGATGTAAGCTATCTTATCATTTAAGTTAGATCAAACTGCACACGGTGTGCAAATTTGATTGATATCGGTTCGGTAGTTTAGGAGTCCATAGCGGACAAACAACGTGACACGTAATTTATATATATTAAGATTAATTAAAAACAATTATACTAAACATATAGCCAAGATAGAATACGTAATTTAAACAAAAAGGGTTCAAATAGAAAAATACTATAAAAAAATTCAATACAATTAAACTAAGTAATGCCTAATTTGGCTGTGGCTGTATCTAATGTCAAAGATCTTTAATAGACTTCAATAGTCCCTAATGTTATTATTCGCTTTGTATATTTTAATTGAAAATATTCTTCCTCCATAATGTAAATAGTACTTTGATTGATCTGTTTTCGATCTTTTCATATTAGTCACTTAATCCATATATTTTCCTGTTTTACTTACTGAGATACCCAATATCCAGGTGCTTGCGTGGCAGCTTTTTTTTATCGACTTCCTCCAACTCTGCCTCATCGTCTTCATCACTTGCATAGCCGTCGTACTCTTCATGTCTCGACTCGGTGGTTTGTCTCATCTATAAGGTACTAGCTATTACCTACTATCTAATTTGTGCCTTATTTTAATTTCCAGTTTCCAACCCTTGATGAGTTTATGATATTTACCTACTAGTACTAAAATAATTTAAGATGGTTCACATACGGTAACATAATTGCAGACACTTGAAGCTAAAAGTAATTTTAAATTTATGACATTATTTTGCGTTTATATCCATTAAAATTTTCTTTATATACTTAAAAAGGCACTAGTAGACAAGAAAAAAGTGGTAGCAATAGCAAAATCACCGGAGCACACAGCAAAGGATACGAAGTGCGTATCTTCCTCGCCGTATGAGCAGGACACGCAGCTAATGGACCGGGATTGATGGTTCTCTCTCCAAGCATGTTTGTGTGTGAGAAGTCACATACGAGCAACATACGCGTCTGCGCGTCGCCGTGGGTCACCGCCCCACAACCAACAGCTCTTAGGGTCCACACTGCTAATTGACTGAAGTGGCCCCAAACGCTGCCTCTGGTATAAATAGTTGAATAGTTATGTTGCATAGCTTTTTTGACGAGTACTTAAAATCAAATCCTCTCCCTTCAATCTCACCCTGTCTCACCAACAGACACCTCCTGGACGATTATTATTAGATTATATTATCACTATATTATTCATTAGATGTGATTGGTATAAAATGCCTACATAGATTTCTTATTATGAGGAATTTATATGAGGTAAATTACGTTAATCCTTTTAAAATTTATTACAATAGAAATACAAAAATAGTATCAATGTTCCTTATGAACGCAGTGACTAAGCAGCCAATATTCTACGGGGGGGGGGGGGGGGGGGAACCCCCCCCCCCCCCCCCCCCCCCCCCCCCCCCCCCCCCACCCCCCCCCCAAAGAAAAAGGGGAGGGAAAAAAAGAAGGGGGGGGCCCCAAACGAAGGGAAAGGGACAGGGGGGCCCCCGGGGGGGGGGAGGGGGGGGGGGGGGGGGGGAATTCCCAAGGGACAGGGGGGGCCCCGGCCCACCACATAATTAGGGGTTTGAGGTGGAAAAAGAAATTAGAATGAATTTATGTTTCTGATTAATATTTTCTACTTACTTAGGAGTTAATCTAAACGGCGCAATAAGCTGTTTGGGCTGCACCCGCCGTCTTTCTCCCCACCAGGCATCGAATACTCTGCGTATGGCTCGCTGAGCGCTTAGCTCTTCCGAATCACTGGAACGTCGCCAACGCACCTCACCCACTGTTTGACCCGCGTACGGATAGCGAACTGGACAGAACTATTAAGTAGTTTTGAACACTTTTTCTAAAAACATTTCCAGCTTTTTTCTTCTTTTTAAAAACTAGTTTCAAGAGGCGTCAAGTTTCTACTAAATTACAATATTTATCAGTGTTCACGACGAAGCTATAAGGCAAGGTCCTAATGGTCTGTGTTTGTTTCGAGATTATCATCCAGGGAAACTTGCACCGCCCAGGGAATCATGCAACGCCGGGGACTAGCGGGTGTGTTACCGACCTTTCAGGGAATGGTACGCTCTTTTCCTGAAGTCGTATCAGTTTGGAAATACCTCTACTGGCAGCTGGTTCTACAAAAATTTCCTTAAAAAGCGCTGTGTTGAGCAATGCCAGACGTCGAGACAGAAAGGTTGGGATTTTGCATTATGCCTAGACGTCCGACGATGGAATTCAACCGCAGGTGGTATTTTGGTAAATAGTACCTTTTGGTATTTATAGTCCACCTACTTTAGGTAATCTTTATATCGACAACTTACCAGTAGCTCTACAGTCATCGTGCACAAAGCGACATTGGTCTGCAAGGCGTTGAGCTAAATGAGCCAACTCACGGTCCCAGCTCTAGAATGAAATTATTATTTTAACTTCTAAAACTTACCAAATTAGGGGCAATTTATACTACCGAACCGTATCGAACATAACAAATTCAACCTTAACTGTAAAGTGTAACGCACGCATACATTTCTTATTAAAAATTAATTTACCTGGTGCAAAAATATGAATGCCTATTTAATCCAAAAATTAACTGGCAAGTGATTCAATAGCACTACTGTTCATGCTTACACGTAAAAACCGCACGCGTATTCTCGCGAATCCGCGCGCATTCGTGCGGCTTCGCTTTAGTTGTGAAGAATTTGACGCTTCGTCTCTGCGGTAGTATAAATTGATCCTTATAAAACTTATAAATCAAATTAAAGAGTCTGTGTTGCTACTTTGTAAAGATAATAAAATTAGGTATTCTGATAATTACTTACAACCCACATCATAATCTCTGGTTTGGGTATATGTGCGCCGCCACGCACGCGTTCGTTGCCCGTTGCTATCCGCTGTCTACGCCTTAATAACACGATGACTATGAGGAGAACCATGTGATATAACTTAAATATTTAAAAACTACCATCTAATTAAGAATGTGTTATGTGTGATCCATTTTAATACCTAACTTACTATGAAAGCAGTATTGTTTAAACGTGCTGCTATCAACCCAAAGTTTGGCGTTAAAACACAACTGTGCACCAATGGATTTTTCTTTTACGTTTACTTTAATTACTTGGTCGTACGGAGAAGATTAACAGGGTGACGAAACCGATCATCAAGTCCAGGTTACATTACAATTATTGTTTAAACCAAACCGATATCTTAGGAGGGAATTAATTATGTTTAAGAAACAAACCTGTTGATGTAGTGGGTTATGAAATTTCTTAAATCCCCGGTGAATTTAATTTTGGTATAATTCACACAGTATGGATTAGGGCCCGGCTGAAATGTTTTAGTAACTGATATACTAAACTAGAAAGCAAAGTAATTAAACAACTTGAGTTTTCAGAAAAATAAAATCACTTACAACAGGAAACTGACAAGCTACATGACGACCTTTACCCTGACACAGTCGCCTATACCGTAACGAGCAATACGGCTGATCATCCACGAGAGATGTTGCCACTGTTAGTGTCAGGAATAGGCAAGAAACAGCTTCAGCATACATTTGGAGACTGAAAAACAACGAACTTTTAGTCCGTTGCATATCTATGCTTATCTTGCTGCAGCAAAATACTGAATTTCGGAAATCCATAACGAAGATTCTTAATTTATATTCTTTTCCTTGTAAGGCTTGTCCAGAAGGAACAAATTATTTCTACAAAAGGATTTATAAAAACTAAACATTTGATAACAAACTTATGGACGTAAAATGTATTATTTTCAAAATATAAAATTATACTTACCTCCCACTATATTAGGCAGCATTTCTTTGCATTGTAAAATAATGAATGTAAAAATAATGTTTAAACTGAATACACGTTAGAAAAATTATGTATGAAACTAAAATATTGACAATGACAAGCGTCAAGAGAATTTTTATCAATGTTCATTATATCTATGTTCCAAATTTAGCCGCATTAGCTGCAATGACATTATAAAAACATTTAAACAGCTAAAAATAAAAAAAACTAAAGATCTTTGGGGTGTATCTGTTTTCATTTTACAATCAGTAATCAATACTATCAGTTCAGAGTTGGCTATAATATTTAATGAATGTATAGATTGTGGAGTCTTTCCAGACCAGATGAAGATAAGTAAAATCACACCGTTATTCAAAACGGGCAGCACTTCGGACCCCACAAATTTTAGACCCATATCTGTGCTGCCGGCTTTGAGTAAAATCTTTGAAAAAATCATTCTTGAACAATTATTGATACATTTTAATAATAATAAAATTATGCATAGCCAGCAGTATGGTTTTACAAGAGGTCGCTCCATAGCAGATGCTGGCATTCAATTAATTTCCGAGATTTTAAATGCTTGGGAAAATTCTCATGATGCCATTGGAGTTTTTTGCGACTTATCAAAGGCTTTTGACTGTGTCCATCACGAAATCCTAATCAAGAAACTTCAACACAAACTTCACAGCGCTAAATCTTGTGGAATCATACCTGAGCGATAGAATTCAAAAGGTAAATGTAAATGGAGCTATATCACAGGGATCCTCTGTTACTATGGGAGTACCGCAAGGCTCCATACTTGGTCCCTTCTTATTCCTCGTCTATATAAATGACCTGCCATTTCTTGTAAAGGAGCTTCACGAGATGGTACTGTTTGCTGATGACACTTCGCTTTTATTTAAGGTGAAACGACAAAATCCATCACTTGATAACGTAAACAGTGCCATCTCCAGTGTAGTTCACTGGTTTAATACAAATAATCTTAAGTTAAACGAAAAGAAGACAAAATGTGTTAAATTTGTAACTACAAATGTAAAAAGTAGTCATTCTCAAATAAATATTAAAGACGAGGAAATAGACTTTGTTGATAATGCGGTGTTCTTGGGAATTACTTTAGATAGTAAACTCCAGTGGGCCGACACATAGAAGGTCTTTCGAATAGGCTAAGTTCCGCAGCGTTCGCAGTAAAAAAGATACGCGATCTTACGGATGAGAACACAGCAAAGCTTGTTTATTTCAGCTATTTTCATAGTATTATGTCATATGGTGTTATTTTGTGGGGTAATGCAGCTGACATTAAATCGATATTTGTAGTGCAAAAGCGGGCTATAAGAGCGATCTGTGGGTTGTCCCCACGGGAGTCGGTCCGAAGCAAATTTAAGGAATTACATATTTTGACTCTGGCAAGTCAATACATTTATGAGAATATTTTGTATGTGCGGAAAAATATAGATATCTTTAAAAAGAATAGTAGCTTCCATAATTATAGTACTCGTAATAAAGACAAAATTAGCGCACCAACCAGAAGGCTGCATAAAACGAGTAATTCTTTCCAAGGCAATTGTATACGTTTTTTCAACAAAATCCCTAGTGAGATACAAGATTTGTCAATAAATAAATTTAAATCGTACATTAAAGTAAAACTGCTTGCTAAGGCTTATTATAATATAAATGAATATTTAAACGATCCTAGTGCTTGGATATGAGTTGCTCCAGTATATATTATAGGTAACACGACTGAATCTCTCGGCTGCATTTCCAGACTCTGGGGCGATCGTCAACATCCACGACTGTTTTAATGTAAAGTGGGAACAAACCGTATCCAATTATTTCAGTATTATTATTATTTTCTTATGTAGCCAAGTCCACATTTCAAGGATCGTCATGCTCGCTTAAATGTCATTGCTTGTGGCGGCGTCCATGCGTCGGGTTGTCTCTCTCCCTAAAATATGGCGAGGGGGCCGATGGCTGGCCATGCATCATACTCGTGAACGGGTGCTACTTGTGGTGACTGGTCGTACTTGAATTCGTGTATGCGGTGATGTTAATTATTTCGACTATGTGTTTGCGTGTTGTTCCCACGAGAATGTAAGTGCGTGCTCCTATTTCACCATGCCTCCTGCTGATAGGGGACAAGTCTTTGTTTTTATTTATGTTATTATTATTAATTACTTAAAATGTCATGTGGAACATGGTGTAATGGTTGCAGCTCCTTACAAACGTTGTGTAAAAAAAAAAAACATGGCGATTAAAAAGAGTGGCGGAGAGTTTATTGCCAGTTCTTCTCTTCCGTTCTACGCCCTTGATTTGAGAACTGGCAGTAAATGTAAAATTAGAAGCATGAATATTTATTTCTTTAATGACGAATCACAAGTGTACATTGTGTTACCTACGTGAATAAATGATTTTTGAATTTTGAATTTTTGAAATTTATTTCCCTGCCATCTGTTGCAGAAGTCTGATAATATTTCACTTACTAGTATTATGAGAAGAACGAATCTCGAGGAGGAATATATACAAGAATTATTTTTCCTATAAGAAAAAGTAAACAATAGAAACTACAATAAATGTTCGGTAAATTTTATTATGAAATACAATAATTTATATCAGGATATTTACAACGTTACACGCTTACAACTATACATTATATTTTATTTTAATTTCAACAAAATTACACGTCTATTTTGAAAATGGTACGTATTTTACATAAGAGTGGGGTACGCATTTACAGACACCATCAAAAGATGGCGCCACTAGCTCGCTGCTACCAAAACCTGTTTACAACGCCATCTAGTTTAAGACTAAATTAAGAAAGTGACTACAAACACTGTAACTTAAAGTTTCTATACAAAATTGGTGTATTATTTAAGGTGTGAAATATAAATACATTATTTTTATAACAAGACAATTTATATAAAAATTCGAAGCGATTATCAAAACAAGCTACTTTCATATATCTAAATACAATAATTTTATATAAAAATATATATATTTGAACACAAAATTAATTTGGCAACTATGTATAGAGACTAACCAGACCTGCAAATATAATTTTGTATGGGCTAAAAACCTAATTTGATTTTGTTTAATTTTTCGAAATTACAGTTTTATTAAAACGTCATTTTTATAAATTTTATTTCAAATCTGCAAACTAGAGGAAAGAAACGAGATCATAGAAAGTTTCAGTTATTTTTTCAAAGACGAGCCCTTGCTTCTTTAGTGAAAGATAAGGTTTTTAAAAAATAATAATATTTTTATGAAGGGTGATATAAAAAAGATCTTAGATTTTTTGACACATGGAGTATTGAGGAAGTATTTAAAGGTATTCTTTTCTAGAATATCCACATCCAGAGGCATAGCTGAACTACAAAGTGAAATTTTGGTAATTTATTTACTTTGGTAAGTTTTTCACTTTCTTTCTTATTTTTCCTATTTTTGTGAAAATAAAAGGTACGTATATTCCAGATTAGAATACCGTATACTCAAGCACTAGTTATAAGTTTTCATATTATATTCATATCACAAGTGATTTTTGAAAATATGATACACCATTACAATTTTGATTTATAACCATGCTATTTATTAGTATTTTATTTTCGAATCATAATATCTACTATGCCACTTGTTCTGGAATATTGCCATAATATGCTTTGCTGTCATCATAAAATGTCATAATGAAAAATTTTCGACTTTTTGCATTTCTTTTTTTTAATATATTTCAAAGGTCTTTGTTAGTCGGCAGAGGCGCTGTAAAATGCTAATCAATTTTTAGAAATATTAATACCATTAAAAACTTATCAATAACTAGTGTTCGAGATATTTGAACGTTAAATAGTAATGTGATGTACACTGGCAGTATCGAATGTAGGGAAAAATATAAAAACGTAAAGCTAAATGTATTAATAAACGCAAATAGAATACTTAAACTAATCTATGACTACAACAAATAATTAATCCGAATGTGAAAGGCCACTCAAATGTATGAACCCAAAAATCCAGACATTAACTGTTTTAATTTGAACATAAATGCAAAATTGTATTATTCTTATTTCAAATTAGTCCCATGAAAAGCAATGCGGTAAGTTTAATTTTAATTTTAAAGAAAAATGACTATTTTTGAAAGACTTCACAGTGACTTGAGCCACTTTTAACAAGGTATCTTCGGGTATTTTTCCTTGGACTTTAAATGAAATGTCCGTTTTACTAAATAAACGATATTTAGTAAAATTTCAGAAAATTATGAAAAAGATTGTTTTGCATTTATGATTCAATTTAACAATGATTCATGGGACCACTTACCACTGATATTTTATTACGAAATAACAGAATGAGTTACATTATATATTACTTTTGCTTAAAGGTAAAAGCACATAAAGTGGTGATAAGGGTGATGAACAATTTTACGGTGGTATTAACCCTAAAACAGATTGTCAAAGATTCCATTTTACTAGACATATTTTGAAGGTTTTATTTTATAGCTTCTACATCCGATTTTATCTTATGACAGTTTTAAACATTCAAAATGCTACTTTAAAGGATCAAAATCCTTAGTTTTATAACTCAAACAGGTGTTTGATTTTACGGGATTCAAATAGAAAAATAAAAGGATCAATTTCGCCAACGGAAAACCTAATACTTGAGCTACAATTAAATGCATTCATTAAGCCTTTTATACACGATTTACACTTCAGTCATAAAAATATAATAGTCGATGCGATATATACATCCTTATCGAATATACATTTTATATCCAAACATATTGAAACTTACTACTGTAAAATATAAAAATCGTACCAATCAGAAAATAAAATTTTATTGTACATAATCAATATGATACTAGATAAAAATACTTCATAGGCTGTTGAATTCATAATAAAGTATAATTAAATTGATTTAATTTCATATAATTACTTGCTATTATTGCTTAAATAAATTGTTGGATATCAGACTTCACAATATAAGCAACCATATAAATATCTATTTCGTATTTGATTTAATAAAATATTGCATCAGAGAATCCGTATCGAAGGACCAAAATTAATTGTGGTCCTTCAGCCCGGATTTTCCCATTAGATGATAAATCTTAGAATATTTAATTTCAATAAATCTTAACCATGATTAAATAAATATTGTAAAATAATAAATACGCTGCTTTACGCTCAAATAAATACGTATTTAGCATTCTATAGCAAAACACAACTATAGCTGTCCTCTACACGGCATGTATGAGCAAGATAGCAATAGTCCATGTCAATTGGCACCAATATGACGGAAACTAACTCAGAATGGCTTAACCACAGTTTATACACATATGAGTATTATCCGGAGCGTGTTCGAGCCCTAATATGTACACTTACATTTGTTATTTACACTGGTTGTGATTCCGAGGTCTGGAACAACATAAATATTATTCAATTAATTTATAACATTAATTTAATATATTTTTTTTAGTTTCAATATAATTTTCGTGGATAATATCTATAATCTAAGCGAAAATAACAATACAAAATATTCGTTTCTCATTTTTTCTATTCTCTTGAAGTATAAAATGTATGATTAAAGTACACAGGAAATTAAAAACAATCATACACATAATAAAAAAATAAATATACCTATCAGCTCGGTCATGGTGATGGTGTCCCAAAGTGACAAGGGCTGAGGCCACTGCGAGTCCGCCCAGGGGCGGAGCCCTACCCGTGCCTCCTGTAGGTAGCCTTACGAGAAGAGATAGCACTGCCGCTCTGCCCCACTTGCAGGGCTCTAACGCTACTGGGGCGGGGACACCTGCACCTGAAATATTTTCAGACTTTATATCATTAAGTTTTATAATGCTGATCTTACTTGTTGGGGGTGACACTCAAGTAAATAAGAGTTCGATCAAAATTGGTGATTTATTATTTCTATATTGTTATTATGTATTACCAATTACATACAATAATAAAATTATTAACAAATTTTTATATAGAAATATCATATCATTTGCCAAATAAATTTTTATATAGAAATATATAATTTGCCAAAGAAATGTTGATAGTGGTGAGAGCTGCCAACTAATCGCCAATCGCGTCGGTTTCGAGAGCGTAGAAGCGTAGGGTGGTAAGAAATTCCCAGGATGTGTGTGACATGACACTACAAATTAACTTTAACCGATAATTATGCCGTTTTTTGCTAGATATCTGCTTCAAATATCCACGTTGAGGATATTACATACCTGATCAGGATACATTTAAACTAAATATAGCGTCTTACATCAAATATATACAGATAAATATTAATTGATAAATGGTTTGTACAAAAAGATACAGGTTGTGTTCATGTGAATACGTATCATAATGGTTTTAAAATGTACAGGTAATATATTTGACGAATCTCACCTGCCCCGCCCCTCTCAAGCTCAACACAAACTTGACTAAAAGGCCGCGAAGCCATTTGTTCCATTTCTACAAATAAACGCTGCCTTCTTCTGTATAAGTCGTATTTCTGTAAAGACATAAAATTTTAAATTTAAATTAGTTGATAATTCCACTTTAACAATAATATATAAAAATTGTTTCAACCGACTTAAGGCCCATTTAGATGGAGAGAGTTTCTCGTCTCCAAGGTACGATTATCGAAATAATATAAAAGTTTTTTCGTCTAAACATTCACACCTCTTACTCTGTCTTCACTTTTCGACAATCGCTTCGCAATGGAAAATTTATTGTGTCCGTGTAAACAGAATTTCAAAAGCAATAATCGTATTTCGAGGTTTTGTGCAGTGCGTGAGGGTGTTTTAATTATTATTAATATAGCTAATTAAACGGAAACGAAAAAAAAGATTTTGGGTACAAAAATGGGTTTTATAATTTTCTTTTTAATGTTCCACAACCACTCGTAACCTCTATAATGTTCTATTAACTTAATTTTATCGGCAGCCCCAAAATTAAAAGGATTTTTGTGTCATTCTTGAGAATAATACCCTAGCAATCACTAAACTCGAATGAAACGTCTCGCACTCAAAAGGATTCAAACCGATTTGTACGATACTCGTATGAACATAAAAAAGGGTGCGTGTAATTATGTACGCGCGTAAGAAGTTACACTTCTTTGGCATTATTAAAAATAGTTTTTGATTGCAAGCAAATAATTAATTACAATTAAATAATCAAAGACTGGAAAAGGAGTCATTATAGTCAATAAAGTTCAGTTTACATTTGAAAAATTAAATAAATAAATATTTATTATTATTCTCTTACATTAAGTGTAACATAAATTCTATTATTATTCGAATGTTGTTTTTAAATTATGTCCAATGCCGTAGCATCTTCCGTGGGCAACTTCATTCTGCTAATTTTGTGTCACGGTGCGCGCGCATCGTAAAATTTCACTCTCATCAAATTTTCATAACGCGCCTAAAGAAGTATAACTTCAAATAGTCATACGAGATCGTGTTTATACTAGTCGAGATTCTCATAGGTAAGAATCTTCTTACTAAAATGTCCTTAAGAAAGACGCAGGAAATTATCGCCTAGAGATAAATCACTGACGAATCTCGTATGAAATAATCGTAGGTGAGAATAGGTTAAATCTTGCCTGTATGTAAACATTTTGATACGATAATGCTATGGCGATTATTGCTTGTGATAGTCGCGTACGATTTCTCGCACCAAAACGTGCGAGAAATCGTAAACGTACTCTCTCCATCTAAATGGGCCTTTATAATAAACATATTCGCTTGATTGTCGAATTTGTTCAAACTAGTTCCGACTTCGTTTCGTGGCAAACTATTTTTTTATATGGCACAGAAACTGATCAATATTTCCTATAAAAAATTCCATTGCAAGCAACTCTATTTTCATCGATTGAAAGAAAACTCCTAATAATTAAATTACAAAAGACGTCAGCGGCATTCTAAATCAAAATAATACAAAAAAAACACGTCTTATCTAAACCGCATACCTGCTTAATCTTCCACAGAGCGGCAGCAACTAGCAACAGCAGTAGGAAGCACGACGAAAACGTGATGAAAAACTGCTGCAGGTTTAATTTTGGATACTGCGAGAACGAGATCTGTATCCATAGCGGAGGTCGGAAGTCGTATACGTAGACGAAGAATGTTGTTAACGTAACGTTATCCTCGACACCGAATGCGTGTTCCGATTTCGCGAACCTGTATAGGAAGGGCCTTTACTTTGATTATTTTTAGAACTATTTGTATTTTTTTTCTCACACTTGACAAATTAATGAGCAGTGTCGGCCTAGGCTTCAGAGTGCGACTCTCATCCCCGTTTAATACGCACATGAGCGTATTAAACATTTTTACTAAGGCAGTTTTTGCCGCGCACCACCACTATGTGGAACAAGCTGCCCACTAAAGTATTTCCGAACCAATTCGACTTAGGGTCCTTCAAGAAAAGAGCGTACCAATTCTTGAAAGGCCGGCAACGCACTTGCGAGCCTTCTGGCATTGTGAGTATCCATGGGCGGCGGTATTACCATCAGGTGAGCCTCCTGCCCGTTTGCCTCCCATTACATTAAAAAAAAACACATTCGCTCGAACGGTGAAGGAAAACATCGTGAGGAAACCGCCTTGCTTTAGACCCAAAAAGTCGTCGGCGTGTGTCAGGCACAAGAGGCCGATGACCTACTTGCCTATAACATTGACAAATGATAATGTAACAGATACAGAAATCTGAGGCTCAGACCTAAAAAGGTAGCGCCACTGATTTATTTATTCCAAATGATTAATCAGACATGAGATAAATTGTTCCGTAATTTAGTTCTATTAATATGAATAACATTTTGCTAAGCCAGTTATTTAGTTGATTACTACACTATCTAACGATTCTGTATGTGCAAAATATCATTATCATGAGCAACTGGTACGATAGGTATAATTATATAATTACTGTACGGGATTGTAATTCATGTAAAGTCACACTCTTTTGTGAACTTTATTGTAAGAAAACAAGAGGAACTGTGTTAATTCGCCTTTAGTTTGTTAATAAACAATTTTAATCAAGTTTTAATCAAGTCGCTGGATCTTAGTATACATTAGCATCCGTATTAAAATGCAATTAGCGTGTTTCTTAATATGGCCACGATGTGTTTCCGTATAAAGAAACGTTATCAAGCAGCAAATATAGTAGTAGTATTTTATACCAAATTTTAAGGCCATAGAAGAAAAAAGAATGATGCAATCAGTGAAAATGGCAAAGACTAAACTCTAGTAAAACACAAAAACTACCAAGCAAAAAATTCAACTGTACTGTCCAAGTTTAAATTATATATAAATTGGTTAGTATGAAAACCTGGTTTTTAATAAATCTATTGCGCATATGGAATATATAATATACGTCACATTCTTGGGTCAAATATTGATTCGTGTTACTTGAAAGGACCCAAAAAATACACACACACACAAAAATGCTTGCCTCATGCCCCACCTACTTAGAATTTTGTAATACTCACTTATATCTAAAATTGGTGCAATTAACATCGCTGAAGAGCGTTCTCTCTGCCGGATCCGTACGTGTACGCACGGTGAGGTTCATACGTGCGTGGGCCGAGCACGTTATACTGAAGTCCGCGTCTACATCAGGTTTGACGGGCGCATTCCGAAAGTTGATCGCGGATAGGTGACGGTCCTCTTTCTTCGATAAGTTGAAGGTGAACTGGTAGTCGACGGCTAGGTCGTCTGAAATTATTAAATTTAACACTTTTTTATCACTCAACGGCAAACTACGTTTTTGTGATATAATAAATATTAAATGATATAACAGATGTTTTATAATCTGTGCAAATTAGATAATTACTATTATTCTGAATTGATTTATTATTCTTATTAAATGTTCATATTTATAGATACTTTCCAATCTTGAACCGAAGAATTTTATTATGATGAAGTAATCATAAGTTACACGCAAATGATTTGAGAACTGGCAGTTAATGTAAAATTAAAAGCATTTAATGTGTATTTCTTTTTTGACGTTCATAAGTGTACATTGTGTTACCTATATGAATAAATGATTTTGATTTGATTTTAATAAGTGATTTTAAAAACATGCTTAAATTAGGCAAAAGATCGTGAATATTAACTCACAATAACACCCCTTGTTATATAAATCGGCGTGATAATGGTTAGTATTATCACACTTATCGCAACGATCTCCGGCCAATCCCTTGGTACTGCAATAGCATCGACCAGTGTCCGCTGCGCACGAGATGGCTTGCGCGTTACATTCACAGGCTGAAATATAAAGATATTTAGAAATTCCTTTGAAGTCAGGGTCAGTCATACAATCAATGTTAGAACATTACTCAAAACCATATTTATCTATTCATGATTTACTTCTTTAAATATAATTATAAAAGAACTGTAAATAGCGAAACAGAATTACCGACTTTTTAATCAAAACCTTTAAATAAACATTTTTTACAAAACATTGCTAAACAGAAAATCCACCGACGGTAATCCATCATTCCGGTGGATGGCGGCATAAAAAGGTTGCATTGTTGCATTTTCGTTGCATGATGATTTTATAATACATACTAGTGGACCCCACAGACGTTGTCCTGCATGATATTTAAAGCGATTAGGATATTAAGCAAAGTATGAAAGTACCGACTGCAGTGCCATCTGCCGGGCTGATTTGTGAATCTAAACCATTCCCAGATCCCCTTGAACACACACAAAAAATTTCATCAAAATCGGTCCAGTCGTTTGAGAGGAGTTCAGTCACATACACACGCACAGAAGAAATATATATATTAAGATTAGATAATAACAATTAATATGTCACCTTTTAACATATCGTCTAGCGTTACTTAAGACTAATAGATAATTTAAAACTAAGCTAATGTAATCAAAATAATATTTAACATAAGAAAGTGTCCAATAACAAACACTACTTATAGTACGGGAGGTAGCATGGTTTGAAAAGAAAGAATTTTAGGTCAGCTGATTTTGTGATATGTCAAGACTTAACAATCGAATTAATGTCTGGCAAATTCATTTTTAGTTTTTCTTATATTTAAATAACATAATATTAAAATTACAGACATTCTAAAATACTTTGAAATTTTTATAAAAAAAAAACTTAAAATCGCGTCTGGCACATAGTTAGCAATGTGAAAAATGTCTGGCAATAAAAAAAAGTATGTCAGGTAGACTTATTTAAAAACGAAAAATTAAAAATTACGCTTCTTAAAATGCTTTTAAAATCCAGGATTATTACCTGGACAGATAGGATGCGCACTAATGAACGCAACCGCTACTGCCAGCCAGATTGCCCAGACTCTAACCGAAAGTGCAAGAAGGAAGACATATCACAAAATCAGCTGACCTAAAATTCTTTCTCGAAAACGTTGCTACCTCCCGTACTATTACAGTCTCTATCAAAGGGAAGAAACTCTAACTCTTAGTGTACAATTTTTTTCCACTTTTATAACGTGCACTGACACTAATTCTATAATTCAAATGGTTTTGTCCTTTTAATCTCCTCACTAGGTACTAAAGATGATCAAAAATTACTAACTAAACAAGGAAAATTGTCATTTTCTTGTACAGATTTTAAGTATAGGATGAATATAATATGTTAATACTTTATCATAAGCTAAAAAGATTATATTGTTTTAAGTACAATTATTACTAAGTTTTAATTATACAACAGATAATATTCTATTACGAGTAATTTTTTAAATAATTCTTATACTTACGTTGACACACTCCCCCGTTAAGTGGCGATCCCCAATGCGCAGGCGCACAGACATCGCAATGGTCTCCCACAGCTCGCGCGGCACACGGCTGAATACAACGATTCTCACTGTCACATATCGCATGGCCATTACACTGGCATGCGGGGCAGTGAGTGAAGTGCCATCTGTCAAAAATAATAATACCATAACTAGAAGATGGGTTAGTTATGAAATAATATTATTTTAGCACCTCTTAAAGTTCCTCTCAGTTTTCGCTCCATTTCCCATGGAACACCGCTTTAAAGCGACTTAAAAAGTTCCAAGGAGGAAGTTTATAAACAAGTATATTTCAAACAAAGCGTTTATTGGTTTACCAAGAAGTCATCCTATTATATCTAATATATAAAATTCTCGTGTCGCGGTGTTTGTAGTTAAACTCCTCCGAAACGGCTTGACCGATTCTCATGAATTTTTGTGTGCATATTGGGTATGTCTGAGAATCGGACAACATCTATTTTTCATCCCCCTAAATTTTAAGGGTAGTCCACCCCTAAATTATTATTTTTTAATTATTATATTAAAAAAAAAATTTATGATACAGCATTAAAACATACATACAACCCCTAATTTTCACCCCTCTACGATCAACCCTTATTATTTATTATAAATGATATACATGGCAAAACGAACTTTGCCAGGTCAGCTAGTAATATATATTAATATAGTTAATTTTGTAGTGTAGTGTAATTGGATGACGGTCCAAAAATCAATCTATATAATAACTGTTAGCTTTCCATACAATTTGTATAAACACGATGCATGTTTAAGGTTTCCTTTGAAGTATGGTTGGACAAGGAAGAATTTTGTACATTGAACTCTTTTACAATCGACAGTTGTATAAAGATTTTGAGTTAATGTTATTCGTTAAAAACAGATTTTGGGAGAATGATTTAATATTAGGTACATATGAAATTGGCGTTTTATATATTTAATTAATAAAAGTATGTACATAAGAGTAAATAACTGTAAAATTTAATTTGGAATTGCTAACCAAAGAGGAGATATTTGAGGTCAATGTGACCAGTAAGACGACAAACCACCTTAATTTAACAGGTAAAGGGTTTGATTTTCTTTGGACCGCGGTCATTACGAACGTAACGTACACACTTCCACGGTAGTGTGACATATATAGGTGATAATAGGTCAGCATACGAAACTCTTTCTGCTTCGACACCGCACTTTAGTTTAATATCTGCGGAGCCCTATAATAATAAAACAATGGTTGACGTTGGCAGACTAGTTTAATTCAATCATACATAGACCCTTTTTCTGATAAAAGCCAAGAGGCTGATTGCAGATAGATGAAGAGTTAAAAAAAAAAAAAAAAACATAGACCCAAGCAGTCCTTTCTTTACATACAACTAGATGTCGCTAGTAGAACAGCATCATTATTTTGATACATATTTAACAGTTTCCATACAAAAAATATCGTTACTTTTCTATTACGATAGCTATTCGATTGTATGTATTGTTCGTTATCAAGTGATTTCTTAACGTAACTTGAGTTTAAGAGAAAAATATACAGATGCTCAAAAAAAAATCTCACCGTCGGTGCGGACAAATATGTGGATGATGTGGACGTCTCTCTCCTCCCGGAAGACATATGCCCCTTCCCCCTCCAGCTCCATCATCACACCAGCCACACGCTGGTTCTGCTCTGCATGAAGCACAGGATACGTGAGCAGCACATCCGGTTACGTGATTGGAAGTACATCCGTTGGTCGACCAGGCACGGCATCCACCAAGTGGAAATGAGGCACCATAAGCATTCTGTTCATCAACAGAAGAATAGAAATTATTTTGTATTTTTTGTGAATATATTATTTTAATAAAAGAGTATTTTTATAGTATCATTAATGTACCTAACAACCTCCATTTAAAAACTCAAAAATGTTATGCTATATTGGCGAAAAGTACGAAACTCTTTTTTACTTATTTATTGAAAAAAGTTAAGTCACTGGGCTTACATCTAGAATTCTTGTAATTAAAACTATTGTATACCCTTTCATAGGAAAATACTAATAATTAATAACTATTGCTAACAGACTAGAAAAATGTGATCTAAAATGCGAGAGATAAATGGTAAATTATTGCAAAATATTGGAAAAAATAGATCTGCGAATCTATGAGTGGAAGGTAGGTGGGGGGGAAACTTTATTATCACTTTTCACGATGAACCGCTAACTTACAAAACGGTGTTAAAACTCAAAAAATCAATTAATATAGTCTTTGATTTTCCCTTCGTAAATTTGTAACTAGGAGAAAGTATATTTACAAATTCCGTTACTTAAAATCCGGTACATATTTTACCTTACCTTATCAACACACCGTCCCGTAGAAGCACACCAAATACACTCCTCGGCCGTGCAATTAGCACACGTTGTTAACGTCGCACACGCTGCGTTACAACCACTAGCTGCGGCCACGCTTCTGAAATTACATAAATTTATCACTCTTTGATTGAAATATTTATTTATAATTTATTACCTTATTCAAAAACATACACATAACAAAAATAAAAAAAGCAAGTTCAGTTTACATTTGAAAAATTAAATAAATAAATATTTATTATTATTCTCTTACATTAAGTGTCATATAAATTCTATTATTATTCGAATGTTGTTTTTAAATTATGTCCAATGCCGTAGCATTTTCCGTGGGCAACTTCATTCTGTTAATTTTGTGTCACGGTGCGCGCGCATCGTAAAATTTCACTCTCATCAATTTTTCATAAGGCGCCTAAAGAAGTATAACTTCAAAAACTCAAAATAACACGTTACTATAACTAAAATAAAATAAACTAAAATCTAAAGAAAAAATAACAACAGAGATACCGGGTCTATGAAGGAAAACGAGAACGTCCCGAACTAAGGGGAGTCGGGTCGAAGTCTCAAGAGCTGTCAAAATATTTTCTGTATAAAGTTTGTCATATTTGACAGCACTCCAGACGAGATTGTGAGTTGAGATACGAATTGGAACTCCAAGTCGAAATCCCGCTCACTATGTATCGTATGGAAAAAGACAATTCAAATATGGTAATTGTGATTCTGAACAAGAAAAATATTATATACATTTTTAGAATGTTTTAAGTATAACAAAAACATTATATATATGTTGCAGGCAATTAGCTTATGATTTTCAATTAACAGCCTAGCCTTTTAACTAAACAGCGCCGTACGACAGAGTGACTATGTGACAGAAATAAAATATATGAAACATCGGAAATAAAAAAATATTTTTTTTTTAAATTACTTGAGTCAGTCACAGCTAAATTCACATTATTATTGTCACTACACTCTTTCATTGTACCTACTTGTTGTCTTTCATTAAACTTAGGAAGATACCACCAAAGTTGTGGTTTGCCGACGCCATATTTTTGTTTGAAATTTCATTTCCAGTTTGAGTGGCAGAAAGTGGAACTAAATTTAAATAAACAGTCAACAGGCTAGGCATGTAATAAAATGTCATCGATCCAAGTCAGTTGCCTAGCTGTTTGATCAACTGGCTAAATATTTTTTGAGGCCGCTAATTAAACTGCGCTGTTTTGTTAAGAGGCCAGGCTGTTAATTGAACGGCTTATTAAGCTAGTAGTTAAAAAATCATTTAGAGAAGCAAATGTATTAAAAATGGGCGTTGGCACTTAATATAAAAGAAATACTTCATACCTTATATCCGTAGTAGTATTAGCTGGACGACATTTAACTGAATCATAGTCCCAATAACAAGCTCGTTGGCTCAACTCCTCTGAACCCTGAAAATTCAGATGTGTTACTGTAATTCCCTTTTAACACAGTAAAACTATTTACTAAAGTTATTATTTTTTTTTTTTTTGCGACTGAGGCGTTAACTAGCTGCTGTGGTCTCTGGCAGATGGAACAGTCTGCTCCTCAGCATAATGCCAGGGCCAATTACAACCACAAAACACACACAAAATGTTTTTATTTATTTATTTATTATTTTTATTTTGTGTGATTGTTAGTAATAAATGTTATGTCCAAAACCCCCAGGAATAGATCGCTCGAAAGCGCAGATAGTTGCATTATTATTTAATTACTCGAATTGTATTGACGAAGTGTTAAATAAATAAAATATAAACTTATACGTTTATGGACTTTTTGATAAAATTTTCTGTGTTGTAATGTAATGTTGAAAGAAAATCATTATATGTTATGAATACCATAAAATGATATGATCGACCAGTTGTTAGTTTTCGTCAACGAATATGGTTTCAAATTTATTCAGACTTTATATTTCTTCAGATCAGTAGGGCAATGTGACGAACAAAAACATCCCTCCTCTTTTCTACCGCGTCGGTCACTTTACCGACCAAGGCGTGGTGGATCTGCCATTCTCTTTTCTTTTCAGTCAGTTTCTTGAGGCAGTTTTTGCCGCGCAGCACCACTATGTGGAACCAGCTGCCCACTGAAGTTATGTCCGAACCAATTAGACTTAGGGTCCTTCAAGAAAAGAGCGTACCAATTCATAAAAGGCCGGCAACGCACTTGCGAGCCTCACTTAACATCAGGTGAGCCTCCTGTTTGATAAAATAAATCTTCCAAACGTGGATACTGTGTTCGCGCTACTATTTTTGCTCCTATATTCTTTTACGTTGAATTATTTTTGCTTAGCTTTCTTTTCTAAACTGAATTCTCAGTTTACTATAGTGTTTCGTTACTGTAACTTTAAATATATAATATAATAAAGCACTATATAAAAATTCATTATTATATAGTGCTCGCTTCTCGCACAAAGACTTTCTCACTTGTGAAAGGATCTCTAAATTAACAAACTATTCTAAATTATAACAATTGTACACTAACATGGGGATGTCTGTGAAGATGGGCGTGACAGGCTGCGCAGGAGTGGTACCGCGCACACATCTCACCGCCAGACCCGCCTGACCCGCATTCTTCTACACTCACTGCAATCTGAAAAAAAAGGAGATATCTTTTTGAGACAAATCAATTACTTCAAGTAACAATAAATTAAACTAAGTATTTAAAAAGAAGTTATATACACATAAAAATAAAATAATAATTTATTCATTAAATTCTAAAATAGTATGGATTTGTGGTCGCAACAAATGAAGAATTTAACATTTTACCAATGATTTTGTGTCTATTTTAGAAAGAATTTCTTATTTTTTTAGAATATTCTCTAATCTCTTAATGAATTATATTTATATTATTGGATAATTACACTTATCACTGCTTCGAGCTATTAATATAAAAAAAACAGTGAAACTATGCTATGTTTGTATTCTATATAACTATATACTTTTCGACATCAGCCTCTATTTTTTCATTAAAAAATATTCCGTAAATAGAATCTTAGATCCATATAATTCGTATCTCAAGTCAGTCTTAATTTGAACGCTGTCAAAGGTGGCAAATTTCATACTAAGAGAATGGTAATTTTTTTTTAAATTAGATTTATATTTGATTGACGTTCTAGAATATGGGCCTTAATGTTACGTCTATTATTTTGCCTAAAACCTCTCACAGAAATATTGTTTTTCCGTATTTCCTGGATTAAAATACTACCTGATGCGAATGTCTGACACAGTGATGCGAGGAAGCCATGCACGCACCGCACCATGCGCAATTAGCTGCTGCGCACGACTCACAATATTCTGCGCTTGCGCATCGACGGTCATCTATGAAACAAACATTGTACATAATTTCAAACTGTTTCACTATAGATTTAAGTTATCCTTATTATATAGCGCTTAATAAGATAAGTACCGTATTTGTAACCATGGTTACGATTAAGAATGGTAACCATAGTAATGCCTTATACGCCACGTTTTATAATAAGACGGTCTTATGTTACAAATCAGGTATGCTATTGCCATGACCACAATGTTTTTTTTCATATATAAAATGTACTCCACGTTTTTTAATATAGTTATTATTATATTTGCAACTTATTACAATTTCAAACTAAAAATGTTATTGAAAACTTTTAAAATACATTAATAATTAAAACACAATTTAATAAATAATAAATACTTACCAAAAACCGGTGGTGCCACGCAAGCCTTCACGGAACTATCGAACGAGTCCTTCCAACCAATTTCTTCAATCTAAAAAAAAATATTATAACGACTAAACAATGTGTTAACATATCGGCACTTCTGGAAGCATCTCTCAAGCCAGTCTTTCGTCTGAAGAAATACTTTCACATAATTAATTTCTTCCTTAATATTGATAGTTTAATTTGTATATCACATTTTCCTTTTGTTATATTAAAGTATATTTGCCTAACAATAAACTCTCATAACCTCTCTCTTTTACACTAATAGATAACCAAATTACCGCAATACAGCTATCCTGCTTCCACACACAGGCAAGTCCATACTGCGCTGTATTCAGGCACGCGGCTTCGTCTGAGCGCGAGGAACACTTATCACCAACAGTAAATTTTAGGGCATCTGAACGAAGCCGGCCGTCAAACCTGAATATTTAATTTATTATCGAATATATACGTTATAGTGAAATAAATAAAATATAATTTTAAACGCGTCATATGTGTTTCCTATGATTTTCTTCATCTCAAAATATATCTAATAGAAAATATGTATAATATAATGCTTTCATAAAACGATTCTTAAGAATCACAAGAACGATGCTTTTTCAATGATCAAGATGATTGGAAATGTTTGAATAAATATTAAAAAAAAGTGTTCTTAATAGTGTAGCTTTATGTATTTTTTTGTTCGGTGATATAACTTATAAAATGCATTCTGAAGTTTTTGAGCACATATAGCATCAGTACTCTGCTGATGCTGGCTGTTCTAGATGTATGATATTAATCGAAATTGCATTTTGCAAAAAAACATTGGAATGTCTATTGGATATACCGGCGATGTTTGCAGTTTCAAAGAAACAAAAAATATTTTCTTTAATATTGTAGGTATGTTTAAATTTAAATAGGCCAAAACACAAAAGTTTCGTGTAGAAATTGTCAATTCAAAAGCACTTAAAAATTTATTTAAATAACATTAGCTATATCATATGAAATCTCAATTCATTCAGTCAAACTCTATGTAAATGTCTGGCGTTATATAGAAAGACTTTACGAGTTTAACATTATATCGAATAAATTTACATAAATAATTAAAAAATATCTATATATAATATATATATATGTTATAAGTATAAATAAAAATTAATTGCAAAAGCTAAATATGTTGCTAAGCTTAATAGTCGAAGATGGCTTGACGAATTCAAACATATTTTTCTTATTGGCATTGGCAAGCATGGCTTATTCCGGAAAAGCGAACAGTCTATGGGGTAGCATAGACAAATATTCTATATGTTAGTATGTAAATAAAATGATTACCCAGCGTATATGATAGCGGTTCGACGATCCTGTAAGGGTAAGACTGACGCTGCACTACCTATTCTAGCAGATAAAGGGCCGATGGGTGCAGGCAGCCATTGCTGACATCTGTAAGGAATAGAAAAAATATCCAATTATAGATTATGTCATTGATTTGTCTTTGGCTTACGCGTTACATACTTATTTATTAAAAACAATAAGTGAAAATTAGTGTCCGAAAAAAAAACTTAACATAAAGGTCTCGTTACGAGGCCATAAAATCATCAAAAAAACCCATTAAAATTATATGGATAAGCGAATGTATTTACTTTTACTTAATAGTATGTTTGACCCACGTGATTCGAAAACATGAATTTAAAAAGCTTTACAGTGAAATAACTTGTCATCATTAAATTATCACAAAATCAATTAATATGTTTTTATACGTCAGTCACGTGACACAAAACAGATCGACAGGAGATTAGATTAATTTCGTCGGATACTGTTCTTGATCGAAATAAAATATATTAGAAATTATGAATTTTTTAAGTTAAAATAAAAAATAACAATTTGTGTAGGTCCTATAGTCACTAATACATAATTATTATTTCTTTCAGCAATCGTGGTTAGTGAAACGTCAATTTTCCATAATGAAATTTGTCACTACACGTATTATATTTGAATCATTATGTTGGTTATTCCGTTTAGTTCCAAATATGGAACACGGAGTAATGCACAAGTTCTTGTTACAAAAATCTATAACGTATACCTTGTAGACACACACAGAGCCATTATAATTAACTATCTCTATTATTTAAATGAAGTTGTACTACCTAAATTATAACTAAATAAAATTCTGTCTTACCTAACATCATATAAAAGAGCAGCCCCAGAGAAGCATTTAGCAGTCGCAGGATTCGATACAGTTGCGACTGCGCTGTCGTTGTGTGAATTACCACCGTACACTAACATTACACCTGAAAGCAATAGATAGAGAGATCATACATATACATATTTAAATAGATAAATAATTCTAAAATCAAGTACTTAGTACCTTGTATGAAGTTAGTTATAATAGCTTAAAATAAAATAAATCAGTGGTGCTAACTTTTTAGGTCGGGGCCTCAGATTCATGATCATTTGTCAATCTAATAGGCAAGTAGGTGATCGGCCTCCAGTGCCTGACCCACGCCTTAGACTTTTTGGCTCTAAGGCAAGCCGGTTTCCTCACGATGTTTTCCTTCACCGTTCGAGCGAATGTTAAATGAACATAGAAAGAATTTCCATTGGTGCACAGCTGGGGATCGAACCCACGACCTCAGAGATGAGATTCGCACGCTGAATCCACTGGGCCAACATTGCTCTTCAGTTATAATAGTTAATTATGGTTAAATAACTTTTTGATTATCGAATACATATTAACCCATGACACCCATAAACACAATTAAAAGTTATCATAATAAAAAAGGGCAGTCTACAAAACGTAAGACTAAAATAACTTTTTACTATAAATGGCCAAAACACAAATTGGTAAAAGAGTGTTCACTCTAGGACTAAGAATTTTTGCTTCTCATTTTAATTTTTTTTTATTTATTTATTTTAATTTTAAAAACTACTAATATTATTACAGTAACCAAAAATTTACTTTTATTAGAAGATTAGATTATGCATTTTACAGATAATTTATTTTACTAAAGTAAGAGTAGAAAATATAAGATGCCATCAAAAATAGTCAGGTTAGGATTATCTGACGCTGAACTAGGTGTGAACCTGTATTTCTGCATACAGCGCCTAACCCTTAAATATAGCAGACAAAAGAAAGTCTAGCATCGAGTACAATAGCTGTTGAAAAAAATAAGTATTAATTAAAATTTACAATCTATGTATTTAATTAGTTATACTATGGTGTGGAGTGTTTAAGTGTTCTCCCTGTGAGTAAGGTGAGTGTGAGTATGTGTGGAAGAGTGTGTTCAATACTATTTTACAGGCCATAAATAATTTTTTTTTTTATAAAGGCCATTTTTTTTATATTAATTATGTCTAACAGCTCGACTACTCGACATGATTAATATAGACATTACTACGAGTAGTAATTCATTGTATTCCATCATTATATATTTTTGCCTATGTCAAATGAATCGGCCAATTAGCCAATTTTAATAATTTGTTTCATATACTGCACAATTTAATGTATATATATGATAATTTAAATAGAAATTAACCTGGTGCCACAAATACCGCTGAATGTAAATATCGGGGCGTGGGAGCGGAAGGCAGTGGCCTCCAAATGCGCGTCTCAATTTCGTATTCGTACAGCGCCGCTGACGGAGCCTGAAATAACATAAACGAATTTAAATAAGTAAAATTGTTTACGCGTATTCGTAACGTATACCACGTACACTAAAATAACGTATACGTTAAAGGTAAAATAAAAAGTTTTATAACTATATCGTAACGAGTTATTGTTAAGTTTTATCTAATTACTAACTATGTACAGTAGAATTCATATACAACGACTTCGCTTGTAACGGTTTTAACGACGATAATGTTTTCTCAAGTTAGGTTTCATAGTTAGGTACTGAGAAAATATAACCGTTTAGTGCGACTCCAGTTTTAGCGATCAACTGCTTATAGCGACCATTAATTATGATAATACGTCCGGTTAAAACGACGCGCTATATTTTGTTTACGCAACCTACGCACCAATACCACCAACTCTCTCTCTGAAGGCTGCGGAAACGCTCAATGTGTTTGTTCAGACGTACTTCGATTCACAATATCACGATCGAATTCACAATACTGTACGAAGTTCTTTGTACCGAACAAAACTTGTCAAAAACAAACTCAAATATCAGACTTTCTACGTTAGTTTGTAACAGAGCTTATCGTGTAGTGCGTGTGTATGTAATTTATCTCTTTGTAGTACATTATGTTTCTATGTTAATTTGGAATATGGAAGAACCATTAAAATAACGTATATGTGATTATATATCCTACAAAATGATTTATTTACCTAAATAGGAAAATCAAACTTTCGCAATTATAATACATACATATTTATTCGTAAGTATATATGTACTTAAGAAATAATCCTGCCGTTTTGTACGTCATCCGGTTAGTACGACATAGTATCGCCGGTCCCTTGAATGTCGTTATATCCGGATTCTACTGTATATCATAATATTCGATATATATTGAAACCCTATTCACGCCATATGCAAAGTCGTAAAATCCATTACTTCCCAATGGGGCAAGGGACAAATACATATCTGTTTTATTTATTATCTTTATTTAAATACGAAAATGATACTAATTATAGCAATGTTTATTTAATAATTGTTTCACCAAAAATCGAATCCAGAGACGACATTTTGAGCCCGTGAGCGACGGGTATAATGAGATATATAGATGTGTATTAAAAACTAACCTGAGTAGCCTCCGACTCCGATACTAATCCCGCGTGCACGTACACTCTACGTGATAAATCGTCGTACGCGGCCGTGTGACCGAAGCCCGCACGAGCTGGCCACCCACGGGTGACTGCGACTGACCATATACCTTCGTCTATGTAATACTCCTGTAAAACCAAAACATTTAACATAAAAACAAACCCTAACAAAAGAGGAAGAGGCAGAGATGTTCTAATGGAAAGCCGAAAATATCGCCTAGATCTGACAACCGGGTTCGAAGACCTGGCAATGCGACAAAAACTGGTAAACTGTATACATTTGAGAGAAATTTTAAATTATAAAAGATATCTCAAAACCTAAATAATTAAACAGCGAAAAAAAAATCGAATTAATATAATAAATTAAATTGTTATTATTTTGTAGAAAAAAAACACTAGCAGCATAAGCTGATGCGCGCGTACTTGAAATGAAAAATCTTTTTTCCAACACTATGAATGGTCTGTCTCACCTGTACCAAATGCATGTAACCGTAGTGCGGGGAATGCCCGAAGAATACCAACATCACTGGTTTCTTGGTTTTACCCAAATGTACTAAAACCGCCGTGTGACCCGATAAATGGAGACCACCTGAAAGCATGTTTAGTTATACATATATACGTTTTCAAATTAATAAAAAAAATTGCTTTGTGAAAATAATGGTCGTCAGTATTCACAAATAATTGTAACTGTATAACCCCACCCCAGTGACGTGAATACAAAGGATACTAATCATATTTTAGTTCGTATCTCAAGTGACAATCTCGTCTTAAACGCTGTCAAATATGTCAAACTCTATATATAGAAAAAATTGGTTGACAGCTCTTAAAACTAGAAGTTTAATTGACTTTCTAGTCTAGCCTAAATCACTGAGCGCAGATTGTAAATATTATAGGAATTTTTGAAACGTATTTTAAGTTTATTTGACAAGAAGCAAAGTCAAATGTGTTTATTATAGAATATAAGATACAGGTATCACTTATTCCACGTCATTGAATTTGAATCGGTAGACTTCCCTACTCGGCGGCGGCCGGCGTAAAAAACTCTTGGTACTCTTTTAAAATATCAAATCATCATACAAAATGACTATGGCAAACATAGATAGAAGAAACCAGAAAGGAGACACCAGACTGAGGTTAACTGAGACACCATAAGAAAAAATACTTAATAGTTTTTGGTCCTTCGAAACGTACCACAATGTCCTAGCGGCGGTCTGTAATGCGGAGAGCAAGCTGTGGGTGTGACATTCCGCCATTGAACGGATTCCGCGTCTATCATTCCCCGCCAGACTTCGTTGGTCACTTCGCCACCACGGCCTTCTACGCCTGCTAGACCACCACTGAAAAAATAAATTATTAAACCAGAATATGGAATAAAGATCGTTCATTCTAAACTTCCTTAATGTTAGAAAATGTATCGCTAATATACGAACGGAGCTTATAACGGATATCCGAAATATAATTAACATTCATTTATTTATTAAAATTAGCTAATTAATCAAAATTATTACAGTTGTATAAGAAGCTTTCGTTAGAAATAAATTTTTGTAACACAATTATAAATCTAAACCGCTAAGTAATAAGATCTAATTGTAGTCAAAACTAAAATAAAGTGGTCAAACTAATGTATCTTACCCCCTATCAGGCTCGTCTGACGCCACAACACCTCCATAGACAATAATCTCGTTGCCATAGATTATGGAGGAGTGTGCGAATCTTGGGGCCAGTAATTCCCCGCGAGCCTCCATTGTAGTCCATCCACGTTTCGCTGTATTATATCTGAAGCCAAAAAGTATAATGATTTCAAATGTTCAAATAATCTCCTAAGATCAATCAAAAAATAATTAATGTTTCAATAAAACCAAAGTCAAGTTAAAAATGCATCCGAAATAATAATGGGTATTATTGATGATGTTAATCTAATATTATAAAAACTGTCTTTATTAATATAGTAAAAACGTCCTAAACATTGTAGACCAATACGCATAAAACCTTAACTTTATGCATACTGAATAAATTGTGGTCACTAAATGGATGAAACTTAACATACTTTTGCCATAGTGAGAACCATTTTTGCATTTCACTTAATTTATTACCCACCTGAACACAAACTCTGCCTGCGAGAAAGTCTCCCCACCGATCCTTAACAAGTCATCTCCATACACTAACAGTGAATGTCCTGCTGCTGCTGGTGGGGTATTTTCTGGCCTGTCTCCTCCTTCTCCCTCTTCCTTCCACTCCCAACCCCAAGATCCCTGAGAACTATCCTTACTGCAATCTGATCCAGTTCTTGAAGGTGTACATTCACAGCCATGTGAGGTGCATTGCCCTGAACCATATTCAGCATTGCAGTTGTCAGGACAAAGAGGATGATCACAGGCTACCCCTATCCAGTCAGGCTCGCATCTACATGTGCCTTCTTCACATTCGCCATGATCTGGAAGGTAAAAATAAAGCATAAGCATGATTTTGAGATAATTTTTTTTCATTTTAAACTAAAGCATAGTACTTTCTGTAAATATGTATCTATTTTATGTAAAACAAGAGTAAAGCTAAGTACACACGTAAATTTAAAATGTTTGTCAAACATATTTATTTTATTTTGTATATTTGTTGTTATATTATGATTGATGGAAAAATAATTACTTTGATACAAGATTCCTGGTGACACTACAAAGAACTGGTCCATATTCTAAGTTGTATCTAAAGATACAATCTCATTTTGAGATACACACAAATAAAAATGGTTTGACTTCTCTTGGAATTAGAATTAAGATACATAATTTCTCTTAAAATATTTTTTTACACTTTACAATACTTTACATTATATTAGGAAACGTTTTATCACTACATACTAGAGCAATTCGTCCTATGATCATTTGACGGACACGAATACGTTGCGTACGTAACGTTGAACCCTTCCATCGCGTATGCATCATCAGAGAAGAAATGTATAAGTGCACTGCCAGAGCGCGCTATCACTTGGCTCGTCCAACCAGACTCCCCTTCTTCAAGTACACCACTGTAATAATATGAGTTGTGATTAATAGAAATCTAAACAGTGAACGCAAAAATCGCAGTTTTAGATTTATGCTTGAAAAGTGAGATGATTTGATTTGTAAGGTATATAAAAACTCTTCAAAAAAACTATTGAAGAGTTGTCCATCTGTACTTTATCATTAAAATATAGAAATATCTAATTCCTTACCTAAACACAGCCAATAATTTCTCAGCCCTTACACTATCACCATCATAGACATACATGTGGTCCCAACCACACTCTGTTGCAAATGATTCTAACCGTATCCTTATAGGGGAAGGCGAAGGCACAACCGGAGGTGATATAAGCCATGAGCATTGTGTGCTTACACTGTAATTACCGGCACCATCTGTTATGATGCCAGATAGTTCTGTTAATCTGAAACATCAAACAGTTTATTAATTTAAAAAAATTAAAAGTTTTTATCAAAACTGTATATATATTATATGTTGTATAAATAAATATGTATAATTCTATGTCAAATATTACTATAGGAAATTATAAATAGTAAATCAGTTATGTGTTAGAGGCCACATCTTAACTAATATTCTTTTAAAGAGTTATACATTTTATAAGTTACATTATTATAATAACATTTAACTTTTTAGTTCAATAAAATTTAAGTTATATGTGAGTATTGTAATGAGATAAAATTTAAGAGTACAAGAGAATTATATAACTTGGTAAAATAAAAATTCCTTAACATATTTAGAATCACATAAATATCAAGCTTTTATAAAAACAAGTTTGATTGAACATTGTTAGAATTTCAACATACAATGTTATCAAAGGTAATGAATTTGCATATCCTGTACCCATGACCGTGTAAAAGCAATGATACCAACAATATAATTGAAATTGGAACAGATTCTGTTGATAATTAATTGTTACCATGCTCATAACTAGTATAGAAATAAAAAGTTTGAATAATCAATAATTGCTAATTGGAGTAAGATGAATGTTGTATATTTTTTAATGGTCATCATTTATATTAAGTCAAAAAAAATTAAATATCCCTCACTTAGTAACCTTGTCATAATAAATTCCCTTTATGAAGTCATACATAAGTAAGCTAAGTATGTCATGTCTATTGAAACGATACAGACATTGTATCTTTATTGTAAAGCCGATCAATGTGACCTATGATATATACATAATCTGATCTACTGCAAACATATAAATATTTTGTTTATATGTACATTATACATTTATGTACAAATTTTATAGTGATAGTAATATCTGCTAATAATAATTATATTACAACTTAACTTTATCGAATATTAAAAAAAATACATTAAAATTATGAATTTAAACTAGCTTACTTTTGTTTACGCACAAGTTGAAAATACAATATATTTATACACATTATAAGTCTATGAACAAATTTTATAGCTGTATTAATTTCACTATGAAACACTGCATATAATATTTATTTTTCCTTTTTGGGTTTAAATTATATTTAATTTAAAACCCAGTATATTATAGTATAGTATACAGTTATAAACATTATCAAGTTAAAGACAGGGTTTACAAAAAGTTTAGAAGTTCAATTCCTATATTTAAATTTAATCAAAATTTTCAGGATCCATAAAGTTAAATGTGTATATAACTTATCATATTTTACAACAAGAAACATTATAGACATTTTGTTGAGCAAGCATTTTAGAAATTATAAATTTAAGCCTATTTAGGAAACCTTACTTTTAATGTTTGTATAGAACAAGTGCAAAGAAGGACACTAAAAAACAGATGTTTCCCTCTGTTACTTATCTTTCAGAAGTTAATGAATAAAAAATAAAAATTGCATGCATTACAATAAACTAGACATTTGAAAATTTATTTTGGTAATATAAGTATGTAGGATAAGGGGGAAAATTAAAAGAGCATAGGCCTTATATGATTCTCCATACAGGTGGAAAGTCTGCATTAATTACTCACAACATGTATTTTAAAGTTTCGACTTATTATAAGAAGACATAAAAGCTTTTCCAATAGGAAATAGTATCAACACAAATTGATGTTATAAAACCCTTACACATTAAACACGTAACCTAGAAAGTTAAAACGACCTTCATTTATTCACTCAGAAGGAAATAACGAAGCCAAAGTATATAATTGGATGATCCTACATCGATGTTTTTGCAATTACTTAGGTGACATGCTGAATGCTGGATGTCAAATAGGGTCACTGAACTAGTTGAAAATTTCGAGTAAAAGTAGAACTTACTTTATTTTACCGCCGCAGTGCTGGCACTCGGGTCCCTGCCACCCTTCATTACACACGCAAGTATCATTTTTACACACACCTTTCACACAATTGTGATCACTACACTTAGTAAGAACACCATTACAAAACAATAACACGATCAAGACTGAACACAGAAATGGCGAGAACCAAGAACATTTTCGTCTGTATTTTGATTTGAAAAGAAATAAAAACATCTGTAATGACTCTACCATTTTGATGAATGCATTTTCAACGGGTTTTATTAACTTTTAAGGAATTGAGAAAATAGTGGTGCGTCGTGTAGAATCCGTACGGTATAGTTGTCAGGGTGACAAGACTAAAACAAAAAATTCCCAATATAAGTAAAACAACTTCCAATGTCCAAAACTGATACAAAATTTAATTTTTTTTAAATATTTTAACAAACTTTAGATTAAAATGTTACCAAAAAATAGTATTTGCGAAACCTCAAAACTTTTATACTTTTCTATAGATAATGAATTAAAACTTACTTAATATAATATCGTCAACTTGTCGTATACCAATATTTTCTTACCATTTTATTGGAACAGCAACATTTTATTAGATATTTGATATAATATGTCATTATCTCTGACAGTTGACTCTTATAAGTTGACAACAACGAAACATAGACGGATAACTACATCATATCACTTCAAATGTATATATTAAAACAAAAAAATACTAAGATTAAATTGACAGGTAAAATAGATATTTCATATTTTTAGGTTTTATAATTTAGCAAATAACCAATATAATCTGTCTTTATGACATCTAGTGATATATTTTGGAACTACTTTGCCGGATACAGTAGTACAAACTGTCATTGCACAAATGTCGGGAGTGATCATAGATGGCGTACGTTGTGTAGATTCTAAACGTTACCTTAAGTTCATGTCTTATCCAAAACCAGTGAAATAAAAAGATCGACTATGCTTTTGATGTTACTTGAATTGTCTAGGTGTTTGTACTTATATTTTAAAATTATTACTCTTGAAACTATATAAATATTAAAATAGATATAATAATTAAAAATTAACAAATTTTTTTAATTAACTTTTTATTATTTTTTTAAAAACTACATTTAGACCCAATTTTTTAATTTACATAATACGTATCTACCAAAAAGCTTGTTAGCTTGTTTTACGTTTTATATTTCTATAATCTTGAGAATAATCCGTTAATTAGTCTTACAGTAGCCGATTAAAAAAAAAATATACAGAAAAGAAAATTTAATTAGATTAAAAGCCAAGGTTGTTTTCTAACTGGCTAGATACAAAAAAAAATCTCTCCCTCATCATTTCCATTATTAGTACATCCATTAGGAGGTCGGAAATTCTAAGTCGAAGAAAACATCTCTTTGTTTTTTATTTAACGAAAAATGTTTTATAAAAGAAAATGGACGATCACAAAAATTACAGCGTGTTTTCTTTTGTTGGGAATTAGTTTTTACTTCGGTGCCTCCCTCGTCACGTCATTGTTACAAGAGTAGAAAATTGTTATTGGCACTATGAAAATTACTGTATTTAAAAGAGTTTGACATCCTAACAATTATTAATTAGATTCACTGTTGCACTTTAATGACCATTTTTTTTAAAGTGACAATTATAAAATACAATATACTATATAAAGGTTTCTATCTATATAATATCTCAGTTATAATAAACACCAATTCTTGATCCAATCGTACAACTTAATACAAAAAATAGGTTTCACAACGAACAAATACAAAACAAATAAAGCTTTTATCATGTTCAACAACCTCACAACAAATTCAATATATTGGTAGATACTCTATAGCTATAGTATGTTCTACCCTAAGCATAAAAAAAGAAAACGTCAAAAAAACCGCCAATTTCTTGTGCAAATACCGAATTGGCGGGCTGTCCCCCCACGAATGCAGCTGCGTATCCAAGGTCAGTGTTGAGTGCATTGCCCAAAGTGCACGAAACTAACGCACACAAACCTACGTGTGCGCACACGCGGGCCAGAATTACTTGCGCGTGTGTGCTACCATAAAAAGTAACCGAATTGCGCGGCAAAGATTATTCAATCAGATACCTATATTATTCTGAGATTTCTTGCTGTTAACTGATAAACTAAATCTGAACATCACGAGTGTAAAATAAAATCATATTCCTATACGAGACATTATATCTAGATACATAAAATCCCTTTATGTAGGAACTTCTTATGTGCCATGAATTAATCTGTGATTTCAATTATATATGAATTTCCTTCAGAATTAAAAACGAATAATATTCAACCTATGTAATATTTGTTCCCCTAATGATACTTTCATCGATTGTCCCCTCTGTCCCTACATAATCTCTGCCCTTGAAAATAAAACAATAAATGCAGTCCCGAATTGCACACATACATACCACAAGTAAGTCAAGAGTAAGGTCATGGTTACGCTTTTGACATTCGGCCGTTTTCGGTTTCGTTCGCCTGCGTCTGGGCATGTTTTCTTTTTGTAGTGTTTTTATTATGTACTTTAGGGGCAGAGTTAGAAGTGACACACCTACATTATTTCTAATTGGTTAGATTTATATATATCGCATTATAGAAATAAATTCGTAGAAATAAATTGTTTTCGTTTTATTTGATTGCAATTTGTATTGGACATAATTTTTATAACAAATATTTTTTATGTTTGTTTTAACCATAGAGAAAGGATACCCACTTTGACCTTTGATTTCTACACTTGTTACACAAGATTTGAAGTATTTTTTTTTCGGTTGGCTGATGATTTATAGGTACCTACTGCTGTGTCTTATTTGTTTTGTATTCTCTTCTGTTCTAGTCTTATATTAAAAGTGATTTAATATAAGACTAGATTTGTTTGGTTATATTTCTTATTACCAAACAAAAATGTTCTTGACTAGTGCATAAGTAATGTACGTTTTTGTATCTATATTTATTATTTTTTAAACCTACCTGTTTTTTACAATATTGATGTAGTCTCGATGTTATCATAAAAAATTAACTACCCAATCTTTACAAAAACGTATATAATATGTTACATAGGTTATTATCATTTAATCATGCTACATACGTATAATTTGTATTTACAATTTATATATTTATACTTAAAAAATTTTTTTTAAAGATTTTTTAAGACAAATTTAAAAAGTTTGGTCCCTGTGGCAGTGTACCTTTAACGCTGGCAGCATTTCCTCGCTGTATTGCGATACTTATTCGTTGAGCCATTACAGCACCAGCTCTGGCGTCACCAGTAGGTACTATCTACCAGGCGCCAACTTAGTTAAGTTTTTTAGCTTTAATTAGCGCCTGTGCACTTGAACCCCACGGCTCAAGAGTCTCTACTCCAAAGGGAACGAAATCGAAGTTGGAGGAAAGACTCTTATATTTGTGCTGTTTATTATTTTCTGCCTGCTCTGTGGCCGCCCCAGCTTTTTTACTTGTCCGAAGGAGGTGAGACGGGGCAAACGTGTCCACAGAAATAGCATCCCAAAATAATATTATTATTCTTGGGATTTTAAGTTAATAATATTAGCTAGGTACTTACTTATAAGTAAAAAAAATCAAATACATCAATGGCGCTACAACCTTTTTAGGTCTGGGCCTCAGATTTCTATATCTGTTTCATGATCATTTGGTAATCTAATAGGCAAGTAGGTGATCAGCCTTCACTGCCTGACGCACGCCGTTGACTTTTTGGTAGGCAAGCCGGTTTCCTCACGATGTTTTTCTTCACCGTTTGAGCGAATGTTAAATGCGCACATAGAAAGAAAGTCCGTTGGTGCACAGCCGGTCGAACCTACGACCTCAGGGATGAGAGTCGCACGCTGAAGCCACTAGGCCAACACTGCTCTTACCTATACCTAAGTCTTGGACAGCGTGTTTTCATTCAATTAATTACTTACATTTTGTTGTTATAATATTGTTATTATGAATTATAAAAATTATTTACCCTATTAAAATTATTTAGCATATTCGTTTTGTAAATGCTGATAATTTTGTATTAAAATAATTTTATGATTAATGTACTTGGAAGAGTATAAATAAACTTTCCATCTATTTTTATGACTCGCTTCAGCCTGATTTTTATAAAAACCTATCTTACATATTCTCCTAAATACCAACTAATTTACGGTTACGATACGTTATTATCTCATCGACAAAGATTACTCAAAACGTCGTTTGATTTCATTTGTATTGGTTTGGAACACCGATAATCTTTGATTACTCCTTATACAATAAAATTAAAAAAAATCATATATTGTCGAGTTTAGTGTTTCGCTTTTTACTCTCGACAAATATATCCACAAAATTGAGGCCGGCTCAAGACGGGTTTTGGCGGCATTCGTGGATCACGTGCGCCATTTTGAATTTTAACATTTGTGTTCTTTTTTTTAAAACCTCAGCCTTGAACGCAAGTGGCACCGCCTGGAGCTACGAAAATTTAAAAACGAAATTATTCCAATACTTTGTACTTTGTGGTTATGTGTTTTGTTTTTTTGTACGCAATGACAGTTGGCCGATGTGCTGTCAAATTATCGCGTAACTTTTGTCATAACATTTCATTCAAAACTGGGTTTTGGGGTTAACAAATAATAGATCGGAAGTTTAAATGATCATTAATGAGATCTTGCGGCTTCTGTAAAAACCAATGGATATAATAATATTTATGATAATATTTTATTCAGATATAGGTAATTAAAGTACCTACCTACCTACTTATAACTTTAATTATATTTGTTTATTTCATCTCCAATAGAGTGGAGAAGTTTTTTAGTAGGTTTTTACTCTCAGTTTAGAGTGTGATTACTGACTCTGACTCTCTGAACTACGTAAATATCTACTAGATAAAAAATACCTACGGAAAGTTTTGTGACTAGTAATACATGTGGCAAACATATTTTATAACACAAGTTTTTGAGATGCATGAAATATTTTTATTCGCGTGGGAATTGTAGCAGTTTTTGTTTTGCTTGGACCCATGCCTTCCAAGTAATCAAATGCATAAAATTATTATAGTTTAAATGCCGTTTTGATAACATTATCATCAAATATACAAAAAAGTATATTTTTGATAATTTTGCTATGCCTATGTCTAATATTTGTTGTAACTATGCCCTGCATGTTTACCAGTAAATAGACCATCCAAAAATATATATTTTTTTAAATTCGAAGTAACAGTTACTGAGGTATGCTCCAATAAGTAAACAAACTTAGTTTTTTGATAGCTGTAGATACCATTTGAATTAAACAATTTTGTAAAGAAGTGACTTGATTTTTGGCATAGAACGGAGGAAAACCACAAAACAAATAAAACAAAACACATCAACAAATGAAAGAAATTTATTGTATACAGGTTTAAACATCCTTGCACATTCGTACCTGCCTAACCAGCCATTTCATTAAGATTATAACGTAAAATATAAACGTCTTAAGGTAGGTATTACATAATATTAATATGAAAAAACATTTCTCCACTTCGAAATTACAAGATACATTATACGTAAAAAAAGCATACACATGTGTGTACAATTCCACATTCAAATCAATTTTTGCGTCGCCTAGCGACGGTTTTTGGACGTCAATACAATTTAAAAAAAAAAACGTCAGTCGAATAAGCTTAGCTTTCCAAAGACCTCTAAAAATTTGACTAGAATACAATTTTATGCCAATCACATTTTTCTGCCAATTCGTAGAAATGAAAACCACTTTTTACTGAGGAAGTATAATATAAATAGCGATAAAACAATAAAAAAATTAACAAAGACGTTATGTATATTGAAAATAATATTTAATTAAAACTTGTCAATCAAACAACAATAATAATTTGATCTTAGTTTCCCAAACATTTCCAGTTTAATTGGTCCATTGCGTAACTCATTTATCGCATTAAGAGAAGTTCCTCAGCAATGTGATGTGATCCAATCGTTTAAATAAATACCTTGAAAATATGAATTTACACTATAAGTTCAATAAAGTTAACATTATATTTAATATGTCTAAAATTAAATGCTTTGTGTTGTACATAATTTTTAAACGTAGTTACACGTCCCGTTGCAAAACCCTTTCGCACGATTATTCTATGTATAAAGTATTGTAATACAATATTTTTTGTTTAAAATTAATTGTCTAGAAATACATATAAATGGAAAACAATTAGTGAAGCTTACAATTAGAAAAGAACGTAACTTACGCCATTCTGCAACCAGAGATTGCCAACATCTGCGGTTGAAAAATGACATCTATTTACAAGGTACAGTCACACAAACAAACAACATGTGTTTACGAATGCTTAAGAGCTGGCAATGTCTTTTAAGTTGAAGGACTTCGTTGCGATTTAGGACCAAGTTTGCGTCTGCAAATTGTCACATCGCGAACGAAGCTCTCTTAAAATGCATATATTAGTATAAGATTGCACACAGACACCACCTCACCTCTATCAATTAAATTTGAATAAAAAATGCATCTTCCTTTCATTGTCTTTTGTTCCTGGAGCGTCGGCCCCTAGACTAAACCTATTCCTTATTGATTTTATGAAAAAAATTAACAAAATAAACTTCTACCGCCTAACTCTTAATCAAATGTTACGTAATAACTAAAATTCTTAACTATGTGGAAAATGAACAATATACAATAAAAACGATTCACTATTAACCCAGTGACCTCTAGGATATTTGGAATGACCAATTATGATGGATTGTTGTGGGTTAGCGAAGATCACTGTTAATAACATTGTAAGGCGGCGTTTATTTGTACAATGTACAGATAGACCCGCGCTAAGCACTAGGCATTTTTCTAGTTCATATCAGTCGCAACTCTCTTTACTCGCGAAGGCGAACCTGCACAAAACAATTACATATAACATCTCAATATAATTATATAATATAAGGTTATTTAGAAATAAAGCCACTTAAAAATTAACTAACGTTACAAAATAAGATTAAACAACATAATGATTTGTTCCCGATGCACGAAAATAATTAAAAAATCTATTAACATTCTAAACGGAATGTCTGTTTTAATCTACATTCTCTTTGCAATGTGTCCCTTCCTATTTCTGTACAAACTTATACAAAATAACATTCTAGGCTAATAACAAATGTCTAGCGTCGCACATTATTGGAATTCGAAATTTAAAAATGGAATAGCATAAAAACGGCCATCTACTTCCGGTTTCGGCGATGATTTCGCGCCATTTTCGCGCAATTTTTATTCAAACATTTTCGTGAAATGCGGTCTGGTGGAGTTGTAATAAACGATAAATGCAAATGACGGTTGTTCATTTCTTACAAAAAAGGGTAGTCAGAAACAAAAGGGGTTGATAAACATGCTCTCGACTAGTAAAATTTTGATTATAAAAATTTCTTGTTATTTTCCTACAGAGCCTTGTTCGACATCTCGGCATTGGATATGTATGGCGATTCGGATATTTTGACGTTTCAAATTAAAATAATAATTTCGTCCCCTCAAAAGAAAACCTAGTCTATGTCGAAATGTCGATTACAAACTCCTTATTCTATTTTTACAATCGTGGTCAAGAAAAATGTACGACAATAATTTTTAACTTGTATATAATATATGTATAATTTAGTTACATACACAATACAAAGATTTCTTAATTTTGTTGAGGCTCACATTTACACATAACTTACATAAGTAGTCGTATGATAATTTATATCCAAATATTATTTACCTAATTTTATCTCGGGAGAGCGTATACATTTCACATTTCATACCTCCATAATATACTTTCGATTGAACACCAAAAAATGTCACAAATTTGAAGATATCAATTTTTTTGAGATTTTTGCGCTAATTTTTAAAGTTGACAAGAATATATTAATGATTATTCATATTTTTGTATAGTCGATAAAACATTTAAAACTTGGACCATGAAAAATAAGAATATATCTCCTTAAGATACGATAATAGTACATAAAATATATATATAAGTTCACTAGTATGTATTAATGTACGCGTATTGATACGACGCAAACCGCATTCGTAATACCTAAATATCACATTCAGTAATATGGAAATCCACGTGCTAGCTTAGACACAGTTAAAATTACTATTTTTTACAAAATAATAATTGCACATAAGTCCGAACTTAGCTTTCTCGAAGCTCACAAAAGTACGTCTGTCCCTCTCGTATCGATACGAGCCCGTTGGATAGAGAGAGATAGTGTGACCGTTCCCGCCATAGCTAATAATTTCATTCAATATATTACCTATCTAATTATAAAAACACCGCACAAAATCTGCGATTTAATTTACTTAATAACATTTACACTCATAGCTAGCTTTATAATTAATTTGTTACATGATTTATTACTTAAAAATATTTAAATAGTTGATTTCATAACATTAACTTTTGGTTGTCTTTACTTAAAACAATTTCAAAAATCGAGGTTTTTGGATTTGGGTGAATTTTGGACAACCTGTCTTCGTGATACGCAATGTTATTCTGAGCGTTAAGATTTCACGAAAAAAAAAACAAATGCAAATAACCAGACCGGCCTGACGATTATAAATAATAGTCGGGCGTAGCAATCGCAAGAAGTCAGAATAACACTGCGCGCCACACATCCTCGCCCGAAGACCTATCCGTCTCGGGCGTCTGTCTAACACTATTTAATTGTGATATTGCATTAGTAAAGCTGTGTTATATTGAACTGGTTGTGACTTTAGGTAACTATTGTGATATTTGGTGATACATGTGAACGCCGGGCGGGGGGAAGCGGAACTACTAACGCATAAATGCACAAACTAATCCCGTAAAAAAACTTTATTGTCACTACAACAGTAGAGTAGTATACGCGGGCGCCGCGAGTCGGCTACGGAATGTACTTTACATTACTATCACAAGCGGTGAGGCGACGGCGGCTAGGCGGAGTGTGGCGGCGCGGCGGGAGGAGCGGCGGGCGATAGCGCACGCGGCGGCGTCGGCGTACCGTTGCGCGGACGCAGCTTGTCGGCGCGTAGCCGCTGCACCGCCTCGCGCATCTCGGCCGCCAACGCCAGGTCGGAGTCCAGGCGAGGGCGCCGGGCCGCCGGCTCATCGTCCACCTCTCCAGCCAACCGCCGCGCCAGGCTCGGTGCCTCCGCGCGCGGCTCCGCTGTCAGCCGCTGCAGCAGCGCCGCGCCCGGCCGTGCCTCCAGGCTCGACCGGATGATGCCCTCGAGGAACCCGTTGGCCGGTGGGGCCTCGCCGTGTAGTCGCCGCATCATATGCGACGTGTAGAGGTCGGACGCGGGCGGCGCGAACCGGGCTCCGGCCCAGAACGGATAGTTGGCCGGGTAGCCCGGCGCCTCGGGGCCGTTCATTCCGTTCGTGAATGGCTTCGTCGGTTTAGGGGGCGGTTTAGGTGGCTGCGGCTTCGTTTCCTGCGGCGGCTTAGGCTCCCTCTTTCGGGGCCGCATCAAATGCCGCTCTTTGACTTTGTATTCTAGGGTGGAATGAGGTACACCGTAGTAGGAGCCAGCCCGATGCACGGACATCTCGCCCCTCTGGACCGCCTTCACCGCCTCGACGAGGCTGTCTCGATCATAGTTTCTGTATTTACCTCGTTTTGGTCTCGTGCCTTTGCCACCCTGGGCGGGCTGACCGTTATTTGTCGCTTTGGAGTTGCTGGGTACGGCGTAATTTCTTTGATTATCCGGTGGCGTTTTTATGACCGAGACGTGTCGATCGGGCGCCCTCATGTAAGATAGGTCAGGCTGAAGCGGCCTATCCAGGGGCTGTTGGAACTTTTGGCATATGCTCTTAGCTATGACGTCGCTCATAGACGTGAATAAGTGTTGTGAAGCCGCGGGTGGGTCGGCGTACACGGAAGCCGGAAGTAGCAAAGGTGAAGGGTGATTTAGGGACGACTGTGGAGGTAATATCGGCGTGATGGGCGTCACAGGGGTCGTGACGGACGTGGCTGGTGATGGGCTCTTGTCCTCTGGAGGAGGGAAGGAGGGAATTTTGAGGATTACAGATGATGGCGTGTCTGGCTTCTCGGGGTCACTGTCCTCGGACTCGGGTGCTTCTGGAGTAAGACCATGTTTGTTGACCTTGTTTCGTAGCGTGGACCGTGGGATGCCGTAAAGTGCTGCGGCCCTTCGCGTGCCCAACCCAGATTGGATATCCCTCAATGCAGATTGGAGATCATCCTCGGTGTAGTTCCGCCGAGTGCTATTGCTTTTGCCCTCAAGAACAGCTCGCTTTAATCTGTAACAATAAAAGTGTTTATTAATTAATTATTTAAATTATTTAAATTCCAAATAATTTCGACCTCGTTTCAAAATCTTTGTTAAAACAACGAAAGTGACAAAATGACGCATTGTAATATGACAAAGCCTTTACGATGTTTGAATACGTGTATTTGCTTAATTCATTTGTAACACGGACGTGTTGATTAAATTCAAAACAAAAAGAATCCAGGAGGTAAATGAATCACAAACTATATGGGTCAACAGCTGGTCAACGGCCGGCAATCTCTCATTTTAAAACATAATTCAATATTTCAAAACATTCCCTGTTAAACCGAGATAACGCGAAATGCGAAATATTTACTTGTCCATCCGATAACGGTCTACTATGAATGCATCTTTATCTTTTTCCATTCGTCTTTTATTTCCGATTTGATCCCCATCGAAATTGAACGCTGAACCCCGATTATACGGTATAAATTCGTTCGCTTTAAATCGACAGTCTTCGGTTTCATCTTGCATTTTACTTTCTTATTTTTCGCCACCGTTGTCACGGAATATCGGACCTTATTATAATGTATTTGGGTCATTTTTTCCCTTGTGGCCGTCGCTTGTGCAGTGAGGATACAAGGTCGATGCACCGTCGACTATCACTGGATTTTTATTTGTTTTGGCGAGTCATACGACCCACATCGCGGTCCCCGAATGAATTTATTCAAGTATCGATTTGATATTGCGCATAATATCGAAGCTGAAATCGAGAAGTCTTCATTTGATTCGAGATTCTTTGAGATGAATTTAGTTGTCTTATAACGAGAGACCGTGGTCCGTTGATGCATGTAACATAATGATACTGCCTTTGTGCCCTTGTTGTCGGTTGAGTAATTTTATGAATTCTATTATACTAGAAAATTCAAAAGGAACTCAATGAATGATATATGTTGTATGAATAACATCTTGGCCTTTAGTACGGAACATTAATATTCAAAAAACTTTTTAAGTTTATTAGATTCAGAATTGATTTCTACTAATAACTAAAAGTGATTATAATCTAAGTAATCAATACACAGAATCAAAAATTGAGAAGTATTTAGAATACCTAACCGTTAATAAAACAATTATTTTGATTAGGGATAGTTTCTTATAGTGAAACCATTATTTGAAAATATATTTTTATATCCCAACAATGAAGAATGTCAAGAAAATTCAGAATTTCCGTGACACCCCATTTCTTGTGAAGACGAGAATTTTTTTACGTGCCTCGTCAAGAGGGCCATTGTTAGTTCATAGTTCGTACTTGTGTCTTGTAATGTCTAGTTTTGTCACGCGATTAACCAACTGTCAAGAAACTGGAAGGTGTTATGCTTATTTATATGATGCTGCCAGCACTTAAAGTTTTCATATCTCCCTGTCACACTTTTTCTAACTACAATGTGATTTATTATTAAAATTGAGTCTAAATACGTTTTAATGATTTCAGGTGCAAATAGGTTTTGTTGTAAAAGATCCGGAACTTTACAGGATTAAGTATATATCTATGTATCAAAGGATATTTTTTTACAACAACAGGAGGAAAAATTATAAAAGTTATTTTATAGAGAAAGTTAAGAACGTTAGTAACCAAACCAAACTTTTGGAACTTAAAATTATTTAATCTAAGAAAAACACCACTTTTACTAAATCAAGGTATAAATTGTTATTTCAACATAAGAAAATTTCGAGTAGGTACTTAAAAAAGAGTGCGTTACGTACAAAGTAGGTACACATGTCAGAATTGAAACTTTTTTGTAAATTAATTATTAATAAGGTAAAAGCCCAAATAGATTATCATGTACCAGTATATTATGATCACTATATTTGTGAATAGAATAAGAAAGAAATAAAAAAAAACTAATGTTTCATAAATACTCTGTACGAAATTTTAATTTTCGTTCGCCCTTTCTCACTCTCTAGTCTCTCTCAATCGCTCTCTTTCTTTGCTTCGACAAAAATGCTGCAAATCTTCGTGACGCTAATACTATTATTATTGCGTTTCATCCGTAAAAAAATTACCCTCATGCGCCTACAGAAGTTCAGTTCACTTCAAAAATCCAATCTTAGAAAAACAGAATTAATCAAAATAAATAACCCGTCCATACGATAAGCAATTTCTTTCGTCATCCATTACAGGCCACTGACACGACACCGGTTCTTTCACTCAATATTCACTTGAAATCATCTTTGACGTTTTATGAATATTCTTAAAGATCTTTGAACTGTGTGCCGCGGCCATTTTTAAAACTTAGGTTAACCACACGTTGCTAGGGTTCAACTGGTCAACAGAGCGGTTCTTGGATCGATTCCTTGGGCAAATAAAATACAGGCATTGTTAAATATTAAGTGACATTTTAGTCCACAGAATAGAAGTTGTAAAACAATAATCATTATTATCAGACATTAACGTGTTCAATATTTTCGTCATCGTGTTTATATTGTGAAAAGAGACGGATTTTCACTTCAATCGATGTATAAAAAAATAAAATCAGTGGCGCTTCAACCTCTTTAGGCCTTGGCCTCAGATTTCTGAAGCTGTTTCATGATCATTTTCAAATTTAATAGGCTAGTAGATCAGCCTCCAGTGCCTGACACACGCCGTCGACTGTTTGGGTCTAAGACATGTCGATTTCCTCACGATGTTTTCCTTCACCGTTACATAGAAAGAAAGTCCATTGGTGCACAGCCGGGGATCGCACCTACCACCTCAGGTATGAGAGTCGCACGCTGGAGCCACTAGGCAAACACTGCTCTTTGATGAATTGATGTATAAGTCTAATTTATATTTTTAATGTTCCTTGTTAATCCAAATTTGCATGTTCATACATATCTTAGCGCTTCTGATTTAATTATTTAGCCATATCAATCGATAGAAAACAAATGAATGCGAATGCTAATTGTAGTATTATTATTATTTAGTATTGTAGTTATTTTATATATATTCAGCTCAAAAACTTAATCGAAATAATAAATTAATTAAGCCCAAGTTTTATTGAAAACACAAAAAAATTTTGACTACATAAAAACATTCGCATTAAAGCGATTCGAAACACTCAACGCCTCATAACGCCTCAATTTACGTGATGTTATTTCTCGTAACAACTTTCCCCCCACCCCCTACTTTTGGCGACAAGCCTTGCTTCCGTGCCAATTTCCCTACATACGTTCCGATGTTTTTGATAACGATGCATTTTATGCGATTTCATAAAAATATTCAATGTTTATTAATATTCAAAGAAATTTTCGTACTGCACTCACGTAGACGATATTCAATATAAAGACTAAAGAGTGCTTCTGGGCCTGATAAAGGGCCATCTTGATATGGAACTGTTCGAGGACAATTTGGTGTACTCTAGAGTCTGAAAGAGAGCTGTCGTCGGATTTGGACCTGCTTACGATTTGGTTATGGTAACACTGTTACGTAATAGTTTGACAAGTGCCAATGGACTTTGTATCCGGCTAATAAATAAATTAAAAAAAAAAAAAAATAGTTTGACAATCTTGATACTTAATATAAAAAAATGTTGTGTATGACGCGTAGTAAATTATATAAGTCCATATAACTGCCTCGAACAGCCTGTACCTAGTATTTTTGAGGCTATACTTATTTTGGCGCGTTAGGGAAAAATTATGAGACTAAATTTTTACGATGCGCGACTAAATTTTTAGTTTCAAAACTTAATTCTAAAAATCTATACTAGCAATATTTGTTAATAAGTGAACACAATGTATCTACATAATAATATAGTTATCTGCTGCATTGGTTTTTATAACACCATTCGCCTATTTTATTTTAGCATAGTATTTTTTTTAATTCTAGGTACATAGTCATCACATATCAAATCAATGTATACAAAATATTTTAAAAACTATTAAAAGAGTAAGTATGGAGTTTCTTTCCCATTCTTCTCCATATGAAACTACCCTATGGAAGGGGCCACTAGAGTAATTTTTTTAAATATTTTTTTAGGTAGGTACTTGTGTTTTTGACTTTCAAATGGGTGCCTTTTTAATAGGCCTAATTGAAATAATTGATTGGATTATAAACGTCAAATGATTGCTTTTTTTTAAATGAATTAAAACAACTCAACGATTACCTGCTTAACTTTACTTTTTAGGGTCTTAACAAAAACATATTACTGTCACATTATAACAAGCACACCTTACTTCTGCTATACTATGTCATATTGTATACTTAAAAATATCCATAGATTATACGAATGAAATATACATCATCGATTTGAATACTTAAAAGAGACAATAATATAATATTAATTACTGGCAAGATACGAATGGGCGTCAAATTAATCTTTCTTTTTCTAGCATAACGTTGGCAATACTTTTTTATTTTCCTTTAAAAATATTCGAGCGTCCAGCAGGTTGATGAACCTCATCAGTTTCATAGTTTAATGGGTACATTCACATGGCATTGTTTGTGCGATCCGGGTGCAATGTTTCAATAGGAAACGACATGGTGAATTTAAGACTGTATCACACTGGGCCAAAGATGGGAAAAACGCGTCTAATTAGATTTACTGTTTTACACAGTACATTTTAAAATAGGAAGGAATTCAAAATAAGAACAAACGGAAATTTTGAAATGACAGGTGACATGTCAATGTTCTAATCGAAATCTAGGTATGCTTTCTAACATCGAACATGTAAGAGACATGAGTGAAATGTAACGGAGACAAAGTTATACATGTGCAAGAATGAGAACCTACGAATCAGGCGCAGCCAGTTTTACATTTATCTACCTAATGTTTCGCGTAATAACATTTTAAACCGAACGCATTAAAATTAATATATAACAGATTAATTTCCAAACGAAAACGATCGAAATATACCCGTGACCCGGCCCATGTCATAGACATTGTCAGAAAACTGTCAAACATGTCATAGACATTGTCAGAAAACTGTAACAGTGTATGACTATCAGATTATATAAATCATACACTGTATTTTTCTGTTTATAAACTGAAGCCGAAACGCCATATCAGCACTTCCGCTTACTAAACGTATTATAAAAGGCTCAGTGTATAAGAAGCCTTAGTAAATAATGTTCAATATGAGTTGCGTATAATGTAGTTGACCGTGTCAAATTCGTATCGTTTCACCGACAAGTTTGTTGGTTCAATTATTTCTTGCATTGTAGCTTAGGTCAAGAACCTTTCATTTAAATTAATACTTGATACGTCTACACGGTACAAAGTCTGATTTTTAATACCTATAAAAAGAAAAGTCTAAAGGATCGAATTAGATTTCCACCTTCCATTTCTCTAAAGATTTTATAAAATATCAGTTTGGATTCAACCTCCGGGTTTTATGCCATGGAAATGTCAAGTAAACTACACATTCACAGTCGTATATCTTCAATTTGTATTAGACACAAGTGTACTTAACATGCATACATAATTTAACTTACTTGGGAATCGAACCTAGAGACTTACCGAGACCGAGACTTACTAAACATACTTATTTGGTGGCTCTCATTTCAAAGTCGTAGGTTCGATCCCCGGTTGTGAACCAATGGACTTTCTATGTGCACATTTAACATTCGCTCGAACACTGACGGAAAACCTCGTGAGGAAACCGGCTCAAACCCAAAAAGTCGAGTGTCAGGCACAGGAGGCCGATCACCTACTTGCCCAATACTCAATAGATTGACACGATCATGAAACATATACAGAGATAAACCCTAAAAAGGTTGTAGCGCCACTAATTTATTTATAAAACTTAGTATGACGAGAATAACAGTTTAATTGATAATTGCTATAATTTTTTAAAACAAATTGCCATATTTCCCTAGGCATTCGAATATTTTAACACCTAATCAAGTTAAATGGATTACATTTAGTTTGACCTTAATGCAAATGCTATCGTTCTGTCGATCTCCTAATTTTATTATTGATTATGTGGGTGCTGTTAGTACTAGTTTTAGTACCTTTGCTTTTAGTTGAACTACTTTCTGAGATGTGAAAATGGTTAACAAATTATAAAGAAAGAAAAATAGTTGCACAGCCCGGTTTTGAACGTTTAACCAATGCTACCGTGCTGGCAATAATATATAATAGTATTATAAATACAAATACAGTTTGGTACACGGACACAGAAACTAAACTTTTTTATTAAATTCTATAACAAACAAGCCTATGGGACGTCCAAAAACGGCAGTTATCGCAGCCCATGGACACTCATTTTAGTGGGTGCGTTGCCGGCCTTTGTGGGAGAAGAAATACTCTTTCCTTAAACAATGGGAGGTCGTATTTTCCAGGGAAGACCCCCATTGGGAGTCTACAGCTCGGTAGTTAGCAAAACAAAGTATCTCGTAAAGCCGACCGTGGAAGACTTCCAGCCATCAAGGTTTATAATATTTGCCCTGCTTTTCATTTATTTATGTCAATTTTATTATGTTAATGCAACGAAGTGTTAATAAAAAAATAAAAATACATATTTTAAAATTATTATCACTGTGTAGGTTAAGAATATTGTAAATACTTTATAATTAATGGAATAAACGATCTATAGATCAGCCGTTCTGGTAATCACTAATAAATCTTTAAGGCTCGATTTAGCTGTCATATTCAAAATCGTATCTTCAGTGTCTTGAACTTCATGCAGAAAAAATGCTTTGAAAGAACTTGTAACTAAACATAAGTTAGACGATATATACGAACTATAAGGTCGAAGCTTCTAAGCGAATTCTTAGACACATACAAGGACACTTTAATGTTAAAAAAGTTAGCTCACATAGTCACATCATACGATATTCGATATCAAGATAATACGAGCACTCTCGTTAGGTGTCAAAGAAAATCGATCTTAAAAATATACCGTTTGATCGACTATAACCACTCGAGTCGTGACCGCGCCTTTAATACAGATAACTATCACACTTGATAGTTTTAGGTTAAGTGATTCAAATTGCTTCATTTATATTTAAACTTTATTACCCATAATAAAAAATGATGTATAGTTGAAAGAGGAAGTGGACTAGCCACCCTAAGATTCCCTATCTCGTGGGCAGCTAGTTGCTGTTTTCCATTTGACATATTAATGATTTTAGTTGCTAATGCTATTAATGTAAATAAAATAATGCTATTTTAAAAGAGTACCGAGAGTTTTTTACGCCGGCTTTTTCTCTCGGCCTACACCCTCTGTCTTCTTTGCCGATGAGTAGGGATGTGTGTCGATTCAAATTTAATGACGTGGAATAAGTGACTTGTATCTTATGTTTCATAATAAACATATTTTATTTTTATAATGTCTAACATTGCTTACATGCCATTTAATGACCTGCTACTAAATTTTGAATTTATTCAGTGATAATAGGGTCGGAGTTTGTTGTAAAAACAAATACAATTTCCATATAAGGAGTGGGTTAACCCATGCCGTTTTAACTAAGCCACAACAAAAAATAGAAATTTAAGCTTACCTCGCATTATCCTGTCCTTTGTTTTCCGGCGGCGGTGTGCCGCTGGTGCTGGAAGTAGACTTGGCGCTTAAGTCCAGGGGTTGCTCCGCTATGGTGGGAGAGGCACTTCCTGCACCCACCTTCTCTGCGTCTAGCCTAAAACATAATGTTATCACAGTAAAGCACCTCTTTAAATTCTATAAACAAATTTTCGTATGTAACAAGGATTTAATATACCTACTAAGTTATATAACATAGTATAGTTTTGTTTAATTATTAAAATATTAATTACGTTTTAAAATTAATCACACATGAACAGCGTTAGACTGTGGCTTCAGCGTGCGACTCTCATCCCTGAGGTCGTAGGTTCATCCCCGGCTGTACACCAATGGACTTTTTGTCTATGTGCGCATTTAACATTCGTTCAAACGGGGAAGGAAAACATCTGATCGTGAGGAAACCGTCATGCCTTCGACCCAAAAAGTCGAAAGAAATCTGAGGCCCAGACCGAAAGAGGTTGTAGCGCCACTGGTGTAGATCTATCTTATGTTAAAATTAATATAGCTTAATTTTAATTTGAGCGCTGGTATCGCTTGATTGAGGCTTTAATCATATTTAATAAATACTGAGTGGTCCCCTTTTTATACTAAAGGGGGGATAAACAAGCCTAAGGAAAGCCCAAAACGAGCAGTTATGACATAAATATTAGACATAGTTTGGGTTAAAAAGATTTTTATATATTACTAGCTGGAAAAAACGTTTATTTTGCCATGTTTATTATTTCTAGGAAACATTTTTTTAGTTCAATAAAAATAACTATCCACTATAATAAAAAATAGGGGTTGATTGTAGAGGGGTGAAAATTTAGGGTTGTATGTATTTCTGTATTTTGTATCATAAAAAAATAAAAACAAAAAAAATTGTTTAAAAATTAAAAAAATTTTTGGGGTGGACACCCCTTGTCACTTAAGGGGTTAAAATATAGATAGTAGCCGATTCTCAGACCTACTGAAAATGCATAAAAAATTTGATAAAAATCGTCGAGCGTTTGGAGGAGTACTATGGTAATAATTGTGACAAGAATTTTATATTGTTTATATATAGCAACAATATTTTTTCTTTATTTAATTTACCTAAAAACAGTATATTTGGCTACTGAATTTAGTAACTAATTACATAAACACTGATTCAAGGAATCATTTAAAGCTTCAAGAAGATACTTAATCATAAGAATCAAGTTTAATCATAATATAGTAACAATGAATTCTTAAGAAAGCTGATTGTCGTTTCTTCCACCTCCTATTTATATTACTTTTAGCTTCCGTTTAGGATACTTAGGTCTCGTTCCTCTTTCCCTTTCCTTGAGTTCGGCTTTGTAAGCTAAGTAGCCCTTATTACGTCAAATGCCATACCAAATATGCAAATTTATCAAAACTTGCACTGAAATTCTAAACACGAAGAATTCTTAATTCGTTCCATGAAAATTGTTAAAAGTACCTACTTACCTACTTGATAACGCAACCAAAAAATGGTACCTACTGATTTCATAGTTATAGTTATATTAAACGTACAAATATCTAATAAAAATTGAAAATTCAAATTAATTGAAGTATTTCCGAACCAATTTGGTGCAGGTTTCAAGATGACACACATGGCACACACTCAGAAGGTCGAATGTGAGTTGGGCGGGCTTTAAGATTTCGTTCGCTTTTTTCTTGAAAGACCCTCAGTCGAATTGGTTCGAAATAATTGTTGTTTTAGAACAAATAAACAGTAATTTCAAGAGCCACGAAGCTTAATTAGTAGCCAATTTCCCATAAATGAAAAACTCAAGGGATCGTAAGGTTAAAAATTAAAATTTTCCGACTTTCTAATATCTCTTGAGAAACGATTATTTATCCATAAGGGACCTCACCTTTCTCATCACAATTAATAGAAAACATTATTACTATTTCATTTGACAATTTATCCATATTTTTAGTTATAGCATTTAGTATATATGTGTTAACTGATTAAATTCCACGTCGAATTAGTAACCTCCTTCGATGTTAAAGTCGATTAGGTATAGCAACACAAAACATTGTGTCGCAAAAACTTTAATTATATCGTTTTACACTTAGCACGATTATGCATAAATAATTTTAAAACTTAATTAATTTACACTGAATATTTTCCTGTTAAAATGATCACGACATCCTATAGATTAATTTAATTAATAACATTCTAGGTTAGGTTTAACGGTAACTAGGGAAATAGGTTATTCAAATGTTTTTCGGTTTTTATAAAGAGTTGAAAAGCGTAAAATTGTTTTATAACATAGTCACTATTATATTTATAAATTTGGCAATGTATGTTTTTTATCGAACGGGGCAAATGGGTTCACTTCACGTTAAGCATCATCGAAAAAAGACACAGCCTTTGTTATTTATGTAAGTACATAAATATTGTAAATAAAGGGTAGAACAACAAAAAATAAACATAAATATCCCATTTCATATTCACCATCCATCGCGGTAGGACGTATCAATACGAAATATTCAAAAATAGAACTAATCAAAACTGATACAACTCTGGTACACAATAGACCTGAAACGTTGAATGCTGCATTGAGTGTGTGGCAACAAAGCGGTGTTGTTGTCAATAGTTCTGATGTTTCTTGAGGAATATTGAAATTATTCGATGTTCAGCTGACGTAGGCCTCTTTTGTTTGTATTCAGGTTACGTTGACATTATGAATTTAGCAAACGGTGAAAAGTAGAATACTAGTGCGCAAATGCAGTTTTTGTAAACAAGTTACTTAATTAAAACTTAAACCTGTTAAATATGCCGAAAGCCCGTCTCAAAGGATAATTATTCACTTATTTCTAGCTTTCTTGAGTTGCTATCTTGTTGATAGGAATTTTGCTAACTATAATATAACTGAACTTTATTTCTTACTAACAATATGGTGGCAACGATTTATATTTTCAAGAATATTCTTATTTTGAAAAGTTCTCAACATGTATCTGTTATCGCTTCACAGCTTTTGGAATACGTTCCACCAGGAAGCTTAAGACGCGTATTGTGAAGTATGAATAGGATCGTCGATATTTATCCGAAACCGGCTGAGATTGTCACACATCCGACGGAATCGATTCACATGTGCTCATTTCGATGCTTTCTTAAGGCATTCAAGCATTTATACAACGACGCAAAAATATTATTGAAGAACCGAAAATAGTAAAAGCACAATGAATGAAAAAGATTTAATAATGGATTGACCAGTAAATAAATAACTAAGATATATGCTATTTCCTGAAGTCTTGTATTATCGTTGTCAGTATTCAATAAATCTCTATACAAAGCTGGTATTCCCTTATATGAACCAAAAGATACGGTTAAGCTAAAATCAGTGTTATTATAATTAGTGGCACAGTTGCAAGGTAGACAATACCTTTAACATTTACATAACAAATGGGACTAAATATTCAACCTTGGAGAGCTCCGTCTCAAATTGATTCTTTGTTAATTTATTCGAACTGTCGACTTAATGTTTACGTAATGTTACTGAGACATTTTGTTCTAAAATGCTAAACGTTTAATAAATAGTTAAAAAAGTAAAAAGGTTTTATAAACAAAAAACAACTTAACACTGTGCGAGGTTAAAATTTTGACGTTTTTACGACAAATAGTTGATCAGATTTGGTATTTAAAAATACTGTGTTGCTTTATTTTCTAATTATATTATTATAAATTTATATTGTACTAAAAGTCCCTTTGCTAATGAAGGTATTAGATTATGAAAAATTCTAAATGAAGCTATATTAATTGCGGGCTACTCGATTGTGAGGAAGATTCATGGATCTGGGATCTGGCTGTGCCTACTTAAGTTCTCATATTATTATTACATATATATATCCATTCTATAACACATTTTCAGGAGTATCTGATTATCCTACAAGTGTCATGTTTGAGAGCAAAAAAGTTAAACGAAAAACAGATTTAATCAAATTTTTATTTTACATTTTACCCACAAACTAATGTCTCCTAACGAGTCAATAAAAATCGAATATAAATTAAAACCGAATAATTATAATTCTGAAATATTCATTTTGCTCGTTACATTCGAGTTGCCAACAATCCAATTATATCAAAAGTAGAGTCATAAACCGTTAACGATCCGGTATCGGTATCCGTTTTCCCAAATGTCATTTTTACACCACTTTTATGGACTTTTAGGAGATTACTTTTCGTCATAAAATAATGACGGTAGATACAATGATTGGCTTAGCGATTTCAGTATGCCAATCATTGTACATGTTATCTCTTATGTCTGCGGTTCCATTCCCGGCTGTGCACCATTTGACTTCCTAACAGAAAAGGTAACTTATGAGAAAACTGGCGTGCCTTAGACTCATAACGATGAAACACCTAAAAGTTTGTTTGAATCTCATGTCCAGACGTAACACCACTGTTTTTAGATACAATGATCACGTATATAGAAACAACTTTTAGTGAAACGGTTGTAAGCAAAGAGTTTTCACAAAAGAATTTATTGAGAGTATTCTGGCATATATTAAAGCTTTACAACCACACAAGAACTAGTACTTAGTAGCCTAACTAACTTATAATTTTTTTTATGTTATAAGAGACAAACGGGCAGGAGGCTCATCTGATGTTAAGTGATACCGCCGCCCATGGCCTCACATTGCCAGAAGGCTAGCAAGTGTGCTGCCGGCCTTTTAAGAATTGTTACGCTCTTTTCTTGAAGGACCCTAAGTAAAATTGGTTTGGAAAAACTTCAGTGGGCAGCTGGTTCCACATGGTGGTGGTGCGTGGCAAAAAATGCCTTAAGAAACGCTCAGTTGTGGAACGACAGACGTCAAGGTAATACGGATGGTATTTTATATTCTATATCGCTATAAAACTTGTCTACCATATGCCGACAGCGAATTATCTCATATTTCGGCCATACAATGCGCTGAGTCGATGAGAACTTGTAGAAACTCATCGTGGTTGGTAACACTTAGGGCAAAATATCACGTGGGCGTTCACCAACCAGATGGACCGATCCAGTGAAATCGTGTCACTCGAGAGAGGCGCTGGATAGAAATCTGTGGAAACAGCTGACCATGACGCTCCGACAAGAGTTACCAACTGAAGAAAGAGAAATTACTCTGCTTAAAAAAATTAGCAATTCCTTACTATAAAATCATGATAGTACATGTTCAAATAGGATAAATATGTGTTACATACGCGATTTGACATTATTACATCCGCGTCCTACACCTATAATCTATCCCGGCGTCTTATAATTTGTCTAATAAAAAACACTAATAATAATATTCAGCTACTCGTATATGCAAATCGTGGGGTTCGAATCGGCGATGCACCAATCGAAGTATATACCTACTTATACGGTAAAGAAAATGCGAACAATGAAAAGGCTGACTACTTACTCATAATAATAATGGTCATATCAAGAACTAAAGAAAACAAAATATACAACATTCAAGATCAAGGGTTGTTGATATTCCTTTTTCTTTCGTTTGTAATAAACATTCATAAGACACTAGATAAACTGCAGTACTGTAAATTTATATAATCTAAATAAATGATCGATTAAACCGTCAGTGTAACGATTGACCTTTAGCGACCAGCAATAAATTTTACACTATTTAATATTCAAAATAAACCTTACATAAACACTCGTTAATATTAAACCAAACAAGCTGTTTGACATTGACAAATACCTAAACTATATCGCTAGCACAGCTTGAAAACCTATAGTCGTTATTAAAGAGATGGAAAGGAATCAGTCACCCACGTAATCCTGAAATGCTAACCAACGTACAAAAATCACGGAGGTCTCTCCGTGAAGCCTGCGAATGGCCCAGGTGACTTCTGTGCTTCTGGAGTTAGGTGGGCTTAGTTAGCCAGGACTTTACGCACAATGGACCTAATGAGAGTCTAAGTGCGGAAACTGAGTCCACCACCTTTTATTACGTTTCTATAACGTCGCCATTAAATGATTTGCAAAACAAAATATTTAATCGCAACCCAGTCGAAAGGGGTTTAGGGTCAAAGACAACTTGGCTATCTACTTCCAAGATTATTTGTTGTTTTATTGTTGTCTTTATTAAGTATTAACCTATACGTTAATGCGCAAAGGTTATATTGGAAAAAGAAGCATTTCTTAACTCTAAAAAAATATATATAATTATATATCTGTAAAAAACAAAACGCGGTTCACTAATAGTTTTCATGTGTCATCTGTCATTTATTCTGTCAAAAAACGATTCCATTGTCTGTTTAAATTATTGTTTTATCACGCAATAGTAACGATAATGAAAAGCCATAATCAGATTAAAGCTAGTTTGCCCTTGTTAACGATAAACGTGTATTAACGGATTAAAATCAAGTTTAACTAAAGAAAAACCTGCTCTTCCGTATTAAGTAACTAGTCAAGGATTCGTAGTTCATTTCAACTGAGTTAAGATTGCATCACATCGTTAAATCAAGGAAAATATACTGAAACTATTTTTAAACAAGTTTTAAAGATTTATTAATAATACTAATAAAAATACGAAAAAATGTATGTAAACATAAACTTTTTAAGAATTAAAGAATGAACTTTTAAGTTTTAGTTTTTATCACAAGGAAATACTTTTCTTTTGCGTGCTGTGGTTTATGGCGTCCTAAATAATAATTCTACTTTGATATAATATTAATTAGACAATAATTCAGGCTGATGAAGGACTTTTATTAAAACATATCTACTTAAATATGTTATCCCATATTAACTTTATAAAGTCTTTATTTTGTCTTGAAGACAAAATCTTTTGGACTTACCATTATTATTTATATTGAAACAAGTTGATATTAAACAATTCAATGCCATTAGAAGGGCTACAATATTACATCGTAAACAACCATTTGTTAATCAAAATATCGTTTATCTAACAACTATATTTGTATGTATTTAGGTAATAAATTAAATATTTGTTTTAGGTATAGTACATAGACGTTATTAAAATAGAAGTAGTCTGTCTTCTTCAAAATCTAAGTTATTTAAAACTATCAATTTCAACTTTTTATGGATGAAACCCACAAATATTATTTTCTATGATATTTTATTATAAATTTATCAACAAACCAACTTTTCTTGTTACTCTGTTAGTTTTATTTAGAAACTATTGCTAGTTTTTGAAAAAGGAATCGTTTTTTTTTTTTTTTATAGAACGGGGGAAACGAGGAGCTACTGATTTATATAATAATTAAAAGGTCGATTCCTAAAATTGTACCTTTTACCCTAAGTCGAATGTTCGGAATTTGGGCAGCTGTTCCACATAGTGGTTGCGGGAACTGCTTGAAAAACTGTTGTGGTAGGAGGAATATTCTTATATACTATAGGTATTAATCGAACTTAATTCTTTAATATCCCTTTCGATGTCCTGAATTTTGTTACTTTGCACAAATGTGGATTTTTAGAGATTTATTTACGCGGGTAAATTACAAATTTAAAAGTTAAAATATATCTAGTAACGCATAGTTCTTGTAGTATAATAAATTGATTATCCTGTGTTTGATTGTAGCCAAATATTGAAATTAGCACCAGCCCCATCAACGAAACAGAGATTATACTTTATTACGAACTTCAACAATTGTATGCCAAAGGCTACGACGAATAAAAACATTTTTGAATGCACTTTTAAATTCCGAACAAATTTTATCCTTATCTATAAAAAAATATCTTGATACAGCACCGAGTAATTTACATCTTGTTAAAAGTGCTTTATAAAACGCCTTTAAACGTTTTAGATAAGTCAGCTTTAACACTATTAAAACAGCTTAAATTTTTAAATGCAACCGCATCAAAGAAATTAGGTCATACGTCATTCATTAAGATTTAAGATTACTGTGGCCTGGCTTTATAATTTTTAAAATATTGATATTTTATAGTGGATCTAAGTAGGTCACACTTGTGTTTATTAATTCCTTAATTAATTCGGATAATGGAATTAAATATTCAGTGTGTTACTGATTAAACGTTATGGTAATACAAAAAAGATAAAACCTTTCTACATAGTTTCACTAGTATAGAACCTTTCGCGAAAACATTACGGGAAAACAGCTCTTCGTGTGAGTGTTTCCAACAGAAAAACGAACATACAGTGTTCGAATAACATTTGCCTATTAAAGAACTGAAGATAGTTCCTAAGTATAGTGTAGGAATGTATGATCTCTAGACAAAGGTACCTATTAGAAATTAAAGAACACGAAGATTTAGGAGTCGGGAAGATGATTTACCAAAGGGACAGCAAAGGTTATTTTGAGATAGAACGAGATAATAAGGCGGAGGCCTATGTCAATGGAAATCCCGACGAAAAAATGTATTTCGATAAAATTATAATAATATTGTAATTTTTAAAAGCACTACATTAGAAAAAGTTTTTCTTTCTAAACTATTACTGGATAAAGGCAATTGTTATAGTATATTCTTAAAAACGATTATCCAAACACAAACTTACCTATCGAGCGGTGGTCTTGGAAGCCTCTGCATCATCCAGGCCTGCGGCAGCGCCGGCGGAACCAGCCCCGAGCCGAGGGCAGCCAACGCAGCAATCATCTGTTGGAACTGCACACACATCTCCATGTAAGCCTGACAGATATATCCTTGCATTAAACCATAAATATAATTTATGATTTATATGGCTGCATTTATCCGCGAGTCTTCGGGTGACTATCAGTCCATGGGCATCACTTACCCCTGTTTTATATTAAAAAATGCCCAAAGATTTGGGTATAACTAAATATAATGCAAACGAAATAATTAATCGAAGTCAGTAGCAAATGCATTACGTTCTTTTAGAAAAATTAGATAACGAGAATAATGCTTCATATATTACAGGAGCAAACATATTGTGGTAAAGAAAATATTGATTCAAAGATTCAGTATTCCACATTCAAACATAAAAATATAAAACCTTCTACCACAATTCCCGATAGCAATCATAATAGAATGTTAGTCCTCCCTTCAAAAGACCATAATAATTAAAACGAAGGTAAACGCACCTTAGAAAACTTATGGCGCATGGGGGATATAAAAAGCATGGTCTTATCTAGGTCAAAAGGGGTCTTAGACGTCAAAGGATTCAAGGGGCCACAGATTATGGTAACAACCATTAAAAATAAGTGAATATCTATTGTGGATGTTGATAGAGTTCTGTAAGAGTAGATAATATATCTATTATGTATTTAGAAACGTGAATCGAACATATTTTCTATTAAATTTAAATGACGATATTAAGGACTACTTCAAAGGACACCTTCTAATGTATGGGGTCAATACATTATATGAGGCATTAGTTTTGCTTGTTAAATTAAATATATATAACAACTATCAAAATCCAAATTTAAATATGCGAGACCTATTTAACAATTTACATATTTTGTATCGATTAACCATCCAAAGCATTCAATGTATTGAAATATAATTAAAATACAATAATTATCTATGTATTTTTATTTGTCAAATTATACATGTATTAATAGTGTAGGAAATGCCTTTGTTATTGTACCATGAGGTTTATCAATATTTAAGGCAATAAATTATTTAATCTACCCTCATTTCAAAAACGAAATCTGTCTTTTTACACTTTTACAGTATGCAGCCTTCGTTTTTTTTCAGTTAGTAGTTTAGGGTGTTGTAAAAGTGTACAGTGCTTTAGTTTACCAATAATAAATAAGATTTTGTAACTACTTTTATGTTACTGAGCCGCTCCCTATATTCCTTTACATTATTTGCAGCATACCTGTGCTATCGCTTGCGGGTTCTGCCCCTGCAGCTGCAACTGCAGCAACTGCTGCAGCAGTAGTGGCCCGCCAGCGGGACTTTTTGCTCCCGACAAGGAACTGCTATCCGATTCCGATTCGGGACTCTGGAAGAGATAACATAGATTATACATATTTATCACACTTTAGACTAAAATACAATTATTCATTTAGATATGTTACTGTAAAAGCTCGAACTGCAGTAAATCCTAAGATATTCCAGTAAAACCTAAGATCTACCAATTCCTAATGGTAAATGTCCCAAAAGGTTTGCGATTCGAACTCTTACCACCATTCCGTTGGTAAATCTTAGGATTTACATTAATGGCACGGTAAATGTTGAAAAACAAAAATAATTATTAAGTTAGACTAGCTTATGTAAGCATTATGTTTGTATTTCGTTTTGAAACTTGTAAAGTTTTGAATGTGCCTCTTGGGCGCGAAGCTAGAAAGAAGCAAATTTGTAATATTTAAAAACATTTAGATAATATCTTAATATTTTTATTAACATTGCAATATTGGTAAGTACTTTCCATTAATTTTGGGCTCTTAAAAACGGATTTTGTAGCTTTACCTAGTTGTAAGAAGAAATAAAATTAATATCACCTATATTTACAAGAACCTACCTTTAATTTAATTCCATTGTTTAATGATTTAAAACAATTATTACCAATCGAGTTTAATAGATTTAATTATTAAATTAACCTTCATAAAAACCAAATCATTAATACAAAAGGCAAAAATTCGATTAAAAATAATGCAATATAATTAGATTGACGTAAATGCAAATTATTTTTAATTATAGTTTGGCGTATTTATTTTCCTATTGTGTTAATTATTTTATAACGTTCCATTCGAGCGTTCATTTAGTGCTTAATTAATAGGAAAAATTGGTAATACAAAAACCGATATTTTTACGTTTTACGAGCGAATGGAATGGATGTGGATTTGTATGTTGATATATGCTATTTCCTCATATAAAGCTATATGCTGACATAAAAGCGATTTCTACGATTGACTAGACCCTGGGATCACATGTTGGGACCTCAACAGTAGTTCAATCCAAAGTAACACTTGTTTATACTGTCAAGAAAAACTGTGTGGGGCACATTCTTGGCTTTAAATTCGATAATGTGTCAGTCACAGTAGGCTAACTACATCATATTTAAATATTATATATTTTTTTTAAAACGTAATAAACATTACATCAGCCACTATACAAAACAGAATTAATTTTTATAATATAAATTATAATTGACATTATTTAAATGATGAAAAAATAAAAATAAATATTGGCCATAAATATTAGTAGTTACGCTGAATTTTTAATATTACACAAAACTTCCACACTTGTAAATTGATGTTTTACACATTATATTATCATTTATATCAGAAAATTTTATTTCCGTGGGTTATAGCGGTGACAACAGGCAATAATTTAAAGCAATAGAAGAACTGTATCCCTCAAGCACTTTTAAAATTGTTTCTAGTTTTATGGTTAGTTTTCCCATGATTCGTTTTTTAACCCGACTCAATGTCTTTATAAACAACACGCAATACGAAATAACTAGTAGCTCAAAATATTATGTTTATATTAACCAGGGATAATATTCCTATACGTAATTACAATTTTACAACTAAATACCCTTAAAGTTTTCTTCTTGAAAGAGGATATTTACAATTTAGCTCTGTTTTTTAATAATTATGTGTGATAGTTTCGACTTCAATAAAATATATTGTTGTTTAATGCTATCCTTTTTGCCGACTTTGAAAAAATATCAGCGAAACATTGGTTAGTAGCTACATTATTTTTTATAAATTCATATATTTCTACAACTATGTGTAAATTTATTGTATAGATAAATTCATTAAATAACAGTTATCCAAAACAAACATTTAATTGCGTATCTTGTAAGATTTATTACATTAAATTCCATTCTCACGGATGTTTTTAAAATGATTGCGTTAGATCTAATTTTCCTGTCATGATTTAAGATGATTTTCCGCTTATTACGAAATTATTGTTTGCCCTTACAAGGAAATATGACGTATATTTTATTATTATATTTTTGCGAAGCTATTTTATTTAATACTAATAATTACAAGAAATAATTTAAGAGTGATTTAAAAGCAACCAGACCTATAGTTCAGGTATTTCATCAGTTATTCAAGAATTGCCGGGTAGTCTAACGGAAAAATAAACCTGAATAGTATAATTAGTGTTAGCCCCGACCAATCAATAGTTAGATACGTAAATTATATGTATCAGGATATTCGACGGTTAGGAAAAAAGGGCAATTGTGCCTTGACGTTACGAACGCATTAATAAAAATACTATTCTAAATTCAAACCCATTAACCGGTTCTCACGACCGCCATTTTGACTCGTCCTCGACCGTCATTGGTCGAGGCCGCGAGTTTAGAATTAGAATGTGAACCCCACCATTTGGCGAGCGGTAAATTATGTGTCGCCAGTTTTTTTACGTTCCAAGTTCAAATAATGGAGTTCAAACAGCTGCCGTGTAGCGCTATTCTAAGCAGATGGCGCATTACGTATTGTATAATCTATGATTCTACTTTTTTCTATTTAACCGGTCCTAGACCCCTTGTTAGATAAATAAAGAAACCTGCTCAGACTGCATTTTGTAAGGATAAATTACAAGATTTAAAATATGAGCCTTAACTACAAAGATTCATAGATAAACTAGAGTAAACACTTTGACAGATCAAACAATTATTATTTCCTAGTAGGTACTTAATGTCAGAATGCATTTGAAAAATTCAGTGGTTTTTAGTTGGTCAAATATGTTTTCACAGCCTTTAATAAGCGTTTAAAGAAACCTACCAATTTAAAAATAACATAGAATAGTACCTAATGATAATTTTATTAATACATTTTGTTTTTGACTGACATATATATGTCATTTACATAATATCTACCTATACGTAGAATGTATATGAAACGTTACATAGCTTGATTTAAATTCTTACTAAGACATTCAGTCATATTATAGTTGAGAAATATTATGTTATATTATTACCAATTAATGAAATCTTTATACCAACTAAGCTAATAATATTTTTATAGTAGGTAATTTTCAAAGAACATAAAATAAGAAACATTTTGTTTTGTATGATTAATAAATATAGACGATATTTAAATTAAATCGCTGTGGCGCTACAACCTTTTCAGGGCCTGTGCCTCAGATTTCTGAATGTTTCATGATCAATTGTCAATCTAATAGGCAAGTAGGTAATCCTCCTGTGCCTCACACACGTCGTCAACTTTTTGGCAAGCCACGTTTCCTTACGATGTTTTCCTTCACCGTTTCAGCGAATGTTAAATACGCACATATAAAGAAAGTCCATTGGTGCACAGCCGTAGATCGAACCTACGACCTCAGGGATGAGAGTCCAACAAGGCAACACTGCTCATAGCCGTTGTTTAGATAAATAGGGATAACTTCCTATCCATCTAAAAATTTACATTTATTATCTGTGGTATTGTTACTATCCATAGTATATATATATCGAAAGTATTAACTTAATAGCTCTTCGAAAGGCAATCCTTCTGGCATCTTGGCCTTAAAACTGGTCTATACTGACGTTAAAGTTTTATTTATTTGCTAGACATTTCTAAGAAATCTCTCACTAAATTTAAGGACAATCCAATATTGCAAATTAGGTTTTAGGTTGCTTTGAAATTACTTAAATAAATGGTAATAATAAAATACTTATTAACAGATACATGGACATGTTTAATTTGTGAATAACACTGAGCTAAGCCGGTTCAACCTTGAATATTAAATAATAGATTGTTTAGTATGATTTAAATAAATAACACTTTAGTGCTGGAAATTATAGTCATGTTTTTCCAACTTAATTTTCTAATATTTTATTATTATTATTTCCAGTTGTTATTTTTAAGGTAAGTTATTGTTTTTTGTTATATTATTTTTGTTAGCATTAGATTTTATCTATGGATGTAGGTATGTTGTCAAAGTGACTTTCCTTTAATCTATAAACGATTTAAGTATATATTCTAATATGAATAAATAAGTATTATTTATTAAATACCTTAGGGACCAAAAAAAATATTTTACAGAAAATATTGTGAATAAATTATTAGCATTGTTTATACATAAACGTGTCTTACATTTTTAGAGTAACATTTTCTTTTTTAATCGATGTTTTATGTATTTTGTTTTTTGAAACTTCTTAAGGTTTTATGTAACATTTTGACGGTACATTTTCGGACGCGCATGTTGCTTTTGAAGTGGAAATACTTTATCGGCGTTGGAATGAAACTTATCGAATGGGAGAAATTGCAAATCTTTCAATATAGATTTTATTAATTTATCTTCGTAAAAGGTAAAATGAGTATTTCATTCATGACATTTGATAATAAAAGCCTTTTGTTAACTTATCTAATTGTATTCCTATATTGTATGGTTAATCATATTAAAGATACCTACCTGTATTTACTTAACATTATTTTTAGTTAATTTATTAAGATAGTTTTCATCTGAATTTGATAATGGTACCTACTTAAAGTATCCAAAATTGTATGGTTAATCATATTAAAGATAAGTAATATTAACATTATAGGGGTATGAAAAAATAAATTGTTTATACATTTTGACAATTCATACCATTAACTACTATCGAACATTAGATGAAACTAACCATGAAATCGCCTCATGTTCTGTTCCCATCCATTTCACACTAAAAAAACTAAGAAAAACAAAACACACTCAATGTACTGACTTTGTTTTCATTACAACATTTCCGGCACTTAAACACGAAAGCGCGCCATTTAAATAAAAAAAAACACTTAGACGTTCTCTTTTCGAAAAAGTCCGAAATGTCAAAAGCGCGCGCTCATTTTTCTTTTTTACGAGCGGTAATGATTAGTAAAGGCGTGCGTACACTGAGGCTATTTGGCCGCACGTGTACGGCCGAGGGGAGGGTCTGACACGTGAATTTTCCTCGGTTTCCACCCCTAGCGGACCGCCCCTGTAGGCTTTTCTGTCCGGCCTATGCTGTTTAACCGATCGGATATTAAGTGCACAGGAGTCGCTCAATCTGTTAATTAATTTATTATACTTTTTTTCGCATCATTTACCCAACGAGAG